ACCACAGCCAAATTCAAATATCACTGCCGCTTATGTGTGAGCCATGGCCTGGATTTGAACTTGGGTCTCCGTGTTCAGAGTGCAGTGTTGCTAACCACTGTGCCAAATACATACCAAAGTAAAATATAAGGCAATTTAAAGATAAGTAAAGCAATAACTAAATATTTGAGATATAATAGCAGAACTGAACTGTGAAAATACTAACTTTAATATGGTATGAAATGTTATGAGTTGTTAAATTCCTGTAAAATTAAGTACAGGGAAGTAACATTTGGAGCACAATGTACACTCTTTAAACAATGTAATAACTTGATTTTCACAGCTCCGTCAATACATGAGCAGTTTCGATCAGTTCCACATTGGGATCTGACCGGTTCCAATCAAATGGTGCTGGGGAAGAGGAAGCTCTGTGTTTCCAGACCACCTTGATGGGAGGGTGGGGGTGTGTGGAGTTTGACAGATGTCCGACAAAAGGGCATGGTAAGAAGTCTAGTCCAGCTAGATATATGAATGTTGTACGTGTGTTGAAATTTTGACGGACCGTACGTAGCCAACCATGCTAATCGGAGGTGCGGGGGAGAACAACAAACTAAACACAAAAAGGAGTTTACAATCTAGATTTAAGAGTGCATAGCTCCAATGGCTTCCTAATATCAGAAGAGCGTTCCAGATGGCCGCGGAAGCGTATCTTAAAGCGTGTGATGTGGTGACCGTCTTTGTTGGATGGTTCGCCAAAAGCCACTACGAGGATGACCACAGTTCCCGTGATGGTTTTTGCTTCTTGCCATGTATTCGGTGCAGATTACAACATAAAAAAAAACTAATCCAGGAAAGACTTTTATATATGCATGTGGCAGTTGCGTACGTTTCTTGGGCACAAGTGGAGCTGCACTCGGCAAAAAAGACAAAAGCCCGAGATCAATGCTCGCTAACGAAACACAGAGCATGTCTGAACCGAGAAAGACCGTTAACAAATGAGTAGTTAAGTGGAGAGTTCCCTCTGTTCCAGCGCAATCTATCACCGCCCCGTATTTGACGAGGCGTGAAAAAAATCCTTGGCTTTTTTTTCACCGGCTGAAGGCGTCTGTCTGGGTCAAGCAAGGCGCGGCAGTGTTCGGCGGTACCGTTCAGTCATTCGTCCGTGGCCCCTTTAACACTGTGCCCTGCATTTCACTGAGGCACTGTCACTTTCACACATGAACACAGTCGTAAAAATTATACGGCTTTTAAACTAAAGGACAGCCTTGCGATAAAGCCACAATGAGATTTGCAGGGTGCAGTAAACCATTAGGAATAATGCATTATTGTTGGATGTATTTTTCAACCTAAGTGAAAACGCGTTGCCATCATTTATAAAAATAAGGCACAATCATTCATACCCTCCACGATTCAATGCATTTTCCAATCTTTGGTTATGACTCAAGTCAAAAAATGTTTTTTGTGATCGTGATCTGCAGGGTGTTCATGTACCTCATCACTTAGAATGCACCTGAATCCGGGGAAAAACGATTTTTAATCAGATTTCAAAACACATTGTGAGCACAAGGATACATTTTAATCAATGAATAAATTAATTGATGCATCGCTATTAAATAACCTGTAAATATGTTTTTGGGAGAATGGGCCCAGTGTCACGACCCATTTTGCCAATTTTAAAATTACTCACGACTACCCGGAGGGGGGGGGGATATACATGGGGACATTCGGAGCACATTACTATTAATTACCCAATGCACGTTGCCATGACTACACAACTCACCAATTATGCCAACCGTTTTCCGCTGATTCATAGTCTCTCTGTATCTTTGCATTTGCCGCTCTGCAAGGCTTTTTACGGACTGACGTGACTAAGGTGGTAAGCAAATGAATGGACCTCCTAGCTGTGTCAGCTGATTCAACACACTTTGAGAAAGCTTTCCAACCCTGGGCTGTGCTCACAGAACGTAAATGAATGGACCTCCTAGCTGTGTCAGCTGATTCAACACACTTTGAGAAAGCTTTCCAACCCTGGGCTGTGCTCACAGAACGTAAATGAATGGACCTCCTAGCTGTGTCAGCTGATTCAACACACTTTGAGAAAGCTTTCCAACCCTGGGCTGTGCTCACAGAACGTAAATGAATGGACCTCCTAGCTGTGTCAGCTGATTCAACACACTTTGAGAAAGCTTTCCAACCCTGGGCTGTGCTCACAGAACGTTTTTGACAGACAGGCCGGAGAAGAGCGCAAACTCCCAGAGGAGGTTTGGTCCCAAAGTCTCTTGCACCTACACAAGATGACCAAGTCATGCCCCAAATTTCAAAGACGATTGTTTTATTTTCTCTCAGGAACTTATTCAGCATATGTGTAATACAAGCTCTGAAACACATCTGACATTGCTAAAGTAGCAGTTTCCTTGCGATGTTTGTTGTCTTTCTCCCACACCTCCGATTAGTAAAGTTGGCTACTTGCGGCGCAAAATAAGTTAAAAGTAAAGTCACCAGGTAGAATGAGAATAAAATAATAAATTGATAAAATAAAATAACACAATAAAATTCTCACGACGTTTCGGCCACAACACAAGCGGCCTTCATCAGGTGAAGGGACGAGACTGTCTGGAGGACTGGAGCGCTGTCCTCCAGACAGTCTCGTCCCTTCACCTGATGAAGGCCGCTTGTGTTGTGGCCGAAACGTCGTGAGAATTTTATTGTGTTATTTTATTTTATCAATTTATTATTTTATTCTCATTCTATGTGACTTTACCGAAAGAACCAAAGAAGATGAATCCTTGCAGTCACGAAAGCTTTAAATCGAAAGTTAAAAGTACATAAGTTTAACATGTAGTATGCTTTCGCGACCAACATAATCCATAATAGAGGTTTTTTTTGGGTTAGACCGCGTAAAAATATAAATGTGTCGTTAAACCAGCAACCACCCGACACAGCTAACTAGTAAGGGTTGTCACATAAACAGAAGGTGTCAATTCGTCACTGGTACAGCACGCCGGTTGTGTGTTGGAGAGTACCATCAGCGCCTTCACTCATCTCGTTAAACTATGAACTCTCTTCTAGAAAATGTAGCATTCATTAATCATTGTACGTGCCATTATATATGTCGGCTACATATACGAATCAGAATCTTTATTTAGACTGGATGACTCTGATGAGCTATGAAGCTCATTTTCACAGATGTCCAGTGGGCAGGTCAGCAAGTTACAATATAGCTGTCAACTCATCTTTTTATGGCACTTTCAGATTTATAATAGTCTCTGTGGAAATCCACACCGATAGGTAATTGGGTCATATGTATGTTTAACTTATTTCGCACCGTACATGCAATCAGAGGTGCGGGTCCATTTTATGGAATTACCAGCAGCAATTTGCTTAAGATGCACAAATCCGTGTTTGCACTTTCACTTTTTAATCCACCAGGATACATTTAGAATTTTACAAACAAGCACCAATATTTGTGAAATTAAGATTTAAATCTTGACTTAAAGCTTTCGTGACTGCAGGAATTCATATCCTTTGGGTCTTTCGGTAAAGTCACATAGATAGGTTCAAAGAAAATAACAAAAATCTACGACGTTAGTGTGACAAATTTAACCTGTTAATGTAAAATCAGAACCGAAATAACAACTAACATCGGAAGGTAGGGTTGAAACATCACAGCCAGTTATGACTTAAACTGGTTAATAACGTCCTTCCAATGATTGCTCAGTTTGTACCCATCTTCTCGGTTGAAATTGTGTCTGTGTCTATAAATATGGATGGCTTCATGAACGAATCATTGTTGATGGCCAGTGGGCTCACAAAGTACCCTCGTCTTGGAGAAATCAATTTCATGAGTCCACCGCATTAAAACAATGATCAGCTACGGCCGCGGTATTGGTCCTACCATGTTTCAGATCTGCCTTATGTTCATAAGCATGGTCCGAAACATGTTGCTTAGTTTCCCCAATGTAACTACTGCCACAGACAGAGCTTAGTTTGTAGATGCCAGGATACTGCATGTTAGGGATCACATCCTTCACAGATGGGATCAGATCACGAATTTTATGTATTGTGTTTAATCGAACCTGGATGTTGTGTTTGCTCATGATTTTGGAAATATTTTTGGTGACTCCTGCTATGTATGGCAATGTGATGGTTTTGATTAGGTCCTCAGATGGTTATTTTCCAACGGTTGGGGTGATAGCTTTACGGATTGTGTAGTCTGAATATCCATTCATCTTGAGAGCTTGGTGTACGTGTTCCAGTTCACTGGCTAGGTGATGATGGTCGAATATACATCGAGCTCTATGGTGTCGAATTTTAATGAGGGAATTCTTCTGGGCAGGATGGTGGTAGGAGTCAGGTATTAGGTAGGCATCCGTATGGGTGGCTTTCCTGTAGACAGTGTCCCATTGAGCCATCTGGTCTCTTTTCGATTAAAACATCGAAGAATGGTAACTTGCCATTCTTTTCCACCTCCATGGTGAATTTGATGGCTGGGTGTATGGAATTGATGTGGTTGAGGAATTGGTTCAGAGCTGGTAGGCCATGTGGCCAGATGACGAACGTGTCATCAATGTACCTCTTCCACAAGGACAGACATAAAGTGGATGCCTGGATGGCATCTGTCTCGAATTTTTCCATGAAAACATTGGCTACAACTGAAGATAAGGGAAAACCCATTGGGGTACCTTCAAATTGTTTGTAGAATGTTCCATGCCAGGTGAAGTAAGTGTTGGTGAAGCAGTGTCTCACCAGGGCCGGTACATCAACATTCAGTCCTTCTTGGACCAAATTTTCAATGATTGCAATGATGTCAGGCACAGGAACTTTGGTAAACAAAGAAACCACATCGAAACTAACGAGCAAATCACCTGGAGATAGTGAGATGTCCTTAATTAATGATACCAAGTGAGCTGAGTTAAGTACAGCTGAGGTGGTCTTACCAGTGAATGGTTGTAAGGTCTCAGACAGAAATCGGGCCAGTTTCTAGGTGGGTGAGTCAATGGTGGAGACGATAGGACGAAGGGGTGTACCTTCTTTACGTAGTTTTGGTAAGCCATACAATCTTGGTGGTCTAGCAGCAGAGAGATTTAAGGAAAACCGCTCGGTTGGTTAGATTAAAGATCTCGAATCGGTGATGATATTGTTGGTTTTCGTAACGAGGCGGTTGGTGGGATCGCTTTTAATTTTGGTATAGCTACCATAATTAAGTAGGCCCTGAATTCTGTTATTGTATATGGTTTTGTCGATGATGACTGTGGCATTGCCCTTGTCGGCTGAGAGGATGACGATGTTGTCTCTCCTTTTTTTGATGTATTAATATTTAACAACCAACCTCTACACATTGTCTCCTCAAAGCTTGCAAAAACACTTTTACATAATGTCCTAAATGAAATGTTCTCTTAAATGTACAGCTGAGGTAATTTTTTATCTGATGGTAAATATGGCACAAATTATGGTTGAAAATAATAATGCTCTTGTAATAATTATTGCAGGAGCATCTGAGCTGTAACATAGTTCCAATTATTAACTCCCCTATGTTTTTTTCAGATTCTACATGTTCTTTTCTGCATAACGTCCGACGTTTCACTCCACGTGCTGGGAGCTTCTTCAGGAACTAAATAATTAATTCATGAAGAAGCTCCCAGCACATTAAATAACTACACAGCATAGCCTACAGTAGTAGTGAAATTCATTGTCTAAAGTGATTGTGTAAGTTATTGTATAAAGCACCGATCCTTCGCTCTATTTGAACCGCATTCTCCCCTACGAGACACCACATCATCCCCGCTGCCGGGTTGGGTACACGCTCTCAGCAGGGCGTTAATAAATTACCAGGCGCACGCCGCTCCACGTGTTGGCAGTCGGCGAGGCTACGCGATCACATCCCCAGCGCAGTAACTATACACTTGGAAAATTCGGTGGCCTTCATTGTCCAGCTTCAGTTTCCTTACACGAGCATCGATTTACGTCCGAGACACAAGCAGCTGCTGAGACGCTCCAATTGTTCGTCTGATGGTTTTTAACGTCGGTTGAGTGATTTTGTTCAGGAGCTTCGTTCATCACGGGCGAACTCGCCATTCCGGCGTAATGTTGTGAATTCGTCCGCTTTTGTTTCTCCCACAAGACAACACCGTCATGAAACTTAAAGGACTGCATCAGCGGTGAAATGGGGCCTTCCATACAATTTCCCTCCACCCCCACCCATTTTCGTAGTTCAGTGCCGAGGCCCCACCAGGCCGTCGGCCTTGGAACCGCTGCACCACCTGCACACTCGACTGCACTGTCAGTGGTGCCAAAAACACTGGCTGACAACACCCTTCTCTTGTCATGAACAAACCTTGCCTTCATATGTTAACATGCGTGTCTGCTCAAGGCATTTTTCTGTGGCTTCCTGCTACGCAAATTGTGATATTGTTTGAAGGTTAACTTTTGAAATGTATGCAGTTTTTATTACATATGGCCTACAAACAGATGTCAGGACAACTGTGAATTCTTGAACTAAGCAGAACTTTGTTTGTTACCCCCTCGTGTGCATGGGGTTTCTCCAGTACTCCAGTTCGTTCCTTCTCACATGCAAAATGATCAATAACGGATTTGACCAAACCGACTCAGTGAGGCTTTCCTGGGTAAGTGAAGGGCACAATCAATTTGCAGAATATTATTATTTATGCACCAACTAATTAAAAATTAAAGTAGAGTAATGCGTGCTATTTTCAGCCTGAACGGGACTGCGTGCTTTTTAAAATTATTCATGGAATGGGGTAAGTTTTTTGAGGAAGCCTTTCCGTGGTCTGACTTGGAACCCAAACAGCAATGACATCAAAACAGAATATAGTTGTTTTGGAGAATTCATGAAATCATAAACACTCTTTACGTTAAAAGACGAAGTACAAAGCAAGATGTTAACCAAGCATTGTTTGACAGGATGGTAATGCGTGTTGCACAATTTTACAATTGACATAAATGTCAAGGACGTGTGAGTGTGGCAGCCCAGGCTGGGGACAGCGTGAAGGTGGACAATGGCGTAACTCTCTCGGAAGTGTTTTCAGGTTGGCACGGTGTCCGATGTTTCGCTTCGCGTCCAGGAGCTTCTTCAGGAACTAAATTCAATGGAGCGAAACTGAAAATTAAGTTCCTGAATTTAACTTGTGGAGCCAAACGTCGGACATCATTCCGAACAACAGGCAGGAGAGCTTACACAGCACAGGCGCGCAAGCCTACGCAGTGGTATGCACAAGGGTGGTCAGAATAGGGATTCATGAGCGCACAGCCTGCATGCAAATGTGGTTGCGTGTTCCTTTGCGGGGCACCCTCTGAAATTTGTTTTCCGTGTTGCGCACGGCAGAGTTCTGTTTCACAAAGCACTCATTTGCATGCCTGTGCTTGCCCCCCCAATTAGGAGATCCCGTCCGACCACAGTGCCTAATTGGCTGGCCCGTGCCCAAGTAATAAAAGCTTTATTGTCATGGCAAACAGGAATTGGCAGCTATCAGCCACGGCTTGTGGGGAAGAAGAGAGGGCACTTACTCTAAGCAGCTAGTAGATATGCTACCAGATTAAAGTGATTTATTTGGTGTGCTTCTGGACACCATTTTACTGATAACATTTAAATTGGAAGCTCGAACGTAGAGCCATCACGTCTAAAAAACGAATTGGAAGGACATTTTAATAAAAGTGTGTTCTGTGATTTGTCATGTGATTCTACCTTTCTTTTTTTAATCACAGTATTATAATAGACTAAGATTTTTATTTTATTACGGGGCTTTAATAGATGGTCAAACACCCTATGATGAGATTATAACATGGAAAATGCTGCTACCATTGCTGAGCGAGGAAAGGGCCCATGGAAGACTGAAACGATTTGCCAAGAGGAGGTACGTTTATTTATTGCTATCGATGTAACTAAATGATTCTACTCGAAAAAAACAGCCAATTCTGTTTGTAAAACATGGTTCTTTGCTTGGAGTCTGCTCCTCTGTGCGGTTAGTGCTTCACCCATGCTATCACCTTACTATTTAGAACATGTTTTTAACACTCAACATAAGCAATAGTAGTAATACGGTTACCGTGTCAGGAATGCATATCATTCTACCGCGTAGGTTTTCGCGGTTGTGTTTTTTGTGTTGTACCGCGTGCGCCTGAAGAAGCTCCCAGCACGTGGAGTAAAACGTCGGACATCGTGCCGAACAAAAACACTTGGTAACAACTGAAAGCGTGTAGGAGCGCCACGTAAATAGTTGTTGGAGGTACTGACGCAAGAGGCGCCAGAACAACAGTGCCTCTCAGTGGCCACATCTCGAAGTTGCCTGCGATGAAAGCAACGTCCCTCGCTACGTTGTTAACATTAAGATCCAGGGAAAATGTATGAGAAGCAACTTGTGCGCTTATTTCCATTTGAATACGGTGGTTTGAAAATGTTCTGTACATTGTTACTTTCAATTGCAGTCGTAATGGAAATTGTGGCAGTTTAAAAATAAATAACTTGCTAAAATGTTTTTTTTTGCGAAGAAGCCATTAAAAATAAATTGGGCAAATATTTCAGTGCAGGTCTTTAATAACCCAAAACCAATCTTAATTCTTAGCGAGACTTTCCTGGATTAATGACGACCATGTTATCGTCATTATGAATACAATTTAGGAAAACATTATGCGTGCACTATGTAATGCTTTTCCAACATGTTCGTCTTTGGACAGTTAATTTATCAACTGAGGGGTAGCTGTGAGAGCAATATTCATTTGCATACAGTATTTTCAAATGCTCCTTTTTGGTTTCGTCCATGTGTCCACGTCTTGGGCAAGACCCTCCGGTGAACGTAGTCAGTCTTCTATTGGGTGAGTCCAGAGGGTCGGCGACCTGCGGCTCTGGAGCCTCATGCGGCTCTTTAAAGACTGCTCCGTGACGTTGTTAATGAAGGACCACCACAGTCTCGTATTCACCACGTGCATTGCCGCTCTTGAAATATTGAGTTTATTTTACCGTATTCAATTTTTTTATTCTTGTTATTTTGGTTGACGACCCCTGGGTTAATCCCTACTAACAACACAACTTTTACGTGCGAGCTGTGATTCACTCTGATCATCTTCACGAGAGTTACGGTGCGGCTGCATGGAGCTTACGCATTAACACTGACAACCTTAGCTTAAAAGCGTGAGAAGGAATTTTGTTTTGCTCATTGCGTGAAATGTTTCGTCAGATTGAAGAGAGTGTGACGTTAGAGCATTTGGAAAAGCTGAAGACTGCCTTTGAGGTAAATTGACATTTAGAGCTATTGAATGCAACGGATGAATCCATTCTTGAACAGTTTATTACGGTTTCCAGACTTGTTTGAATTACAGATTACTTGGTCATATTTATAAAAAATATTTTATACGTTGAGACTCTTAAATCTAGATTTAAAACGAATTTCTTTTGAACTGCTTTTTGTGTTTAGTATGTTGTCCTTCCCCCACACCTCTGATTAGCACGGTTGGCTAAGTACGGTGCAAGATGCATAAATACATACGTCAATTGAGAATGTTAAAGAAGCTTTAAACAAACGCTAAATGGAATGAGCAACGATTCATCCGTTTGGCGATACGCGACTTCTGCTCTTCAGCAAGCGGGGTCAGTACCCTACAACCCCCCATCCCCGATGTTACGGAGCTGACTCCATCTGGATGGGGATCCCCAAGCAGATGAACGCTGCCACATTGCGCATTTGAACGACGTGGCCGACTTTAGCCATGAACAATTTCCATGAATGGCCAGGTGGCTCAGCGATAGAGCCGTGTGGCTCAGTCGTTAGGTCGCGAGTTCAAATCCCAGTTCAGGGTTGACTCCGTCCATCGTATTTTACAGGGTCGATAAAATATGTACCACTTTGTAATGACGTTTAGAGCAGTGCTGCTATGGATAGAAAATCGCCCCCGCCAAAGGAAAGCAATGTGACATTTACACCACTGGCTCAGGACTGTAAACGGGACATGGGTACCACCACAATGTTTATTTGACCAGCAGGAATTCATCCTTGATTTTCGACTGTACGTACATATACGTATATTGAACTTATTTCGCACCGTACGTAGCCAACCGTGCTAATCAGAGGACAACAAACTAAGCCGTGCCGTGTGCCAGGAGGAAAACCACGCGGGTGCGGCCAGAGGGGCTCTCGGTTTGGAGGGCTTCACGACGGCCCTCAAGGGCGCCCTGGGGCCCCGAGGCACGGTGAGAGCCGCGTCGCTCACGGCACCGAAACCCGTGGGGCATGGGACCTCGGTGTCTGCCTCTGCCGCTTCGACAACCCACACCGACACAGCATGGGGAGGCCTTGAGCACTAACAAAGGGGTCTGAATTATCATGATTATTATATCCATTACACTTTATGTTCAGAGTACATATATAATCCATGTTTATTAATGGACACAGTAAACATGAACATATGTTCCCCTGTTACGCTGCATTGGCTGTTGTGGCAAGGAGTTCTGGCGATATGCTTATTTTAGATGGCAAGGTGCATGATGCGGTGCTGGGGCCAACATCATACCAGACCGCCTTATCTCCCCAGTGGCGATGCTAATAAACTGGACAACACACTAACTTTAGGTCAAGTCAACCCAGGAGAAGCCCAGACCAGTTTCAATTACCTGTCGCCGGTAGTGTGCATGACCAAGGATTGAACCCCGTAGCAGAGCGTGCCGATCCTCTTGCATGACGTGTATCCATATTTGTATATGAACACACAGGGGCATGCGGTATTACGAAATACATCTTTCATCTCTATATCCGCTTCCACCCCGTTACACAATGATGCGCAGCATTAGTTCCGTTGCTTATGTTCCTCCTCGTCCACCAACAGACGTATTTACAGAAAGAACCGGGCAAGGAGGACCTGCTTCAGTTTGTATTCTTGCCCCGCACAATGCACCAGTTGCTCCCTGTACAGAACAGATTGGGGGGAGGTCAGCATCTTCTTTGAGGTTGCGTTGAGTCTCGAACTCGGGGCATGTACAAACATGCAGCCTTCACGGGGAGACTCGTGCAACGAGCGTAGCGTGTTGGCCAACGGAGTGGGCGGATGGCATTGTTTGTACGTGTGAGGCAACAGCCTGTTCTTTACAATAAGCTCAAAGCTCTTGACATTCTTAACCTGGTGGGACGGGGTAAGGGGGAGTATGGTGAGATGACCCACAGCAGGGGGAGTATGGTGAGGTGACCCACAGCAGTGGGAGAAGCCTCCAAACACCAGGGTTAATTTGCCGCACGTGTGTGTGTATTTTAGCCAATAGACTGATGACTAAAGAATATTATATTTGTATGTAGAGACATGCTATAGACATCTGTTTCTATGTTATGACATGGTGTAAAGTTACCCATGACAAAACACATCGAGAATGCACCTGAGCTCATCAGACACTTAGCAGGATTGATCCGGGACAGTGCGATGATGGGCAACCACCACACTTTCCAGGTGTTATCGGCCCCTGCGCGATCTAGAGCACAGCAGAGAGCAGTGTGGCAAATTCGATTTCTGTACTGTCTTCTACACTGCCCGCCTTCAATCTGCATGGTGAAGTATGGTCAAATACCCCTCATCTTCGAGTGGATTGGTAAAGGGCTTAATGTATCATCGAGTTGAGAGTGTAGCAGGTTTTTTAATATCTAAATTGAAAATGAATTTGTTTAACTGCTTTTTGTGTTTGGTTTGTTGTCCTTCCTCTGCACCTCCAATGAGTACGGTTGGATACGTACGGTGCGAAAAAAGTTCAACATGCATACAACACACACACATGAGATATTGAGTTTAAATCCTTGCCAGGGTTGAATTGGCCCATTATCTTCTCAGGTAAGATAAAACGAACGCTGTGCGGTTGCCACTGCATCACTCAGTATGTATCAAACGTCGATTATCCTCGTGGGACTAGCCCCTGTTCATAGGAATGTGGAATTTCCACGGATGTCTCAGGACTGCCAACATTGATGCACATCCACAATTTAATGATTTCTGCAACCCCCCCCCCACTCCCCCGTGGGATCAGGTGACCAGCTCTTACCCAGAATCATTCTCCAGGATGCATGTGGAAAATATGATGCTGAAAGGCCATTTCTTCCATGGAATACTATTACGCAATTTAAAACATAATCAACTTTTTATTTTGAGAAATCTCTCTCAAGCATTCTACCGCAAGTGCACACTTTACACATCAAGGAGTGGCAATTGCACGTCAAAGAGCTGCCGTAAATGGTTTTGAAGGCACGTTGTTGGTCTTGTAAAATGTGAAAAAAAATAAAAAAAATATGATGCAAAGCAACGTTGTTCTACTCAGAATGTGCCTAATAGGTAGTAGACTAAACAGCACTTTATCAAACAATGCATACAATTTGAGCATTTTTCATGAAGTGAAATTAAATTTTCTGGGCAGTAGCTTAGTTTAAAGATTCTGCTTACTCTCACCCACTGATAATTTAGGTGATTTATATCTAAGGATAGAAAGTATGTGAGCTAAGATTAAATTAAGTACAAGTTATTACATGTACATATAATTGTACATTTCATTTGTAAACAATTACAATTCAAAACACAATGATTACAGGACAGATGTAAATTGTGAAAATAATAAGTCCATTGCCAGCCAACTCACACATTGTCATGAGTGGTTTCACGGCATGCTGGTTAGTCCAGGCTTGTGAAAGGGGTGCTCAAGATGAGTTCAGATGTCGCTCGCTATGGACGTAAACCGTGGCCGCGAATTGAGCACAGGTCACCAGGTTCAAAGTGCAGTGTGCTAAACTCTCCGTCACTGCTCCACGGTTATACTCTAGTTGGATTAGACATTTGGCATGAAAGAGAGTAGAGAAACTAGATATAAGCACCGCTCAAGATAAACAGCGCATGCTTACAATACACTGGTGAGGGAAGGCAACGGGCACCTTCTGATAGAGGCACACTTTGAATATAAGCACACCCCTTAGTAGTCGCAAGGGGTGTGCTTACATCCAATTTCGACTATATAGGAGAGGGTACATTAAGAAGTCGCCCGTCCTGTGCCACCTGTCGACGGACCTGCCCACGTGTCCTTGCCGCACCCTTGGAGCAAGGATACTTGATACACCACATCGACGTGTTCCCGTCGTGTACGCGAGGCGCAATTGAGGACCGCCTCTTGGTGTTGTCATCGCGTAATCAAATCGCTCTCTTGGTGAAGGCATTATGGTTCTGTACCTCCGCTTGTTGGAATGAATGACTGTGGGCCGGGCTCTGCGTGGGTAGGTGCCGATGGGTTTTTGTTTGAGCAATCGTCAGGAATTGCCTCTTTAGCTGTTGCAATTCACATGAAGAGACGTCTCTCCTCACTCCTCGGCGTTTGACGCGCGGCCACAGGCGTCATGCGTTGAGATGGCGGAGAGACTTGGGTTTGTGGGCAAGTCTAGCGAGGATTTAAAGTTACAACATTTTCAACCAGAGGTAAATATAGAGAATTATCAAGAATATATATCGGCATGTTTGTAGTCTAAAAGTATTCAGTCTCCACAGCCGGTAGTCTTATCGTTTATTAATGACAATTTTAAAATGCACTAAAATTATATATTTTAAGTACTACTACTGTGTGCTTAAACATGGTACATATAAAGGATATTCGGGTTACTTTTAACACGATTATGCGTAATTCATAGATGTAATCTGACCGTGAGCATTTTAACTGTTGCGAGGTGTAATACGAGATGTGTGTTCAATGGACTGCGAGGGTTTCACAATGAGGGTGCAAAATGAACTGTTAAATGTGTTTACGTGCCAGCCCGCTTGCCCATATCATCCACAAAAGAAATGTTATTTGTCTCGGACTAAACTTATTAATGTTTATTTGCCGTCATCAGAATGAGGAACAGATTTTGGAACTCTTCAAGAAAATTGACTTTGCAGCTGATGGAGCCATTGAGTGGGTGAGTTGAATCTTATTGCTTCAAGACAACGTCGTATATCTGACAGTCAACATGTGCCCTGGCTAATGAACCGTCCGAGCCGGTCGCTGTATTCGTGCGCGGTGTAGATGTCATTCATGACAGACGTTCACGAATCCAGCCTTTTAACTCTCGGCATTGTGTCCTTAATGTGGCAGACCTCCACTTTTAACATACAGGAGAGAATGTTGCCACACTTCAAGCAGTTTGCGATTGACTTTTGTCTAGAATCTTATTTATGTACGGCACAACAGTCATTGCCATGTTCACATACAGTACTTGATTGTTTACACGTATCCACCCCTACCTTAGTCTACTGGGACACGTGTGTGTTTATGCACAGACAAGCGCTGTAGTCTGATAATGTGATCTTACCTCTTCAAGCCTGCCCATGACTCAACACGTGGGATGTGCCCGACCTCATTAGATCTCGGGAACGAGAGGCAGGGCTTGAGCCGAGACAGCGCTTGGATGGGCGAGCACTGTGCACGCCACGCTTCCTTGCGCACTTCCCAGTTTCTCTTCCCACCTCGGCCCTGCCAGGAGGCGTTCTGCACCCACATGCAGCTGCGGTGCGCCGAGCGGCAGGAGGCGGCGCAGCGTGCGCGGCGCGTGTCGCTGCGCGTGCCCGCGCCGTGCCGGCCCAGCCCGCACCGCGCCCCCGTGGCGCGCGTGGAGAGCGCTCCGGACGGGGCCGCGGGCTTCGTGTCCGCCTGCGGCGCCGGCTCCGTCGCCTTCTGGGCGGCCGCGGCGGGCGCCCCGCAGCTCAGGCGCTGCCGGCCCACGCTGGTACGGTGTGAGAGACTCGCCTCGTTTGCTTCAGAATCAGAATCTTTACTTCGTACTGGAGGAGGGAGGAATCCGATGAGCTATGAAGCTCTGTGTCACAGATGTCCATTCGGGACCACGGGTCAGAGGGCTACAACAACAAACGAACCAACAACCGATAGGAGTGCAAATTATGAGAAAGGTAAGCAAGGCAATATGAATGCGTAAAACTAAATAAAGCATGTAAGTACAAATAGCAGTTGCCACTTCCGAGGAGAGGTTTAAAACAACCAGCAGCGACGCATTAAGGGACCATCCATTGAGTACGCATGCATAGGAAACAGGGGGGGGGGAGTGTGAAGCCTCGATAATAATGTCTACATTCGCTGTCAAATGAGTTAGATAGTCCGGCGGTGGACTATCTGTTTGCTTAAACACGTTAATATTATTAATCCTTGATCGTTTCTGCGTGGATTAAATATCGGCCGTTCTATAGGATTCGGGGGGGGGGGCGGTGTAAGAAGTCCGCGTGTGTACAGGGAGGGGGGAGGGGTCACGTCTTGACAGATTTTTGCTACCCACTCAATGGATGGCCGCTAACCATGAGCAAGGATGGCAATTTGGTGGGCAAACGAATGCTGCATGACAATACTCGTTTTCGTTCTACGTTTTTGTATCTGTCGAAATCAAGTACCGCCCCACCGTGAAGCCATCATCACTTTTGGTCACGTTGATCGAGACAATCCGGCTCCCGTGTGGGTGACACAATGCGTCACGATATCACCATGCCTGCAGAGAGAGAGAGAGACCATTTAGAAATTGCATCAGGATGGTGAAATAATACTCGACTTTAAGCTTTCCTGACTGCAGGAACACTTGTTGCAAGATTGATTGAGGTAAAAAAAAGTTAACTACAAACATCATTCACAAGAGGGCAAAGGTCTTTTTCTTAGAAATGGATGTCAACATCCTGACACGTAACATTCACGGCGTCAACTTTGGCTCTTTAGTTGGTGATGCTGCTGCTGCATTGGTGCACATGCACAAATAACGACAACAAAACTCAACACGTTCCCCAATAACTCTGCGTCAAATTACACAGAGTCTCTACCTCTCCAGCCTGTGTGCTGTGAAGAAGAGCCATTGCCTTAAACGTCGCCTATTGTACACTTTTTCTCTGGACAACTGTTGAAAAACTTTATCTATGCACGCACTTCGCATGCAAGTGTTCTTCCCAAACCTTAAAATCCGCTTCCCACCTCCCTTTGCTTGGCTCTGCATTCAGCTAGCAACGTCACTCCCATTAGCCCTGTAGACAACGCTTGCTTTGCATTGGCTTTTTTTTCACTATCACCTAAACTCCTGCAAGTGGCTGCAGTGTTGTGTTGACATTCGTTATCTCATTTGACAACCAGGAGGAACACAAACCGAGCAACCGAAGCAAACAGAAATGGGCCTCGGACTTCGCACTGATGCCCCAGTACAACAAGTTCATTGTCGCCACTGGGTGCGTCTCCTACGCACGCTTGTCACCGCAGTCGAGTCGCGCAAAATACGACATCACAAGCGGTCTCAGAGTGCTCGGACTTCGCTCATTACAATTTCGCCTTGCTGTGCTTGGACTTTGTAAACGATGAAGGGGAAATTATTTGCATTCGTAGGGCGCTTGCTTACGTTCCTCAGCAACTCAAAGCGTCTTGCATCTCTCATCTCAGCCCAACCATTCCACGGCCCGCTGCAGCCTAGCCAAGGGGATCCCCGAGTGCAGCTCTCCCCACGCAGCACTTTGTGTTGACACAGTGCCGGCCTGCACATGGGCATTAGTCTGCGGGTAGGAGGCGACGTTGCCACGTGCTCTGTCTAGAGATGATGGTAATGAGAAGTCTATGCTTTTATCATCTCACTTGACCATCTTATCTGATTTTATATATATATTTGTATAGTGCCTTATTGCAATGTGCTTTACAATATTTGTCAAATTCTACGTTATATGATAGTGGTTCAAATAAAGAGTGGGGTTATTAAAACTGGTAGTGTAGCTATGGTGACAGTAAGGATGACGGGTGGCGGTGGTTAAGGAGGGATTGGGGTTGGGGTAGTGATATAGGTAGTGATAGTGGTAGTGATAGGGGTAACGGTAGTGATATGGATAGCGGTAGAGATATGGGTATCGGTAGTGATATGGGTAGTGGTAGTGATATGGATAGCGGTAGTGATATGGGTATCGGTAGTGATAGGGGTTGAGGTAGTGATAGGGGTAGTGGTAGTGATATGGGTAGTGGTAGTGATATGGGTAGTGGTAGTGATATTGGTAGCGGTAGTGATATGGGTAGTGATAGTGATATGGGTAGTGATAGTGATATGGGTTGTGATAGGGGTAGCGGTAGTGATATGGGTCGTGGTAGTGATATGGGTAGTGGTAGTGATATGGGTAGCGGTAGTGATGTGGGTAGTGATAGTGATATGGGTAGTGATAGGGGTAGCGGTAGTGATATGGGTAGCGGTAGTGATATGGGTAGCGGTAGTGATAGGGGTAGCAGTAGTGATATGGGTAGCAGTAGTGATATGGGTAGCGGTAGTGATATTGGTAGCGGTAGTGATAGGGGTTGAGGTAGTGATAGGGGCAGCGGTAGTGATAGGGGTTGAGGTAGTGATAGGGGTAGCGGTCGTGATATGGGTAGTGATAGTGATAGGGGTTGAGGTAGTGATAGGGGTAGTGGTCGTGATATGGGTAGTGATATGGGTAGTGGTAGTGATATGGGTAGCGGTAGTGATGTGGGTAATGATAGTGATATGGGTAGTGATAGGGGTAGCGGTAGTGATATGGGTAGTGGTAGTGATATGGGTCGCGGTAGTGATATGGGTAGCGGTAGTGATATGGGTAGCGGTGGTGATAGGGGTTGAGGTAGTGATAGGGGTAGCGGTAGTGATATTGGTAGTGATAGTGATATGGGTAGTGATAGTGATATGGGTAGCGGTAGTGATGTGGGTAGTGATAGTGATATGGGTAGTGATAGGGGTAGTGGTAGTGATATGGGTAGCGGTAGTGATATGGGTAGCGGTAGTGATAGGGGCAGCGGTAGTGATATGGGTAGTGATAGTGATATGGGTAGCGGTGGTGATATGGGTAGTGGTAGTGATAGGGGTAGTGGTAGTGATATGGGTAGTGGTAGTGATATGGGTAGCAGTAGTGATATGGGTAGCAGTAGTGATATGGGTAGCGGTAGTGATATTGGTAGCGGTAGTGATAGGGGTTGAGGTAGTGATAGGGGCAGCGGTAGTGATAGGGGTTGAGGTAGTGATAGGGGTAGCGGTCGTGATATGGGTAGTGATAGTGATAGGGGTTGAGGTAGTGATAGGGGTAGTGGTCGTGATATGGGTAGTGGTAGTGATATGGGTAGTGGTAGTGATATGGGTAGCGGTAGTGATGTGGGTAATGATAGTGATATGGGTAGTGATAGGGGTAGCGGTAGTGATATGGGTAGTGGTAGTGATATGGGTCGCGGTAGTGATATGGGTAGCGGTAGTGATATGGGTAGCGGTAGTGCTAGGGGTAGCGGTAATGATATGGGTAGCGGTAGTGATAGGGGTTGGGGTAGACCTCATGTATATGTTCCACCTTCTCAGAGAAAGATACTGCATCTTTGAATGTATTAAATACACTCAATTAACCAGTGGGTTGTAGCACACAGCAACACTTTTCCTCACACGTGATTTTCGTTGTTGCCCTAGCTATTGTGAGCCTCACCTTACAGCCCTCTTCCTGCAGTTTATTTCAAGTGGCCGCCATGATGACTGTAATTAGCAATAACTGAGGCTGTTAAACATTTTTTTTCAAATTTTCTGTTGTCTGTTAACATTTTAATGTTACGTTCTAAAGTAGGAGCTATGCACTTATTTATATTGAGCATTATCTTAAAAAATGTGCACCCATGCTTAATTCAGTCGTGATATTTCGAATACAGGCCGCATTATTCACAAATATGCAACAAAGAGAGATATACAGTGAGGGAAAAAAAGTATTTTTGTGCCTTGTGAACACTGCATGTGCCTTGTGAACACTGCATCTGTATCAATAGACAAATTGTGCCATTATGTACAGTAGCAATAATAGACTCAAACGCCACGAATCACACACGAACCTGCCGCTTGGATGGACAAAGGATTAAAAAAACTTAAACCGTTGTTTCAACTGCGGTGCCGGGAGATCGAATTCAACTGGCGACCTGTGGAGTGCTAACCGTCACACCACGTCAGCGCGATAGTGTGTAATCACGAGACACAAATGATGACCTACTGAAGTCCCCACATTTCAAATGGCATCGTTCTTCCCACTGCTGTGCATGTGACGGATTCACAGCTGGAAGTGTGCAAATGAAATGACTTCATCCCCCTTGTTAATGGCTTTCGCGCACGGTGACGAGAAACTGGAGGCGACATTTAACGCCATTAACGGAAGTGATGCTTGGTGAAATTGCTTTATTTTAGTTACTTAAGCAATTTTAATCGAGTGAGCCCATCGAGACAAGAATAAATAAATGTTCAAGGTAGACTTAACCTTCGCACAGTAGTGGCTTCTCTGCACAATAATTGCCCCATCAATTTTGTCTAATTTCTATCGCAACAAATTCATATCAATTAAATTAATCGCACATCAGTTAGCCACACTCTAATAATGCAGATAAGTCAAGTAAACAATAACGGATAAACATTAATGCCCACTTATTTTCTGTCCCAAGATGTACAACAATGATGAAAATGTTATTCATAATAGCGGTTTTTTTTGGGTTAGATAATGTAAATATATAAATGTGTCGTTAAAACCCGCCACCACCCGACACAGCCAACTAGTAAGGGTCGTCACATAAACAGAACGTGCCAATTCGTCACTAGTACAGCACACCGGTGTGTTGGAGAGCCAAGCCACAACATTTATAATCTGAGTACGACGTTTCGCCAGTAATTACAATTAGCTTCATTAGGCGACAGCCAGATTTGTGGAGAAGTCCACATGTTTCGTTCCTTCTATAGAGGCGTATATGTGGTGACCACGCAGCTGCGCTCTCGCACAATGTGGGGGGGGGGGGGGATTACTGAGTCGACGTACATTACGCATGCACATTGTGTGTATTAAAATAGCTGTACCAACGGTAATCCCTATTGAATTATGGTGGCCTGTACAGGCATGCATTTAAACAATGTTTTATTTGATGATTCGCTTCCACGCAGCACTAAGTCGGTAGCTATCCGAACGGTTAAAATTATTTGTATTTATTTCAATTTTGATAGATTATCTAATTAGTCTTGGCCAGTAGTAGCTAGTTTTGCACAGAACTTCAACATTATAAAAATCAATTGAGTGTCCTTGTTGGCACGTGGTGTAATGGTTATCACTGGACTTGCAATTCAGAGGTGCATCAGGGCGCGCGACAGGGGATGAAGTGCTGCACAGCGGCTCGAGCAGGGAGACACGCCCACATCATCGCTCTGGCGACGTCAAGGGTCAGTTTGCAGAGATGAACAGAGTTGCAATCAACACAGAGACACGTTTACAAAAAGCACTCAACCTCTGTGCATTTGTAAAAACCATCAGCAGTTACTGAAAAACGGCATTGCAGTCCTCTTGTCGGTTGGTTAAATTGGAGCAAATGTGACTGACAAATGAGCAAATGTGACTGACATATTGACAGGCAAACAGAGGGAGACTCAATCGGGGATTTGAAATCTGGGTGTGAATGGGTTTAACGCGCAGTGTCCTCTAACCACGCAGGGACCGTGAGATTCAGCTGTACGAGGTGTCCACCTTCGAGCCCTACTGCCAGATCAATGCCTTGGAGACGGTCCCCCTACGCATCCACTACAGGTACGTTGGGCTCACAGCGACCGCATTTCTCCACCAGGTGCGGCGGTGGCGATGAGGGGTGGATCGATGCATCCTTAGTTCATTGGTTAATATCATTTCTTGAAGTCACGATACAATACATGCTTTATCAGTAATATTGTTAATAATTCAATTTGTTTGGGTTGTAATTAATGGGTCTACGTCACCCCTGCAGACAATTGAGGTGCTACCATTCACCACATTGTAAACAAAACAAAAAAAATCTTCTATTGAATTGCAGCCCTGAATTGCAAGCATTATTCGAATTGCTGGGGTGGTAAATGGTATCACCCCAAGTAACGAGAGTGCTCACCTCACAAGGTCGAGAGTTGAAACCCGGTCAGCTGTTATTCAGCCCATCGTTGTGGGCCACAGTAATAGTCTGTTTAGTTGGTAAAGGTAAAAGTTCAAGCTACAGCCCTGTGATTTCCTTCTCACGCCACTGCAGGCGGAAGGGACTCCAGCTTTGTCTGCGAAAGGAAGCCGTAGCCCCTCTAGAGGGTCTTATTGGATAAGGTGGAAGTACCCACACTTTACCCTATCACACACGATCTACCGATAAACTATCTAGTGTACCAATTTATATTGCTGTGTGGACAAAGGTGAGGGCGATGTAAGAATGCTGCCCATAATTTCAAGTGAATATGATAGATGATATGCAATGCTTTTTAACTGCTATTTTAACTTACACAAGTCTAACACTTTTAAATCGTTTCTGTTTCCCAGTCACACGGGAGAAGACGAGTGCATGATTCTCTACGGAGATTCAGAGGTGCTGCTCGACAATTCACTTATAATTCTCAAATCAATTTGTATTTGCTCTGTGCTTCGCAAGATATTCAAAGCTTCACAGTCACCATATTAAACAATAATTCGAAAGCAATTAATGAGCTGCAATGGTGAGATTCAGGATGAAATTATATATCAACATTCAAATTGATACTGGTACATAGTGGAGCTTCGGTGCAGTAAATTACAAACAGTCCTGTGAACCCGGCAACCTCAGTTGAATTCCCAGCCACGACCAATGTCGGTGGTGAGGGACATCTGAACCACCGACCCCTTCCCCGACCCGCACTCACTAACGCGGCAATGTGAGGTGTGGTTGGCAATCATCCAGCAGTGGAGTGATAAAGGCATGTCAATCTTGATTGACACAGGAAGCTATCCTTCATAGGGTCTTCACATTGTCACAATTGCACATGTCGGCTGGAAACCGGTGAAGCCGAGCGGGGTCCTTCTGCCTGTGCATGCTCAAGAGGCCCTCTACCTCCAGGTGGATCACACCTCTTATGTTCTAGTAATGCCGTTCGAGTAAATGTTCCGGGTGGTTAAGGGGCTTGAACTGTTGACCCTGTAGAAACGTGCTCGGTGGTGAGCATGTTACCCACTCTGCCATGAGACCGATATGTACACGTGTGGCCCTTTTCAAGCCACTGATAAATGAGGGCTTCCCCATGCCATGCAGGCTATGGGAGTTACATGACCAGATTTCACGTTGGTCACTGCAGGTTGGTTAAGGCAGAGAACATAGATGTGCGAGCATATAAGCACAGTCTAACAGTGAATTTTGTTGTAATGCCCTCCATGTAGCCCACAGCCTGTAACACATGTTATGCATGGTGGTCACTACCCATGCTCACTCCTGTTTATCGTCTGATATCTGATGATATAAAAGTCTATACAAAAGTCGGATAAACAGAACAACATGTGGGGAAATACGAGGAGAGCTGAGATATCTGAATATTTAAGCAATGTATTAATCTTCTGATGATCAGTTTGATGATGCGACTGTTCAGAACACGAAAATACTTGGAATTAAAAGTTTCACCTCTGTTCCAACGTGTGGCACTGGACGGGAGGCAATAGGCGGGGCTTGGTGACCCCATCGGCATCAGCCACGCTGGACATGGCTTGTAGGGGGTTTCCTGCCTTCAGGAGGCAGGATACGGGGGTGACCACCATTTTAAAGGGGGCATCGAGTCATTGCCCCACAAAAAAGTAGAATACATTTTTTAGTCGACTAACCGACTTATTCAACGAGTTTCCCCAGTTCTATATATGAGTTTGTCACGTAACCTATCTCTAATACTGAAAAGCATTTGTGTTGTTTCAGGGCTGTGTGAATATCTTGTTAATCTCATCAGTGGGGGAGACACTAAGGTGAGTAGATACAGCATCAATATTTCTTTCAATACTACTTTTTCATACCATGTACCGGCTCGGTGGCTAAATAATAAGAACTGTGGCCGATAATGATAGAATCCGAAATTTGTCTACTCCTTCATTTGAGTCACGGGGTAGAAAACCAGACACACGGGCCACGTTTCAAACTAAAAATACATAATCCCACACCATATCCCTACCTTCTCAGTAAATAATTCAACTAATATTGTGACATATGGTTGGAGAATTCGTTGGTTAGATATTTGGTTCCTTTGTTTGTTGGTTGCATGGTTGGTTAGATGCATGTTTTGGAGTGGGCCTTACTTGGTAACATAGAAAATAGTTTTAAAAGTTTAATATGTCCATAGATGGTTGGGTGGTTGGTCAGATGGATGTTTGGATAGATGGGTAGTTCGTTGGTTGGTTCCTGGTGAAGAGCAACAGACGGTCAATGTGTGATGTTTGGATCTTGGGTGAAGGAGAGTGCAAGTCCCTTGACACTCGCTGTGCTACAACAGGCTTTGGAAGAAGAATCCTCCAGTGGATGGGGTGCCCAGTATCACCCTGGAGAATGCCCTCCACCACTCCAACCTCACCTACATCCACTGGAAAGTGCACGACGACTGGGTGACAGAGGTGCACGACCGCCATCCCCTTCTGCACCATTGTAATCATCGTCAGTCATTCCCCTTCCACTTTGCAATGAAGGCCTCTCAGTTACTGCCAATTTTCATAATTGCTATCCATAGCCAAGTTCCTTCTGCTGCTAAAAGAAAACCACTCCATATACTTGCCATCCCTCACGGTCCCGTGATGCTATAATCGATGTCCATCCTGCGCGTGAGCGTAGATTATTGCTCCATCTCCGCAATGCACATGCTCTTTGTCGTGTTCCTTCCTTTGGCTGCCACTCTGTCGTTAGTGGCTGCTGGTCCATCGTTATCTCTTTTAGAAACACGTCCTTCCCATGGCCATTGGCTTGTCTTAACAGTCACTGTGGTATTCTTTGGGTCTTTTGGTAAAGTCACATAGAGAGGATCAAAGAAAATAACAAAAAAATAACAAAAGACTACGTCGTATTTAGTTACGTGACTTTACCAAAAGACCCAACGAATATGAATTCCTGCAGTCACGAAAGCTTTAAGTCAAGAGTCACTATGATTCTCTAATTTGTGGTAGTACTGTGATCCGTGTGGTCATCTTTCTGTCTCTTATTATAATTTCCAGCATGCATCTCTCCATTATTCTTTGGATACTTTTGAGCTTTTGCTCCATGTGCATTGTCAATGTCGATGTTTCTGATCTTCATGCGTGGCAGATAATACGTGGTTATTGAAACTTTTCTTCTCGTGGTCTATTGCTATGGAAACATACACCGCTTACCAGTGCATTTTTAAGTAGGACAACAGTTTGGCATGGTCTGACTTTAACTCGCTTTCCGCTTGTTGCAGAGATTCACGGTTCCAATTCCTCGGCCGCCCTGATTATGACCGCAGGTGGAATAGCAATACTACGCACTCTGTGCTTCATGGCTGATGTTAAAGATACGCTGATGTAATTCGCAAAAGTTGACCAGCGTGTCGCCTTGAGGGTCCAAACTTGCCAAATGTGAAAGTGGGACTATACACAGCAATAATTGCCTCCTATTTGCAGAATAATGTGCCAGGTCACTTTTGCAAATTAGGCTATCCTGCTCTCTTGAGTTCTCACCTGGTTAAACAAAATTGACGTGAGTTTCTTTGGCACGTGTGATGCAGCTTCACGTGTATTTATGTGTGCGCGTGTGTGTGCGCATACGTATACGTGCGTGTCACTGCAGATTAAGTATTATGAGTCCATCCGGGCAGTGATATCCTCCTCAAACCACGAAGGCACTGCACTTGTCATTGGTGAGTTTAACTGCTTGTATTATCATATTAACGTAAAAACTTTTCTCATTTTAATTCCAAGTGATCGTAAATTGCTGCATGCCGAGCGATGGCGACGCCGATGCGTGTCACAACGCGCCGTGCGCCCCGTGTTGGTCGTGTGTCACGTGCGTGACGAAGGGTGCACGACGGGCGCCACCAACCTGGAGGAGGAGCTCATCAGGGACACGGCCGGGAACCTCCGCGCCAGGCGGCCGTGCGGCCTGGGAGCGGCACGACGCAGAACGGCCACCGACCAGACGGTGTTCCGCGTGCACAAGGGCGTCAAGACGTTCTGCTTCAGCAAGGAGAGGAGCTTGGTGGTGACGGGCGGCATGGACCGCACCGTGCGCCTCTGGAACCCTTACGTGCCCGGGTAACCGCACCTCGTCGCCACGACGGCGCTGAGCATCGCAGAGGAGAGGGGGGTGGCGCACATTCGACAATGTATCCCAGTGGTTTGACGGCTCGTGTGTAAGTGTTAGTGTTGGGATTCATGTTAATGTTATGAGTGGTAACGGTAGAGTTGAACTCGAACTTCATTCACACCGTACGTAGTCAACCGTGCTAATCGGAGGTGTGGGGGACGGACAGCAAACTAAACATAAAAAGCAGTTCTAACGAAATGAGTTTTAAATCTAGATTTTAAAGTGTGTAGTTCCCGTGGCTTCCTCATATATCGGAAGGAAGAACGTTTCAGATGGCTGCAGAAGCACATATGAAAGTGCACGATGCAGTGACCGTCTTTGTCCAATGGCTAGCTAAAAGCCACTGCTGCGAGGATGACCGGAGTTTTCTCGTTGACGAGAGTGTTGTCGTGGTTGTGTGGTTGGTATATTGATAAATGCTGAGTGCCGATTGAATGGTTAAATGCCTTGTGGATGAAGTAAATGTAACCGAGGCCGCGTGAATGTCCACATCCCAGGAGGCCCACGGGTGTATTGAGGGGTCACACGTCGCCCATCTGCTACCTGTCCATCTGTGAGGAGACGTCCCGCATCTTCTCGGTCGGCTCGGACAGGAACGTCAAAGTGAGTTGGTGCCGTCCTGCGGTGGAGCAAGACGAGCGCCACCGTCGAGAGTAGAGCTTCGCTATCGATAACCTTCAATTGTGGAGTCCAGTCACATGTGCTAACATTTGACATCAAATGTTTTTGTAACTGCAATTACACAAGATCACCCTAGCTAAGACTAATGTTAGTTTTAGCTAGAGTTATACACCTGTTTAGGTTTCTGATATAAATTAATTTTTCCTGAGAAACTCAGCACTGTATCAATTTGATCTACAGCCATAAGTTTTGCGTTCAACGTACAGGATGATCAATTTATAGATACCCCACTAAAATAATATGGAGGAATTTTACAAACAATGGAACTTAGGGTCCAAGCCCCTACACGTCTCCCACCAATCTCAATCCGTCATTCCCTCGTTAACTGCGACGAGGGATACGTTCTGGAGATGCTCATTAATAGCACATTTCGCGGGTAATGATATTGGCCTTCGGAAACCTATCTTTTGAATGAATTACCTTAAATGAATATGTAAATAAGCTATTAAATACGTGGACATTTTGATAACAACGAAATTTTTTGTTAAAATAAACATAAAGTAAATAAAAATAAATGTTAAAGGATTAAATAACAGTAGAAGGAAGCAGTGAAGATGATGCTGAAAGACGATGACGACGATGATCATGGTGATGATGATGATCGTTGTGATGTTATTACTGCTCCTTCAGAGAAGTAGAGTTCCAGATGCTCTTCCCGGATAGCAAGTTCGTGAATAACGAGAGAATACCGTATACTTATTACATTCGGGTAGAAGCCGGGTGACCTGGGGGCTAGAAGGGTCCGTGGCAGATAAACAATAGAGCAAAGAAAGAGAGGAACACTGCGACACTATTCGGGGCTAGGCAACAAGGGCCCAGCACCAAGAGTGAACCCGGGGGAGAGCCGGTGCAGCCAGGGCAGCACCAACGAGTTCCAGAGCTTCCTTGGGACGGGCGGACGGTAGGGGGGTTTGGGGGCCGAGGTCCCCAAGGGCAACTAGGGCAGCGCTAGCGACAGACGGGACCCAAGATAAACGCGGGAGGCGGCAGTGCTGAAGAGCGTGGGTGCGGAGGAGAGGTCAGGCAGGAGTCGACCTTCACTCTCCTCGCCCGCCGTGTTTGGCCGGTGTCTCCCGCTCAGGTGTGGGACGCCCAGGAGCAGACTTGTCTGTGCTCCGTGAGCCCCAAGATGAGCGGCCTGCGAGGGGAGGTCTCCGCGTGCCACTACTTGCCCGCCGCCCGGGCCCTGTGTGTCGCCACCGAGGGTGGCGTGGCTCTTCTGTCCGTCCGCGACGGGTGAGCGAACGTGTCAAGCGGGTTCCAGTTTCACGTTCATTTTGTGCAACCGGGTGAGAAGTCAAGAGGCCAGGATCGAGGCTTATTTGCAAGAGTGACCTCAGGGGGCTTTGTCGGCATGGCTAAGGTGGCGCATGTGTGGCCTTTTTGTCTTTGTGCTGTTCCCACGCACACAGTGGGGAGCGGCAGTGCCACAGATAGCGTGCTGCGCTACGATCCCGGTGGCACGAGTTCGATTCCCGCTCATGGCCAACACCAGTGACGATTATCTGAATCGGTCCTGGGCCTCCTCTAGGTTGACTCAGCCTCAAATGAGTACCTGGTGCAATGTGTAAACATCGCCACTGGGGAGACAAAAACGGCCGGATGTGATGCTGGCCACCCACCCCGTCATGTGCTGTGCCTGCCTTCATAGGTGCTCCCGAACAGCACTTGCCCCAACAGTCTGTTAAGGCTATGCGGGGGATCTTTGCCTTTGTGCTGCTGCCAGGCTGCACATGGACGCCGGGGCGGCCACAAGTCACAGGGAGCCCGTGCGCTGCTGTCGGTACAGCGCTGAGTTCCGCCAAGTCGTGAGCTGCTCCGAGGACTCGGTGAGTTTCAGCCTCCACGAGGCATGGGCCAGCACCACATCAAATAACGAGTGCATTGTACATTTGGCATTCATGCCGTTCTTCTTCTTTTGTTGGTGGCTGGGGGGGTGATGCTGTTAGTTGGTCGTGGCAATTGAGGGGATGATGGGATTGGTAGAGGATGCGAGGGGGGATGGTGGAGGTGTGCCGTGTGCGTGCCACGCGCCGTTCGCAGGTGGTGAAGCTGTGGGACTTGGACTCGGGCCTCCCCACGTTCGAGTTCTGCGGGGCGCACGGGGAGTCGGCCATCACCTGCATGGCCTTCGACTCGAGCGGCAGGAGGTGGGACTCCCTCCTCCCATCGCACAGCGTCAGCCCCTCCTGCTACGTCAGCCCCCACGAGGGATGAAAGGGATCATCAGCCAACCTCCGCTCAGTCTGAGACACCATCGTTGGATGCCAGTCATATGTCCACTCATACCTTCCATACAACTTTGCATACCTGACCACAAATCAATTCCACCAATTGTTGATTGGCTCTAAACATGGTAACTGCTCCAGTGTCATGTGTTAGACGTGCACATCTCACACGTGTGTCTGTGTTGGTATGGGGAAAATATTCTTATTATCACTTGGCAAGTTTCTATGATATTTGAAGAGGTATCCACATCATGTATATACATAGTTCCTCCACTGCATTTAAAGATGCTTATAGTATTAAAATGCTAAATAAATCCAAGTTATTTATAAAAAGTTTTCCTCTTATGTGCTCCTCCTGAAGAGAAATGTTCTTCACTTGTGTGTACGGTATGATTGTTTTCACGGACACGAATATATTCTTCTGTATTGTGATCTTTCATTAGTAATTCAGGCATGACTTCATGGCTGATTCCTATTCAACTGAGGTCAATGTAGGACATACTGAGCAGTGCTGGTGGGGATTTTGTTGATGTTGCGAACTCAGCTACAGGTTTGCGAGATCAAGTGGGAGCTGTTGTGTTGACCGGCTGTGTGGGGCGTGCAGGCTGATTACAGGCGGACGAGATGGGTGTTTGAAAGTGTGGAACTACAACAACGGGCAGTGTTTGCGAACACTAAGGAAACGTAAGTTCCCATCACTTGGAACTGATTGAAATAAAAAAATCACCATGCCCTTATCTTTACAATTCTATTCCCTTACGTATGGCAATCATATGTTCGGTAGCTAAATACGAATGTAGAGGAGTGCTAGCCACCAGAGGTCTTCAGGAGAGAGTTTGTGTAGTTTTGCTGTTCCTTCTCTACTGATGGAGCACTGACTACATTTGTTTACTGTATGGTCCCTAGTTTAGGTTGCATTGCCACATTGACACTTTGGCTGTGTCTGTACATTTACATTCATTAAGGAGATGTGCGCATTGGCCTGTTGAGGTCCTAATGCAGTTGATGGTTCCACCAGTGTCTTTTAGCAGTGTCACAGCCTGGAGGTATGATGTTTGAGTCTCGAATGAGGAATTTCTTTACCTTCCATTTCGAGAAGATCAATGCCTCCATGGTTTTTGTTGGGGGGGGGGGTGTTATAAAGCAAAACACGAGGTATTTTCAAAATGTCACGTATGTGAAGTCATACAATATATAGAGTTCACAATAGATGGACAAGAATCTGACCGCAGAAGATATTCATGTGAATTTCGGTTATTTACCAATATTTCACATCAGTATTTGTTTAAACATGTGAACTCTAGCCTGATAACTCTGGCCTCGTAAACAAATGCTGCTGGTTGCCAGGTGGTAAAGTGAAGAGCCGTCCGTCCACACAACCTCGGCTGGTGTGTGGACCATGCGGCTAAATGCAGCAGCATCTCCTACAGGAGTGATGAATTATCAATCTATGCATACACACACACGCACAAACTCATATACTAAATGTGTACACTTCATAATTATTGGCTGTTAGAAAATAGACACAAAATATAATTGTCTAAGCAAGTGTTAAAATGTGATAGTTAGAAGTGCATTCTCAATGCGACAGAGGGAGTGCTTTCCTCACGTTTTGAGTAAGCAGTATCATCCGTTACTCCACCAATATCAGCAGTGTTTTTTCCTCTCTCAGAAGACTGTCGTTAGTAACACAGCACTTTAACACATAAAACAAGGTGTAATTACTTCCATCCAATTTGTACATATGAGAAAATAAAAAAGTTAAACACAAAACAAGGTAAATTTTCTCCTCACACAAAGAACAATGTTACAGTATTCTTTAAATGAGTGGTGGCGCAGTGGTTTGGGCAATGCGAACATCAGTGGCTAAGAGGGATATCTGACCCCAATCCTGGGCCCCCTTTTCACAACCCGCACTGACTAGCGTGGTGAAGTATGGCCAAACAACCATTATAGCATGAGACATTTATCCAGCAGTGGATTGACAAAGGGCTAAAATCTATGTTATGGATAGACTTCGATAACCTGGTACAACATCCCTTAATTGTTACATGAAGATTTGAATGTGTATCGCTTCAGAATTAACTTGTGCACAGAAGCATCGAAGCGTGAATTGGACATGTGCAAAGCTTTAAGACTTTGCCTGCATTAACTGAGAATGTGTGGTTTGCTCAGTGGATGATAATGCCTTCTTATCAGTTCACATTTCTTTTGCAGAAAGGAATGCTGAAGAGATCTGTGACTGTACGTACGTAGTGGTCAATAAAAACAAGTGAGTTCCCCCCCATAACAAACATTTAGAAAAAGACAAGGGAGTCAAATCGTCTGTCAGAATCCGTGCTTGGTCAACTTGACGGAAACAACTTGCCATTCAACACCATGGCGAGTTAAAACATGTACAACGAAGCATGATGGGAGTTACACCGAGAGACAGAGAGAGGGCCACATGGATCAGAGGACAAATGCAAATTCTGAATTAGAATATTTATGTATTTTGACTTAAAACTTTTGTGACTTCAGGAATTGATATTCTTTGGTTCTTTCGGCAAAGTCACGAAAGTAGAAAAAAATGAATAATAATAAAATAAATGTAGACTGTAGCCTGGTTCTTAATCGGAGTGAGCGTGCTGGCAGTCTATAATGTAGACTTATTCTGTATTCATCTTCTTGGTTCTTTCGGTAAAGTTACCGAAAGAACCAAGAAGATGAATCGAAAATTATTCTGTATTCTTTCAGTATAAAAATTTTAATTTAAATAATAAAAATAAAGATAAAAATTAAAATGTATAATTTCATTTTATATTACTGAAATAACCAATAATAAGTCTACATTCTAGACTGCCAGTACGCTCCCTCAGGTTAAGAACCAGGCTACAGTCTACATTATAGACTACCAGTACACTCACCAAACGTAATAACCAGGCTACAGTCCACATTATAGACTGCCAGTACGCTCACTCCGATTAAGAACCAGGTTACAGTCTACATTCATGTTTTTTTTTATAAAAATGTTTGATCATTTTTATTCACTTTATTTTATTATTATTATTATTTTATCTACGTGACTTTCCCGAAAGAAACAAATAGAATATGTATTTATACTGGAGAACTCCAATGAGCTGTAAAGCTCTTTTTCACAGATGTCCAGTCGGGGAAGGTTAAAACGTTACAACCACAAGCAATACAAAAACACGATTGGAGTGGCAACGTATAGGAAATGTAAACAAATCACTTAAATATACAGATACAACTTCTTTGGTTCTTTCGGTAAAGTCACGTAGAATGAGAATAAAATAATAAATTGATAAAATAAAATAACACAATATTGTGTTATTTTATTTTATCAATTTTTTATTTTATTGTGTTATTTTATTTTATCAATTTATTATTTTATTCTCATTCTACGTGACTTTACCGAAAGAACCAAAGAAGATGAATCCTTGCAGTCACGAAAGCTTTAAATGGAAATTTATACAGATACAAGTTTATTTTTATATTACCAGGTAAGGCCCACTGAGCTATTCACTTATTTATCAGAAGCGACCTGGCCGCAAGTAATGCTCAACGAAGTGGCTTATCAAATTTGTGTGGAGGGGAAAACATTAGACATCATAGTGACTGTTAAGAAAAGTAAGTGGACATGGCAAAGGGACATGTCGATAGAAGAGATGATGGCTGGCAGTTGGGAGTATTGACAGAGTGGGCAGCCACTAAGAGAGGGAACACGTTAAAGAGTACCTCCAGCGTGGAGATGGAGCGAAGAGAGCAGCTCATGACTGTTAAGACAAGTAAATGAGCTTCGGCAGGAAGTATTGTGAGAAGGGATGATAGCAGATCGAGATGACTGACAACAGAATGCAGCCAAAGGAGGATATGCCCTAGAGGATTGCGACTTTGGAGATGGAACAATGAAACCAACTTGATATGCAGGCGTGGGATAGAATGTGACATCGCAAGACCATGAGATATGGCATAACACAAGGAGGCCTTTATCCAGCAGTGGATTGAACACAGCTGTTGCTGCTGGTTTTATTTTATTTCATGTTCATATTGCACCAGTGTAAATTAGGGTAATTTAAAAATGACAAGGTGCTTGTTTGAATACGAGTGCCTTGAACGTGCTTTGTAGCCACTCTGAATGATCGTTGCTTGTGTCTGTTTTCACGTAGATATATTATTTCAGTCGGATGGGACAAGAGAATAAATATTTTTTTGGTAAGTGTCTCTAACATTTATATGCTGTACAGATTTCATCATCTGCTTTATGCGACTTGGTAAAAAATATTTTGTGTAATCTTTCAATCAAGTATTTTGTATCTACACACACATACAATACTATTTAGTCTTTAAACCTATTGGACTCTCAGGTGTAAGGTTAAGCAGCAAGATCTGCTTAAATACATAAACTCTGGACTGGTTTCATTCCTGCTGGGCCTCATCAGCAGTCAGGCGTGCTACACAAATATTGTTGGTTAACCAGAGATAATGGGTAAGTGCCCTCCCTCTGCACCGCATTTCCTCCTTCGAGATGTGAAACATAGCCTTTGGTTGAATATATTTTCATGTGACTACACATGATTAAAGGTAGATATAGTAATGTTGTATTTACAAAATTATTCTCACTACTCGACATTTACTTGCAAATTCCATCCCTAGTCCCGCTCACTTACCCTTGGGTTGTACCTACCACAAACGTATATAACCTTTGGTTGCAGTAGCTCTCTGGCTACATTTCCTCCTGCCTCAGCAGTCCGCCTGCTGTATTGTTTCACCTGAAGACGATGGCTTGTTTTGCTATCGAAACGTCGTGATCTATTCGTTATTTTTCTGTCTACATGACTTTACCGAAAGAACCAAAGAGTATGAATTCCTGCAGTCACGAAAGTGGGTGTCCCCCGATGGTTTGCACACCGTGCCGTGAACCCAGAAACCCAAGTTCGATTCCGAATGATGCTGTGGATAAAATGTACGCATTTTCTCTTTCAGGATTCCCAAGAGGACCAACAGCTGATTCAGTTTCCACAACCGCACTGGGCGGATGATTTGGTACCCGACACAATGGCACCAATTAAATCTGAGATAAACATCTTACGGCCCCTGGGGGTTCCTTCCATCAGAGCAGCTATGCTAAATGTAGCATCCCGGTCCAAACTCTGCTGCTGATCAATAACATCTGTGTCTGGACCATATCCTCTGTATATGATTAAAGGTCATAAATACCTATTAGACCCATTTCATGGCAGACTTTTATTCTCAGTGGGCTCTTACCTAGTCATAAATAAACGTGATTTATCTATTTAGCAATAGCTGATTTGAAAGGAATTGGTCCAATTATATGAAGACCTACAAACCTTGACACACATGACCTACTTTCGGTTCCAGGATGCCTAAATACATTTATAAAATATTTTAAGGTTTTTAGGTTATAAAACCAGAGTTGAAATTGTATTCCTTGAATTTGGACCATTTCAAATCTAGGCGCACACACAGCGTCTCATGAATTGTTACTGCAAAAAGGAAAGAAGCGCCATTGTTCCTATGGAAGAGCTATCCCCAGCCGGAGGAATGTGGAACTTGAATGACTGGGTCAGGACCATTAACCAAGATGAGACTCCATAAGAGGTTTTTTTTTGGGTTAGATCGCGTAAATATATAAATGTGTCGTTAAACCCGCCACCACCCGACACAGCCAACTAGTAAGGGTTGTCACGTAAACAGAACCGTGGCCAATTCGTCACTAGTACAGCACACCGGTGTGTTGGAGAGCCAAGCCACAACATTTACAATCTGAGTACGACGTTTCGCCAGTAATTACAACCAGCTTCATCAGGCGACAGCCAGATTTATGGAGAAGTCCACGTGTTTAGTTCCTTATATAGAGGCGTAGATGTGGTGATCACGCTTCTGTACTCTTGAGTCAACGTACATTATGCATGCGCACTATGCGAGCACATTGATCTTGTCCTTCCTGTCCATCGTGTGTATTAAAATAGCCGTACCAATGGTAATCCCTATTGAAGTATGGTGGCCTGTATAGGCATGCCTTTAAATAATGTATTATTTGATGATTCGCTTACACGCAGCACAGTCGGTAGCTATCCCAACAGTCATGAAAGCCTACATGTTAAATGAAGACGAGACTTTTTGAGCACAGAGATGCACTTTGACCTATTATGCTCAGTACAACCGAGGTGTGCCAGGGCAGTGCCGGGTCAACCTGGCGTGGCTAAGGAGGCACAAGGTTGTTTTCCACTCCACCAGCTGAGCCCTGCCACTGACGTCACACGCGATGAATATGTCAAGAAGCATGTAGATGTGACGCTGTGTCCGGACGGTGTGATGACGGACTTCACACGATGGATGCTTCATTAGCCCCACCAGTGTCCCTGCTTGGTCCTGAGCCAGATTCAGATGTCTTCTCAGGCCAGAATATCACGGCTTAATTCTGGAAAATAGACAGTGGAAAACCAACCCTACCTAGGGTTTCCACCTCTAGCGAAAGCCAGGAGAGGCGGCAACCGTAACCCGTAATGTGAGGACCCCTTGCTCGCTCGGCTCGCATGTGGCAGTGGAAAAATTGTTCTCTGACATGTCACACCAGTGTATGCCTGCCTCCTCTAGCACAAGTGTCATAATCGATCGTCGCCATCCGCAGAGAAAGGGCCACCGGGAGGATGTGTTGTGCGTGGCCCAGTGCCCGCCCAGCCTCCTCGCCACGTCCAGCTACGACGGGGAGGTGATCGTGTGGAACCTGGTGTCGGGTCACGTGAGCTGTCGCCTACCTCCACCGCCGGCTCAGCACTCCGCCGACCCTGCAGGTGCTCTCCATCACTCGTCAGCTGCGCAACTGACGAGTGTGCGCGGGCGATGCGATTGCACCGGCATCCACACTGGAAATTTCCATTGACCATTGATTTTAATTTATCCATTAAGTCAATGCACATGACACAACCACCACACTACAAACCTACTTGCTCTACTCCCACCTCGTGGCCACCTCACAAGCTTAGCAGGTTTGTGAATTTCACAAACCCACGCGATTCAATCACCCTTACCTTCAAACCTCTGGATTAAAGGTGTTAACCACCATGCCTAGAGTAATACGTTTTTTTCTGCTTCATGGATGCTGTGGGTTCCTCTGGTCTTTTGCCTGCTTATCTCTCTGACACCTGACCACTGACCCCTATGTAACCCCACAGAGGATGACGATCTCAGTGTCTCCAAGGTCATCTTCCTGAAGAGCCGTGTCGCCCACAAGGACCGGGCTGCTCTGCTCGTTGCGAGCGGGCCACGCGGCAAGCAGCACACAGCACGCAGTTTTTCCACTTTCATTTCGTTTTACATTTTTTGTAACAAAACTAAATTTTATATTTAATCCTTTATTGTGCAATCCCTACCATGTTATGAGATGAAAAATCGATATGGATCTCTATAAGAAAACGGCCCACGGACGTGGATATTGCAGAATTACATGTGAAATCGCTTCATGTGACCTCTGATCCACGGCAGCATCATCCCTGAACTAAATACTTTAAAATGAGTAAGAGTAATAAGAATAATGAGTAATAGTAAAAATGTATAACAATATCTATAGGACCAATTTGCCAGGATCCAACATAACTGCTCGAACTGAGCAATAAGTGTCTTGATACTTGCATTGTCTTTGTGCTGTCCGCCTTTTGGCGTTCTCTGACCTAACAGTGGTGAGACTAGGCCCTAAAGAAGGCTGTCTGTGGTGTAGGCCAATCAGTTTCAAAGCCAATGTGTGTATATTAACAGAGCATGTTTGTTTACATATTTTGCCACAAGTGTGGTTAATGCACACTTGATGCCTTGCAAAAGGTATCGATTTGGTGTTTATACATCTTAACACCTGTTTTATTGCCAGAAAGGGTAAAACATGTCCTTATTTTGTCATTATAATGTATAACAATTTGGCACCTGTGGCATGTGGTATCTGGGCTCACAAACCCAGACCATGAGTCACATGTAATCTCAGCCCAATGCTCAGTCATGCCATTCGGTGTTATTGACGGATGTGTTGAGTTGTTGCTTCATACCTCTGATGAGCATGGTTGGCTATGTACGTTGTGAAAGAAGTTCAGCATACATACAGTACACTTGTGCACCACTGCCAACGCAGTATCACACAACTCTTTTATTAATTCAGGAATGTGGAAATCTTCACCACTGGATCAGTGCTGCCAGTGGAGGTGAGCTCTTCACTGTGCATAACTGAGCTCGGAGAAACGTTGTCTTTTGTTTTATTTAATGGGACAGTGTAATTTTCTCTTTGCAGGTTTCATTCATTTCTGGAACGTTTATCACGGAGGACGGCTGTTCGCCAGGTTTCCTGCCGTATGTGTAACGTTGACAATCCTCATTTTAAAACACTCGCATCGTGCCAAATGCTTGATTGTTTGTGTAAGAAGCTTAAATGAATGTGCACTTCATAAATATTTCAAACAGTGCGTGCACACATCTTTTCAATATATGGATATAGCAGAGTAATGGGCACGTTCCCTATGAGCCCCGTCGACCCAAGTTCAAGTTATGACCATGAAACAAACCAGTGGCATGTTGTGGACCCACTCCTGCAGCTAGGTAGACTCTTCCTTAAATAAGTACTTTGTGTATTGTGTAACCATCAGCACTGGGGAGACAAAGGTGGTGGGACACTGTGCTGGTTGTAATTAATTAAGCTTTGAATGATTTTGTACTGAATTGTAACTTTATTAGCCGACCTTATGATTATCATTGGAGAGTCCTCCGTGTGACCATAATGATCACGTAAGGCGCCTGCAAGTTGCAGGGTGGGTCCCGTTCATTGCTGAATCTTGGAACACGCTCGGGACTCGGCGTTCATTTGAAAGACACTGTACTCACCGTAGCGAACCTACGACACGACCGCAATCTGTGATAGCTGGTGCCAAACTGTGCCACACTGTGCCACGCGCCCTCCCACTTGGCTTTGTCAAGCCTCGGTACCGATGAAGTTGTTTTATTATAGTTTTTCTTCCGATTCCATTCCGGTGACATACATGTACGTACAAATACGTCATCGGAATGGGAAAGGCTTAAGGGCACTGCTCTTATGGCCTGCGAGGCTGAAGGGGGACCTTTGTGCGCGCCAGGGTCGGCAGGGCAGGCCCGTGTGCTGCCTGGCCTCGGCTCTAGGAGACAGCGTGCTGCTGGCGGCAGACCAGACGGGCCACGTGTACGCGTGGGACGTGAGCTCGTACGCCATGCAGGGCCCCGAGGAAGAGCCTCCCCAGTGTAGGTGGCACCTCCTGCCGATCATACCCCCCCCCCCCCCCCCCACATCGGACCCATCGTTTGAATGGAGTGCTCTTTCCAATAACATCTGGTAACCTCGCGACGTTTATTTGACAAGCTTAACTCTGCCGATGGCACCCAGAATGTTGAAACCGGCCCAGTTTGCTTGCTTTAAAAAAATGCTGCTGGATAACTTTTGTGTGGAAATCCAAGAGGCTGATCGTAAAAAGGTTATTTGCCCATCACACTGCTGGCATTAGGGCCTCCATTAGAGGGGGCTCTAGAGAGCTTCTCCAGAGGGCATTTGTCCTACTCATCCAAGCTGACCAGATGCTTTACCCAAATACACCCTGCATGCCAATCGACGAATTGTGAAGTACCCAATTATAGTGCTGGGTGGACAGATGTTTTGGCCATTGTTTCACCTGCCACACTGGGAGATGAACCGGCAGCAAGTTAAGTTCCACCATGGCAGCCTAAGGACTAAAACGCATTCGTATGTGGAGACACATTGGGGAGATCTGCCCACGTGCCAGACTGGCAGAAATCTGTGAAGGCCGTGACGACCTATTTTTTTTAACTCTCGTCGATTGCTTGTTTTGTATGAACTGGGCCAGATTATAATTTACCCAGCACATTTTAATCTCTCTTTGCCCTTGCGTGATATTATTGATTTCCGAGTATTGCTTTCATGCAATTTGCATTATTTTGCATGCAGCAACACTTGCTAAAACGATTGTGGTTTTGTAACAAGTCTGCATTGTTTCTGTGATAGTGCTGTGTAACAGTCAAGTAATAATCTTGCCAATACACTGCCCATGATCAAATGTGCATCATCAGTGACTCAGACGATTCAACCCAACGCATTACAAACATACGCTTCCCATTAAGGCTTCCCCATACAGCTTTTGGAGTTGAGGCTACAACTCGTGGTTGGATTTTGTGACCGTTTTGAGCAGATCTTCTCCTTTTTTGTCCCCAGTGGTGAGTTTATGGAGAGCCCATGTGAGCGCAATCACAAGGTAAGTTGTGCACGCCTGCTGTGTACGATGGCAAACAAGCACGCGTAATTCATGTACACCATGCCACGTGTTTTGGTTGTTTTGCCTGATGGTTGATAACTTGTGGAACTGTATTTGTGTGGCACTTCAGAATACGAGGTTGGAGATCACTTGGGTAGGTAATGAACGCGGCGTGTGATCCGCCAACCCCATCTCAGAAAAGGATAACGGCGTGGGAACGAAAGCGGGCGCAGTGCAGGATCGTATAAGGAAACTTAATCTTTTTTCGAGACCAAAAATTCCGTGCGGTTTGTCGCGTTCTCTCTCAGCATGGATGTCATAGAGGAGCACAAGCTGCTGCTCACAGCTGCGTTGGACTGCTCAGTGAGGCTGTGGAGTGTGGACGGAGCCTTTGTTGGTAAGCGATGCTGAAAGGGCTCTGAGTGTCTCTGGAGTGGCAATGCAGCTCTCCGAGCACCTCATTATTCACCTGTTTCATCTTGAGGGAATATCTTATCCATTACATTTGATTTGAGTGGATTTTTTTTGTTAAACTCAGTTCTGTTAAATTTTCTATAGGCACGCATGCCCAGGTATTTACATTTTTTTTCGTATAAACATGTGAATTGATTCATTTAGTTTGGATGCACGTCATCTGTCCCGGGGAGCCAGCATTGGGATGTTTGGCCACTCCGATAAACGAGTGATGGCCACTGCAGTATTGACTCATTTTAACCTCTACTCTTACAAAGTGGTTCAAATGCCGCGTCTATCAGTTGTGCAATATTCTCTAAGGACCCTGTACTCCTCCTGTACAATGTTGAGGTTATGTTGCTGCTGCCGCTGTGCTCTCGCAGCACCACGGATCTCCCGTGAAAAATAGCTGGGAAAATGGCCATCATCCGTGTAATAAATAAAATAAACTTTAAAGGTACAGCCCTGCAATTTCTTGCTCGCACCATTGCTGGTGTCAGGGCCTCCACTCGACAGAGAGTAGTCCCCTTTAGAGGGGTACTCTGACCACACGTCTTGGAAGAGGTGCGAGTCCCCCACTTTACCCGACCAAACGCGACTGTCTGTCTCGTCCATCAATCGCCCCCCCCACCCCGCCCTGAATGATGCACGGAACGATTTCTTTATTCCGCATTCGCAAAGGCACCTTCGGGCAGGACACCCTGTGGGACATCCACAACCGTGCCACGTGGAGCCACCCCATGGGCCCGCTCGAGATCTTGGTGGACCCCCTCGATCCACTCGCGTCCGACCGCAACGAGCCCAGCGGTCCAAGGGCTCACGGGCCGGAGCGGATCAATCGGAGAGAGCGCTCGGTCGAGCGGCCGGCCAATCGCAACGGCCCAGAGGAGGGGGAGGCGGAGCGCCGAGACCACGTGGTGCAGGTGACGCGCGTGCAACGGCTTTGTTCCCGCGCGATGTCCCACGTTTTGCTCCACGTGCTGGGAGCTCTTTCAGCAACTAATCGCATCGACTAAATCGGTGGCCACCTTAACTGGAGCCAGAGCGCACCTCTGTGTGAATGCAATATTGAGGTGAACGGAGTTAACAAATCTGTGTGGATGGGGAAAGGAAACAAATTGGAAAATGACAAACATGTAACAAAAATAATCCATTCCTTTAACTTTTAATCATGACGGTTCATCCACTTGCAGTGAGGAGTGAATTGTTATATGTCAAATTACGTGCGAAAAGATTACAAGCTGTTTCACACTACAGCCTTGGATTGGTTAAGTTCGATTTTAAATCTTAAAATACGTCAGCTGGAACCTTACCAATGCGGTAAGGCAGGTAATCTCACACACATGGGTGGTCTCATCGATTGATAACATTTGGTTATTTTTCAGGGCAGTTTGGTTTCCTCCCACATGCTCAAACATTAATTGACCAAACATCCCATTCAGGACCTGCCTGAGAACCTCGAGTGCTTTTTTTGATTAACAAATAACTTGTTTGTGAATATTGAACTCTGCAAGGCTATATGGAACTATAGCATTCTGGTGGATTCGATTTCATAACGATACTGTCCTACAAGCCTTCTGTCAATGCCCCCAGTTAATCTACACTCAATTAGAGGTCACTCCTTCTCTGCTGCCGTCTTTGTTTGGAATTCTCTCTTCATCCCTGTCCATGCTGCCAACTCCCAGTGCCTGTTGAAGTCAAAACGCACGACTTTTTCTGCTGCGCTGAGACAGATTTTTCTTTACGAAATGCCTTCAACGACACCTTGCCTTAAACAAGAACTGTATTCTTTGTATTATAAAACTCACTTCTTTCCCTCTGCATTTGAAAGCAAAGGTTGGATGTGCGTTTAATAATCAAGTATGCGGCTATTAATGCCAACATGGCCACTTTCACCATGGCAGTGTTCCCTGGATTATAAGACGCAATTTTTTCAACATCCACTCTATATTCCTCAACTTTCTCTTTTATATTCTTCTTTCCTGCTCTTCTGGGATGTCATAATTGGCTTAAAAATTTAATTTAGTTGATTAACTAAAGTATTTCACCTCGTACACCCCTGGAGATGGAGTATCCCATTTGTAAGGGTGCCAAGGGTGTTGACACATAGCAAAACATTAGTTGAATTGGCCAGGAGTCAAGATTCGGCCTCCCGCATAGCAGGCGGGAATTCTACCACTGAACAACCAGTTCCTGGTGCGTCTTACTTTCCGGAGCGTCTTATAATGTGTTAAAAAGGTACTGCATGAAGCTCATTTTAAAGCGATCCCTGCGATGCGTGCGGCTCACTTGTGTACAGCACCTTGGGACACGCTATCATTTAATTAGATGCAATTAAACCCAAATTGTATTGCATTATCGTACAGGCAACAGATCTGCATTGATTGAACGTAACCCGCTCTTAGCTGACGACACTGGAACGTGTTCCTTCAGCGAGCGATCGGGGCTGCTGGGCAGAGCGTGGTCCACTTACCATACTTCGTTTCCCGCGTGGTCTCTCATCGAACAGAGCGAGCTGACCAGAAGTAGCAACGCCGCAGAGACCAACGAGCTGGCACCGGAGAAGTTTTGGAGCAAGAGGTGATGTGGGAGTGGTATAAACTATAAACTAAACTATTTATTTTACCAGGTAAGGCTCACTGAGCTATATAGCTCTTTTTTCAGAAGTGATCTGGCCACAAGTGATAAATCAGCAAAGTTCCTTATCACGCCAAATACTTTAAATGCAAGTTTATAAATGTGGAGGGAAAAACTGGAGGACCCGGAGAAAAATCCACGAGACCACGGGGAGAACATGCAAACTCCAAATATGCAGGCATCCGAGTCGGGATTGAACCCACGGACCTCCTGTCTACCAGGCGAGGTAGTTAACATCTCACCACCGTGGCGCCTCTAATATTGTGATAATATATGGATTTACGCTTCCACAACCATGATGAATACCCAAGCAATCAATCATCCGTCACTTTCTCCACGTTGCGATGCAAGTGCGCGTGTTTCGAGGCGGCGCACGTTTAGCAAATCGGCCTCGCGCGTTGTTGAATGCAGGTTGCACCACAGCAGAGTGAGCAGGCAGGGAAAGGCGGAGGGTGCCAGGGGACCAGGCCCGTTTGGAAGCCTCGCCTGTCACCAGCTGGACGACACCCCTGCTCCTCCACCGCAAGGGAAACATATCCCCATCAGCACTCGCCAAAAGTTTTGACTTCTCTCATTAGGAGCCACACCTTGCCAGCGTGGCATTCATTGTCTTTTCCCACCCTCTAAATTGTGCATAGGTTGGTTCGTTTTCTTTGAACAAAGGCATACTTTGCTTACTCAAACTTCATATTCTTAGCTCTTTCGGTAAAGTCACGTTGAAGGGAAACAATAAAATATATTATTATTGTTATATATATTTTATTATTTATTGTTTCCCTTCAACGTGACTTTATCGAAAGAGCTAAGAATTTGAATTACTGCAGTCACGAAAGCTTTAAATCAAAATTTTACTCAAACTTCGTTAGGGTGCCTGCATCAAATGCTATTCCGATATTAGGAAGCCACTGGAGCTATGCACTTTTAAATCTGGATTGAAAACGAATTTCTTTAGAAATGCTTGTTGTGTTTAGTTGTATTTCCGATTAGCACGGTTGGCTATGTATGGTGCGAAAGAAGTTATACATACAATTGAGGTTTCTGTTCTTGAACCTATTTTTTTCTGTCAATCGTCGATATGTGATAATCATTCAATGAACATTTACATGCGATATTCCATACAAGTGTGTCGAAGAATGTTGTTGAAAATTTCAATTTTTATATTTTTGTGCAGTAATTAGTGACCGTGCTTGTGACTTTGGAATCAGGCGAAATATTGTACTTGAGACGCAAGATTAATCAAACGTGATTGCTCATATTTGAACTCAACAACTGTGGGTTCGCTACTCTGGATAGGGTGATGTAAGCCACCAGGACGCCTTGGAAATGAGATAACAATCAAATATACCATGTGCCGAGCAAGAAGTAAACACAAGTTCAGTGTCACAGCACCTAAATAACAATACCGTTCCATCTTCAAAACTGTAACGTTGCTGAATATGAAGTTTAATGTTCCGTATAGTTTTTTTCGTCTTAAAACTATACTGGGGTCCTCATTACAGGTGAAACATACTTTCACGAATTTCCTCACAAATGCACACCAGCATGCTGCTTGTTCTGTATGTTTGAAGCCATAATGGGGTTGATTTTGGTTATAATCAACGTTACAGATGCGTACAATCATATAGTATCGAAACTGCGGGAGCATACACGTCTTTAAAAGCCAAATCATAACAGGCAATTCATAAAATGGTACGGGGAAAACATCTATCCAAACTTGCGTGTTTTGACATTTTTTTGTTAAATATTTTATAATGCAGTATTATATAGAATGGAATACTGTTGTTGCTATCGTGTCTTAAATTGTGTGCAATTTCCACATGAGAAGCAGTCAAATTACATTTTACATATACAAGAATAAATGAATCATTTGCAGTCTTGTGTCAATCTAGTCATGGTGACCGACTCTACTTCACCACACTGACCAGTTTAACACGTAGGCTTTCGCGACCAATATCCATAAGAGGTTTTTGGGTTACATCGCGTAAATATATAAATGTGTCGTAAAAACCCGCTACCACCCAAGCGTGGTCAACCACATCTACGCCTCTAATATAAGGAACGAAACAGGTGGGCTTCTCCACAAATCTGGCTGTCGCCTAATGAAGCTAGTTGTAATTACTGGCAAAACGTCATACTCAGATTGTAAATGTTGTGGCTTTGCTCTCCAACACACCGGTGTGCTATACTAGTGACGAATTGGCACGTTCTGTTTACGTGACAACCCTTACTAGTTGGCTGTGTCGGGTGGTGGTGGGTTTTAACGACACATTTATATATTTACGCGATCTAACCCAACAACCTCCATTATGGACACTGACAAGTGCAGGTTTGTGAGGGGGGACCTGTTTATTGATTGGATATCACTCGCCGCTGATTTTAGCCATGGCTGGATAGCGAACTCTGGTTGCAGGGTTCATTGCACCATGCACTAATCACTGCACCACACATTCCACTTCCAAGCATTTTAATATTTTTTTATTTTCTTTATACTCTTGAGCCACAGCTCTTGAAACCAGCATATACATTTGACCTTTATACATGCATAGTCTTTTCTATATCCCATACTACTCACTGCTTTTACAAGAGACCTTCAATGTAAGGTTATATGCTTTCTTGTAACCAAAAACATTCCTGGCCAAGTATCCAGAATTCTTCACTTTTAAAAGCGATCTCACCTCTAAAATAAAAATCGGGTATAAATGAGACACCCATCAACATGGAAAAATCTTTTAATACAACCATTTCATTTGTAATTGTTAAATTGGCAACAAAAAATATGTTGAGGTCAAAACCAATCTGCTTATGAACTCTACAGACTAAAGTATGATTTAATAAGTGCATATCACGTGTAAACATGTTCACGACAGCCACAGTAAACGGCAAACGGTGCCAATGAACGCTATACCTGTTCCACCAACGGGCATAGCATAGAGAAGTGAATGCTGTAAATCATGTAAACTTGTGACTTGCACAAACATGCATACACAACAGCATTAAATATTTCTGGAATTATTAATAAGCATTTGTGTTACAGGGAAGGGGGATTGTGAGCAGAATGGCTGTCACATCACCTTAACATTTCACTTTCCATTCTCGACAATGTAACCCTGCGGCCCAGTTTTCACGTTGGTGTTTCATCGATTACTTTGTGAGAAATTGCTATGTATCCATACAAAGCAACGTTTGCATGTCACTGTATCCTAGTCTACAGTGCTCCTGTCCAAAAGAACATTTACACCAACTAGAATGGTTCAGAAAACCGTGGCTTCCTAAACAAAGCTGCTTGCTGGTTTGTGCTGACGTTTGGGTTTTTCCGTTTTTAATTGACGTTACGTCGAACATATCCCTGCAGTGGGGCGTTGAGTGCTTTCCCAGACCCTGACATGGGAGTCGGGTAATTTTAGTAAATAAATTAAACGTATTACTGCGTTCAAAGGTTTTGTTATCACAAAGGGAATCCATCAAGATTGAAAATGCACTTCTGCAACATGACATGGGTAAATCCCAGCAAGAGTGATGACAAAGAGATCAACCACGTGATCGATTTCTATTGAATAACACATTAAGGTAGTAAGCTAAAGGTACTACCCTGCAATTACTCGCACCACTGCTGGCGGAAGAGCCTCCATACTGAACAGACGTCTCAGAAGAGGTGGTTGGTACCCACGCTTTACCCCACCATACACGACTTGCCGATCGATGGTGGTGCACACAAATAGAGTGCTGGGCGGGAGGGTCTGGTGGATATTGTCAGTGCTGGTTCCATTAGCTCCCTCGGTCATGCCAGGGGGAGTGGGTAATCGAACCAGTGATTGCTGAGTCTCATTTCCTAAGCATCATTACACCATGGCACCACGCGTGACACCCAAATATTATACACGCAATAAGCAGTAGCATCACGCGTCGGTCTCACTACCGGACAACTGTAAAAGAGAGCTGAATTGCTCATCGGATTCCTCCAGTATAAATACATATTCTGATTCATGGCTACAATGGTGAGATGCATTATTATTCCATTGTACACGCGGGAATAATCGTCTCCAGCACTGAGCAGGGCAAACCCCAACAGAGGAGCTTTGACAAGAAGACACTCAGCCACGTTAAGCATGCGGAAAGTGCTGCACGAAATGTTGCATTCGTCACGTTCAAGGTTTGGTTGCAGTATTGTCTCCTACCACTTTGCTATTTAAAAGTCAGAGTTGGTACACTCCAAAGTGAGCTATGGAGGTTTTTTGCTTACGCGGAGAATACATATTTGAGAACAGTCTAAGAAAGCATCTCGAGAAATAAAAAAAAGTAAACTGATGGGACAAGTGATTGAGACTTTAGCAATGCTTAAGTCTTCAGTTCTTGAAGAATCGGCACACCGTGCAAAACGTCGGAAATTAAGCTAGAAGAAGCATTGCTTATCTGCAAGTCAACACTGGCTTCCAAGCTCACGATCTCGCTCAGTGCATGCTCATCTGTCGCTGGCAGCATCCCAAGAGGAGGATTGTGGGTAAGAGGGCTCTCATTGACTGCGGCATCTGTGGACGTGATTCGTCAAATTTCCTGGGAGAGTTTTCCACATTGGCACAAGTGTCAGCGAAAATGAGGCTCAATACGAACATAGTGGGCACATTTAAAGCGTTGCATTCAGATACAATAAAGGCGAAATATTTTATTTATTTTAGAATGCATTATCTTTCTTTAGTATTTTTAAATGATTTTGGAAAGTAAAATGGCCAAAATGCAAATCATTTAGTTTACAGAGTAAACTGTGTTATTGTGCAACTAAAATACACAACTGTTAAAAAGGCACTTCATAGGTTCTCACCATAAAGAATAAGTACAGTACAAAATAAGGCTTTTTTACTTTCCAGTAATACTCGGATTTACGTCTCCCCCTTTAGCGTCGTCACTTTATCGATACCGCTGCCCCCATTTGCGTCGCCTCAACCCACACTGACGTCGCTGACAGCAGCGGCCCTCCTTTCTCCTATTCGTCACGCCGCCCTCCACCTGCCCTGTACATCGCTTCGATTGACGTCGTATCGATATTCGTCGTCGCACATTTCATGAACGCATCCCCGATGTAAACCGGGGTACTGCTGTATCAGCAATAAAAAACAATATTCAGAAATGTGCCCTAACCCCAACTCGTCGGCATTCACAGGCAACACGATTTGTAGTGGATTTTCAGGTTTGAGCCATAACGACTCGATGCCCGATTTAAAAATACGGGAGGGATCACCACAGGGATACACCACTGACCCCATCATCTGGCTCAACCACATCGATATAAACTCATAGTTGTTGATCTCCATCAAAATCAGCCATACAAAAATGGGAGATGGTGGTTTTGGCCATGTGGTCATGAATGATGTGACCTATCCCAAAAACACACTAAATCAAACCCGTACCTGTCTGCCCTATCTTTGGTGCAGCTTGTCCTTTTAGGTTCAATGTATAAAACAGTATTAAAGTATTTACTTAAATGTAGAGAGCATTTAAAGTGGTGGATTTGCTTTTTTAAGAGTGAAAATTGGTTTAATCTAAAACTACAAGCAGGTGCATAAACCAAAAAATAACAGCACCTGTGTAGTGATATAGAATGGATCACTATGGCAGGCAGCGTGGGTTGATGAACAGGAGGGGACCTGCTGCTGCTGTAGCAGCCCGGTCGGCCAGCAGGTCAGGGAATAGGCGGGAGAAAAGGAAGTGGGGATAAGGTGGCCGGGGGGGGTACGTAACAGGAAGCCCAATAACCTTCTGGTAGGTTCTGCAAGCGGGGGCGTGGCCGAGGGCGGAGCGAGGCTGCGCTCGGGGGATAAAAGGGGGACCCCGTAGGGGACTCGGGGTTGTTGGGAGTGGAACCCTGTGGAGCTACGTCTTTGTCATCGTCTTCAGCGTTGTTGGTCAGGCAGCCTGTTGCTGTCCTGGTCACGTGTAGTTATTCCCTGTGCTTGTGAGGGCCTTAATAAACAGAGTGCCTCCCATTCTAGTGTCTGTGAAGTGCATCATTACACCTGCATAAACGTTACTAAGAAAACAAGTACCAGGAAAAACAACTATGGCAAGTCAAAACATGTCCTTACATGAGCGCTGAGGTGGTGCTTATCTGCACTGATAACCCTGAGCCAGTGGTACAAATTACATATTTGCATTTCAATGGTTAGTCTAGTTATATAAACAGTGGATCCATACAATCCACTAAACAATACATCTGTAAAATAATGAGGTGACATCTATTGTAGGGACATAACGGAACAAAGCAGAATATAACTACAGCAGCGATTGAAGGTGGCCCAGAATCGAAACTACATAATAAAGAGGTGGACAAACGCAGGTGGTTAGAGGGCTTTTGGAAAAAATGAACTTTATAATAAGTAAGATGTAATAATAGGGTTTTTCCCCTTTTTTTTGGCAACAAAACTGAAACCTTTTTACAAGGATTCATGTCTGCATTAACCACAATACCTGCAGTCAAAATGCAAACAGAAAACATGGGTCGAGGCTCAATATTGGGTCGAGGCTCAAAAGAAAGCCGTCCCTTGATGTGGACCAATCAGTTTCAAAGACAATGCATATATTATCGTAGTATGTTTTTTGTTTGCATTTTGACTGCAGGTATTGTGGTTAATGCAGTAACATGAATCCTTGTAAAAAGGTTTCAGTTTTGTTGCCAGAAAAAAGGGGAAGAACCCTATTATTACATTTTGGTACTGGCAAAGGAGGTCTAATGATGAATTAGTAAGATATGTGCCTCATTAAGAATGCTTTTGATCAGTCGACATCCCTTCATTGGCTTTTCCTGTCGTTTGATTGGATGTCATCTTTACCGTGAGCATAATTATTGCGGGCTTTTAACGTAATTTGTATTCTGTTTGGTGAGTGTAGTTATCAGATTTGATTTCGATGGAATTGACAACTTCTTGTGAGTATAGTTGTCCTTTTTTCACATATTTGCCTTTCATTCCATGCAACGCTTTAAGATATTTCGATATGAAAGGTGCTTAATAACATAATCATTAATACCTATTGATATATGGTTCAGAAACAGTTGAAAAGTGCATGAAGAAGCATGGCTAGACGCATAACTAAAATTACAGTGAGAGAGAGGAACACATGCATGAGATAACATTTACAGACTTGATTAAACCCATGAAGTGAGTCAGGCTTGGGCACAACATGTCGTGGCGAGAAGGGACGATGGGCGATGGTGAAGGACATTGACAGAAGCGCAGCCAAGGAATGGAAGGCGTCTGAGACGACATCAACCGAGGAGATTGAGCGATGACATCAGCAACTGTGTAGGTGTTCGATGGATTTTTACATTGTAAGGTCATGAGAGATGGCAGCGGCTTGAGGAGGCCTTCATCCGGCAGCGAATTGACCATGGCTGATGATTTCTTACAAAGTGGTACTACGATTAGCGCGGTTGGCTACGTACGGTGCGAAAGAAGTTCAACATACACACATTTAATCATCCCCAGAGGGATAATGGGCTGGGTAATGGCTGGGAAATGGCTGAGATATATCGGCCAAATCCACAGAGAGGTGAATGCCAGGAGTAGGACCCAGAGACTAGAAACTATTCAGATGGACAATGGGGAAAACAAAGTGGACTACAGGACCTAAAAGAGGAAGCATCGCTTCAAAGTGAAAATGTAGAAAAATAATAGTTTACGATTGTAAATTGTTAAAACACCATAGCTTAAAATGTAAAACATAGGTAGACAATCTGTTTGTTGTCCAAGCACAAATGTAGACAGGCTCTCTCTATTGTGTCTGTAAATAATATCATGCCACATTGCAACATGGCAACACCAATACACTGCATTGCGATACATTAAACACAACTCACCGACGACAGCAAACACTGCATTTTAAGCTTTTAAGCTGGATATGTCTGGATGTGGGGAACGATGCAAGCAATGAATGTTGGCAATTTAAAGTGACACGTTGACATTTGCTTTGTGATTAACCTCAACATTCAACATATTGCACTGACAATACTCAACAGAGCCTCCCAATGAACAATGCATCTGTCAAGAAATCAATTAACGAGAGAGAAAAATATATAATGCCGGGTCTGTAAACTTCGTAGCTTCTTCCTCAAATGCAATAGCTTCTCATTTGAATGCTGCTTACATCACATTTACCATACGCTTGTGCAGGGATGGAGCGCTATCTCTGCAGCACAGGTTTTCTCTGGGCACTCTTGCTTTTCTTCCTGGTGCACATGATTAATTAAAACTATGTAATTAATTGCCCAAACATCCCAAGCAAGGCAAACAATCCCACTTAAAAAGAGCTTTGGGACTCGGATGTGATTTTTCTGAGTAAAAAAAATGCAAGGCCTTAGTCACGTACGTGAAGGCGAGTTTCACGAGTGGCAATCAATGCGTTCCTGGCTCTTGAACACAGCTCCACAAAGCGTCACGACTCTTCTGCAGATCCCTGTCAATGAACTCTGACCCTGCTGGCCCAGGAAACCAGAAAGACCGAACTTGTCCAGTGGACCTCACACACCCTCGGGACCATAACCCCCGGTCAGGTATAATGAAGTCATTCCCTGACTCACGTTCCAATCCTCTGCTTCGACGCAGCATTTCCACTTTCATTGAATCTTAATAACACGACACGGGCTGTTGTGATTTCCTCCAAACATTGATAAAAGCACAATGCCCTGAACACACCGACATTATGAAGGAGGAACCTCTCTTTCTCTGACCAGAAAGGTGACATTATGAAGGAGGAACCTCTCTTTCTCTGACCAGAAAGGCGACATTATGAAGGAGGAACCTCTCTTTCTCTGACCAGAAAGGCGACATTATGAAGGAGGAACCTCTCTTTCTCTGACCAGAAAGGCGACATTATGAAGGAGGAACCTCTCTTTCTCTGACCAGAAAGGTGACATTATGAAGGAGGAACCTCTCTTTCTCTGACCAGAAAGGCGACATTATGAAGGAGGAACCTCTCTTTCTCTGACCAGAAAGGTGTCAGACAATCGGAGTGGCGGAAGGAGGCATAAACAAGCAGGATGAAAGAACCAAGAATATGAATAGGATGAAAATGCTAATGAAGATGATGGAAGGCCATTGGAATAGCTGATGAAGATGATGGGATGCCATTAGAATCATCATCATCATTATGTCATCATGCTCATGATTCTGATGATGTTATTGTAGTTGATGATGCTGACGTAAATTATTAAGTGCAGTTGTTGATGATTATGTCAATCGTATATCCCGAAAGCTTCAATGTGTCGAGGATTTTTTTCTCAGGAGGGTCCCTGAAGTGGGGGATGATTGGACACTTTCACAGGGAGTGCATGACATATGGGGGGGTGGGGGGGAAGTGTAGCAGCTCAAGAGATCTCACACATACCAGGGGATACCAGCTAGAGGTCTGCACGGATGGGTCTGAAATCCTTCCACTACGAGTGATTGTTTAGGGGGATGATTATTTTTGGGGGGAACTACAAAAGCAAAACAACGTTGATATTTTATCACCGTTTATTATATATTTTCTCATTGTGTTTATTTGGGAATTCGCTATATCGCAAGCGTATTTTCTCACGCATTTCTGTTGCAATTTTCCGGTGACACTGCAGTCCATCAGCGTTAGTGATCGGCGTCACGGTCCACGGTGGTGCAGTTATACATCGCAAAATGTAACTTCTCTTCACACACCTTTGCACTGAAACACAACGGTTGAGTTTGTTAACAGAAACCAAACATTATACTTTAATTATAACAAGACAAAGTATCGTCACGCTCACATGAACACGGTCCGGTGTTAATCTCCACTTTCTGTGATGGAAATGGCAGAGATAATAGAACGGCCAGCACACTTTGCATCCACAAAGCACTGTACAGATGAATCACATTAATTCACTGGTTGTGAGATGAGACCAACAAAATGGAGACACACAAGAGCACTCACGTCACTATGAGGTGGTCACGCAAAATTTATCACACCCCATCAGGGACACCAAAAGAGGCCCTAAAAATCGCTGGCTCAGTATCTTGAATATTCACAAACGTTAGCATTCCTAATTAAGACAAACCCAATCCTTCACAAGCATATGTAACGTTATATATATTTTAAACCTTTGACAAAGATGGGCACGGTAATGTGTGGCATTGGCAAACGAAGTGAATGGACGCATTTGTTTGACCAGCACATTGCTCTCTGCATGTGAAGCCGATACCATTCCAAGCGCACGATCTGGCTCTGTGCGTGCCGATCCCATGCTGGCAGGATCCTAAGAGGATGATTATGGGTAAAGAGTGGGGGGGGGGGGGGGGTTACCGACGGGCGAGTGAGCAGCATCCTCACCTGGAGTAATTTGGAAGGATGAGCGTGTTGGAGCAAAGGGAAGTCTCGGGAAGTACGTCAGACTTATTTGAGCTGTGAAAACCAAACAGCAGCATTAGTTCACACGAGCTGCACTCGATGTGTTGTGTGACAGGTAAATATATTTTATTTGTCCAAATGAGTCTTAGGACTCAGTTCAGAAAATAAACAAGACGACAAGCAATGACAATGAATTCAATCACAATGTGGGTGAAATTTGAAATGCTTTTACAAAAATAGTAGTATGCCCATAACTAAATAACTTTCAATGCGCCTGACCCTTGTCAGATCTCAGAAGCTAAGCAGGTTGAGCTTAGTGCTTGCGATGGGCGACCACTGTACACAAAATAGGGTGTCATCGGACTGCGGAGGACAGTGGAGCAAAATCCATTGTGGTACTGCACTTCTATGCTCCCACACCCATGCACCCCGCCTTCATCAACACATATTACCAGCATGACAAAGTATGGTCAAATAACCTCCGGCAGCCCGCACAGCATGGGAAGCCCTCATCCAGCAGTGGAATGACAAAAGGGCTGTACATGTCCATGCATAAAAATATTATATGAAATGTAAATTATGCATTCTGTATTCTCAGAGCTTACGAGATGAAGTGAGAATTTTAACGCACTGGACTACAACCCAATAAATGTAATTCTCATCACGATTATTGTCAATCTATGACTGCAAGCTTACCTCGATTGCATCACTTGAATTGTGATTGGGGGGCGACTCCTCCCTGTCACGAATCGTAGGAAGAGTCTACGATCCTCTGCCAGATGCACAAACAAAAAGACATCCCGTATAGACTTAACAGACTGTTGGGGCAAGTGATGTTCGCGAGCACCAGTGACGGCTGGCATGGCACACGAGGGGCTCGGGAGCCAGTGCAATGGCCCGCCGCTTTTGTATGTATGTTGAACTTCAATTTCCAAACAAAGCATTTACTTTGCAACCTTCTGAATGATATTGTTCTAGCATATCCACGGGAAGAGATCATCAGCTGGCGCAATGCAAATTGTACTTCAACACAGCCGAAGAGAAGCCAAAAGTAACTATAAGCAGGAGTCCATTATGTGTCTCCACATATAATATATATACAAATAAATAAACAGTTCATTAGCCTTTTGGCTTTCTAGACCAAGAACATGAAGCAGCATTTGTTTAAGTGAGCAAACTCTGGATCAGTTTAGACCTCCTGCGTTCTCATCAGTAGAGTCAAGCCTGTTAAACAATCGCTGTTGTGTTACCAGGAGCTATTGGTAAGAGCACGCCATATAAGTTATAGGATCTCGTTCATATATGCATGTTGTATTTATTTTGCGCCGTACGTAGCTAACTGTGCTAATCGGAGGTGCGGGGGGAAGGGCTAATGACACGTAAAAATCAGTTCTATATAAATGAGTTTTCAATCTAGGTTTAAAAAGTCCACAGCTCCAGTGGCTTCCTAATACAGGAAGAGTATTCCAGTTGGCCGCAGAAGCGCATCTGAATGCGCGCGATGCGGTGACCGTCTTTGTTCGATGGCTAGCCAAAAGCTATGCGGATGATTCGTGTCCCGAGTGGCGATGTTTATACATTGCATCAGATATTCATTTGAGGCCGAGTCAAACTAGGGGAAGCCCAGGGCTAGGTTGGATTATCGTCACTGGTGTTGGCCGTTAGCAGGAATTGAACTCGGTTTGAGCGTTGGAACGCTTGTAGAGAGTTGCTAACACAAGCCAGATGGGAGTAAACAGGAGTCCTCGTGACCAGGGTTGGTCTGCCAACCCCATTCTAAATTCTTCTCCTTAGAAGCTTGACTGCCTGCTGCTAGGAAATAGGCTCTCACCATTGCTGAAGTTCGACAGTGCTTCGAAGAGGCACTTCATTCGGGCTTCGCCGTTATCCATGACGGAGGTAACTGCGCACGTACACAACGGGGTGAACACAACACAGGACGAACACCGCAGCAATCCACGTAACGACGATGTGTTCTGCACGTTCGCACACGTGCGTGTGCAAAGCACTCGTGCTAACATTATGAAGCAATGTGACAAGGGAAGGTTTGTGTTGGCGGTGAGAAAACTACGTTCTGGAGGTGAGTAAATCGCACCACAATCTCAGTTGCCCAGCGTTCATGTCTGAGAAAAAGCTCCACAATGGAGTGTGGAAAGTACGGTAAGCGCAGTAAGTATAGTGAGAAGCACCTGTATAATATATATGTCCAAGTAAATTGTTAGGCCGATTACTTGCAGTTATGCGTGGATATCTGTGCCTCATCATACCTACGTGATACATGCAATTCAAAGTCATCGTCCCCATGCTCAAATGAATGTTATGCCGTGCTAATCTCCACAGCCTGCCAGAAATAAGTGGTGAACATTCCACAGTCCGATGGCAGTGGTGGGACTCTCCTTAGCAAGGCCACTGTTGACTTGCAGGGACAAAGTGCCTAACAGCCTCGCGGTAGCCGTGAAAATGTGCAGAGGGCGCAAGGAAGTTGTGGGCTCACTTGATCTCTTCAGAACATCCATGGTGATCTCGGCCTCTCCAGACACTATCCGCTCCATCTCTTGCCAAGTCAAGAGGTTGACAATGTGCTGAGGGACCACGGAGAATATTCCTTTCCTGATGGCCTCGACCTGCCGCAAACACACACGCAAAAGGTGCCCGGTGAGATACGCAGACTGTTAGGACAAAGTGCCATTGGTGAAAACATAACAGAGGGAGTATAAAACACCAGGAGGTGGTGTTACTAGCCTCGCGGATTGCGAGCCACCTTTGGTGGTGTTGTCGATGGCCAAAGCAAGTGAAAAGCTCATTTTGGGTTGAGTGAGAGCAACACAGAACATGCAAGACAACACAACTGAGTCAGCACAAACAAGACGCAATGAGACGGACAATATAAGCGAACAGTGAAACATTAAATCGAACCAAATCATTGCCCAATACTATGACAATATAAATGTAAGGGATGTTGAATTGTCGCACGGCTATTCGTATTTTCCGTGTACTCTGGTTCCCTCCCACATTATACCGATCCTGAGCCTTTAATCGACCTACGCAGTACAGTATTCCCTCGTCCACGAACTTTCTACTTGCAATTTTAGCGATCCACAAATCGTATTTGGAACTCTACACGACTACCGCATCGAAAGTGATGAGACAGAATGTTATGCGAGAATGTCATGAGAGATGTGTCTCTGTAGGAGTAGTAACGACATCGCAACGATCACCATCATCACTGTCATCAGTATTATCGCTACTGCATCCTTTACTGCGAAGCATCACAATTTGAAGAAAGTAAGTTGATAAATTGTTACGTAATATTTTAACGTACATTTTGATTTACTTTATGTTTATTTTAACCAATTTTTACTTGTGTTACAATTTTCACGTATTTAACAGCTTATTTATGTATTTACTCAAGGTAATTCAGTACAATCTATTACATTTTCGGAGGCCAATATCATCACCCGTGATGAACAACGTGGGAATGCCGTCCTACAATTCGTCTACGGAGTCCAAGTGGGGGTGGCTGGCCGAGGTGGACCGCCGTGCCCTCCCGGCGCCGCCACCGTCACCTGCTGGCGGCTCTCGCAGAGTCGCGCCTCCTGCACGAGACGGGCGTAGCGCAGGCGGTCCCCGTAGTGGACGCGCACCCACACACCGCCCGGGACCAGCTCCACGGTGCGGCCGCTGCTCAGCGTCGTCGCGTACGTCAGCTCCTCGCCGAAGAGCTGCGCGAACGCTGCCTCGTCTGCCGCCTCCTCCAGCGAGCGCAGCGACCTCGCCTGGGGGGCGCGCGGCACGCGCTCGTGACACCGTGAGATTGTGCGCGCGCGTGCGCGTGTATCCATGCGTGTACGTGGGTGTCCGTGTGTGTTGTGTGTGGGGAGCGGTAGTGTAGCGGTTAGAGATGCGTGATGAGTGAGTGGCACAAACTAGGGAAGAGGTGGGCTGAGTGGACTTGCCAAAAACTGGTACCAGTGGTACCAAGATCGGCCTCTGTGGGAGGTGGTTTGTGAAGGGCGTGATTAGGCAGTTAGAGCCGGTCACCTTCCAACGACAAAGGCAGTAGAGCAGTGATGTGTGTGGGGGGCGGTGGCGTAGTGGTTACCGCACCACACTACGAATCTGGTAGCCAAAGCTCAGTTCCCGGTCACGGCTAACATCAGTGATGATTCATTATCTGAACCAGTCCTGCACCCCTGCCCTAACAAAAATAAGATTGAGCTCAATGCAGAGTAATAGTTGTTAAATCATTTCCAAATAATATTCATGTTCCCCGCCTCTTATACAAATTATGTAGGGGGTGGGAAGAGGTGCGGCAGGTGAATAATTTCCACACCTCCGATTAACACGGTTGGCCAGAAAAGAGGTTTAACATATATACTCGTACAAAAGGGTTGCTCATTAGTTTTTCTCACCAGGGTCTCATCTACGGATCTGAAATCACTCCAAGTCACGGTCTCCCCGACGAGCTGCTTCCACACCAACGCCGGAAGGCACAGTATCTGCGCACACCGCAACAACGACGAGTACCAGGACACGTACACGCACCACCCTTTGTGTCATCCACGACTCGGAGAGGGCCTCCCCAAACCACATCGGCCGTTGAGGTTATTTGAGCATACTTCACCACAGTGGTCCGTTCAGATTGGTGAAAGTGGGGGACATAGATGTTCAAGAAGAGCGGCAGTGCTATAATGAATGTTGCACTACCAACTGCTAACATCGTAGCAACAAGAAAACAAGCCTCGCTTAATCGCTGCACGCTCTAACCTCATGCTGCAGTTCTAAAAGGTGATCAGTCAATCGCAGTACATCAAGTAGGTTCCTAACCTATGTGTAGCGATTTTTCATCGATATTCCTTTATATGTGGGGCTTCCTTGTGTAGTTTTCCACAATTGTGCTGCATACGCAATTGAGAATAGTCTAAACATTCAAAGCAGGAGTCTCTGTATAAACTTTCTTGAGCCCTAATTGAGATTTTCTGAGATAAATATAACTGCATTAATATAATTATAAGATAGCCAAATAGACGGATGTCTCTTTTTAAAGAGAAACCTGAAAGAGTAGGCATGTAACTGCGCTAATCTGAGGGACAACAACAATGCGTCGATTCTTAAATTAAATTTGATGCTTAGGATACACGCATCAAAAACAACGCAAATCGATTTTCGTGTTACAGTGAGCGCCTCACAAATCGAAGGGTTGGGAGTTCAAATCCTGGCTGGGGGTTGGCTCAGCCCCCACTGACCATCTGGGAGGGTTGAGGACCACTTGGTGGAGAAGTACACCGTGGTTCTTTTGGATGGACTCACCCCCACCATAGGAATGTGGAAATTACAGCAATGGCTCAGGGTTGTAAACATAAAACGAGCATAGCCTCAATGCTCATTTAAGCAGGAAGTCACTTGGCTAATGGACTGAAGCAAGTGTATAAATGAGATCACAACCGCGGGGATAACGTGCTCGTTCTCACGTGCGCAATACAAGTTACCAGGATGTTGGCGCCACGCAAGGCCGCTCCCATTATCTTTCCAATCCACGTGAACATGTACAGGTCACGGCAGTCTGGGTTCGGCACATACACGCACGACTCCTGCCCTCCGGTACTCTGCGGGTACAGACAAGGGAGCATACACAATTGGCGACTACATTAATATTCAATTAGACTACTGATCACACACCATAAAGGGTTCTGCATCAGTATAGTGGAGAACTAATATAAGTGCCTGTATTGATTTTGTCTGGGTTGGGCGGTGGGAGGGGATGTTTAAACGTAGCTTAATAATAAAATAACACAGCCCTTTATTCATGTGTGCAAACGACGGTTTAGTGCTCTGTTCGATTGTGGTTGTTAATTCTGTTGGCATGAGGATTTTTTGTTATACTTGTGTGCGACGCAATATCAACTAATAAACAAGGATGGTGATTGTATGTATGTATTTTTTACTTCTTTCACAACATACATAGCCAACCGTGCTACTCGGAGGTGCGGGAGGACAAATTAAACATAAAAAGAAGTTCTAAAAAAATACGTTTTAAATCTAGATTAAAAAAAAAACATAGCTCCAGTGGCTTGCTAATAACGGAAAGAAGAACATTCCAGATGGCCGCAGAAGCGCATCTAAAAGCACGCGATGCGGTGACCGTCTCTCTTCAATGGCCAGCTAAAAAGCCACTGCTGCGAGGATGACCGTGTGACGGTTCGTGTGATGGTTTATGCTCCTTGACAAGCTCGGAAAGGTATTGCAGTTCATATGTGGCGATTTGTTTGTAATGAGTGTGTGGTAGGAAATAAAGGCACAGCGGTGGAGAGAAAAAGAAACGGGCGCTCACCCGTCCCAGCATCCGCAGGAAGAATGGCACCGGAACCGGGCAGTAGGGGTCGCTGGGGCACAGCTCCTCCGCGATGTCCGACAGACACTCGCGCTGCCCGCCACCTACACCCGCAGCGACGAAGTCACGTGGCGCCATGCAGCCAAGGCGGCAATATGTACGTACATGTGTATGTTGAACTTCTTTCTCGCCGTACGTAGCCCACCGTGCGAATTGGAGGTGTGGGGGAGGGACAAAAAACTAAACACAAAAGCAGTTCTCCAAAAAATCAGTTTTCAATCTAGATTTAAAAGTGCATAGCTAATAGATTGTAATGACGGCCAGAGAAGCGCATCCGTAAGCGCCAGGCGATGCAGTGAGCGTCTTGGTTCAAAAAAGCAAGTAGAGGACTCGCCCGCTGGCTTTGCTTGTACGTAGTTGGTCACACTGGCACAAAGTAAGGTTGATGGCGATCGAACACAATGAGAACTACGAGGCAGTTCTTCAGGAACTGTTGGTAGTTTTGTAAAATGCACAAAAGGCCGAGTGCTTTTTGTACGTGTTCTTGTGTGTTGTTGGAAACGTAGAAATTGTTTAATTCCCTGCAGTTGCCTGGCAATTTTCAGCGTACACTGGATACTGTAAATGAAGTAGCTTCATAATTTACAAGAGTGGGCTCATGTATCCTGGTATCGGCGGACCATGTTCGCATCTTTAAATATACTCTCAAACGAATTGTTTATGTTACTAACCTTTCAATTACGCAAATGGAGAATAAGGGAACAGCTCAGAGATGTGACCGAGATATCCGAATTTAACACAAATTTAATATCGCACAATGGCTCAAATGTGACGATTTATTGCATGGAAGAAGTATATTGAACAAACCATTTTTCAAATGTATAAAAATGTTGTATACCATGTCCATATTTAACGACCACTTTTATTTACACATTTCCCTCGTAAATGTGATCATGAATATCAACTAGTTCTCAAAAGGGTAAATATCAGACAACTGATGGACATTGCCACGGCACATCCCATAATCACTCATCGACGTTGTACGTCGCCATTCGCTTGGATTGTTACGCATTTAACTGAAGGTGGATTCAGGGGATTGGTTACAGGGGGCCTCTTCCCACAAGCTTAGCCGATCAATGTGGCATTCGGTGTGGCCAGGGAGAACTTCAAAGGGTGTCCAAGTCACCCACCCACTCACCGGCATCATTCATTCCTTCCAGGGTGAAATCACACGACCACCACTGACTCTCCGAAGGTTTCCACCTGAAAGTGAGAGGACGACAACGAACACTCTTAACACCAATTTGTGCATAGATCTCCATCATCGATAGGCAGGTTATACCAGGCAATCTCCATCATCAATACACACGTTATATCAGGCGAGAGCCCACAGAGGCCAAACGTTTATTTTCTAAGGGACACAAAGCAATTTAGTAGATGCAAGCAAAAAAAACGGTCAAAACATTATTAACATTATGACGTATTAAATAAACATTAAACGACAAACATTCAACAGTTAGCGATATGTAAAGAATAAACATAATCAGAATCTTTATCCTAGATAAATCTGATGAGCTATGAAGCTCTTTTTTACAGCTGTCCATAAAGGGTGAAGACCGTAGAGCCGGCCCAGGACACGCTGGCCGGACGATGTCGCTCGGCTGGCCTGGAAACGCCTGGGAATTCCCTAGGAGGAGCTAGAGTCTGTCGCCAGCCAAAGGGAGGTGGGGACCGCCACTACTCAACATGCTGCTGTAGTGTATAGTGTATAGTAGTGTATAGTAGTATATAGTGTAGTGTATAGTGTAGTGTATAGTATAGTAGTGCTGGAGGCTGTCGCCAGGGAAAGGGAGGTGGGGACCGCCACTGCTCAACATGCTGCTGTCGTGTATAGTGTATAGTAGTGTATAGTAGTATATAGTGTAGTGTATAGTGTAGTGTATAGTGTAGTAGTGCTGGAGGCTGTCGCCAGGGAAAGGGAGGTGGGGACCGCCACTGCTCAACATGCTGCTGTCGTGTATAGTGTATAGTAGTATATAGTGTAGTATATAGTGTAGTGTATAGTGTAGTGTATAGTGTAGTAGTGCTGGAGGCTGTCGCCAGGGAAAGGGAGGTGGGGACCGCCACTGCTCAACATGCTGCCGCCGCGACCCTCGCCCGGACCAGCGAAACTGAGAAACGAACGAATGAACGTTTAAAGTAAAAAAACTATTAAGCTTGCATTGAGTATAATTCAAAAGCAATTACATTCATAATAACCAAGGTACAAATACACATTTTACATGAAGAACCAACTGGAAGTGGTTAAATTTGGGATTGAGACGATGTTATTTATTCCAAAATTCGACAATGAGGAGCATCATGCAATAAAAATAACAATTTCCAAATGGAACATTTACTTTGCAAACGACTTTATTAGATTGTTCTAGCATATCTACGGGAAGCGATCATCAGCTGACGCAATGCAAGTTGTACTTCGATATAGCCGAAAGGAGGCCAAAGGTAATAACAAGCAGGAGTCTATTCTGTGTCTTCACATATTATATTTAACCAAATAAATAAACAGTTCATTAGCCTTTTGGCTTTCCGGACCAATAACATCAAGCAGCATTTGCTAAAGTGAGCAAACTCTGGATCATCAGTAGACAAGCCTGTTAAATAATGACTGATGTGTTACCAGGAGCTATTTACAACAGCACACCATATAAATAATGGGATCCCATTAATGAATGTGTGTATTTTGAACTTCTTTTGCACCGTACGTAGCTAACCGTGCTAATCGGAGGTGCGGGAGGGACAAACAAAAAGCCGTTCTAAACAAAATAGTTTTCAATCTAGATAATGATTTAAAAGTGCACAGCTCCAGTGGCTTCCTAATATCGGAAGGAAGAGCGTCCCAGATGGACGCAGAAGTGCATCTGAAAGTGTGTGATACAGTGACCGTCTTTGTTGGATGGTAAGCCAAAAGCCGCCGTGAGGATGACCTGCACGGATAAAAACCGTTCAATACAAACAGCAAGCGGTGAAGGGCTTGCTGAAGGGAACTCTTCTACTTTGGGGTAAAGGATAAAGGAGGTAGAATTGATGAAAGTGCTGCTCAGGAACGTAAAGAAATGAAAAGAGAAGCACAAGATTCGAGCAGAGAACTTGAGCAAGCTGAAAACTCAATAATAATAACAGTAAGACACCATTACTGTTAGAATTATTGGAATTAGTGCTCTTGTTACAAGCACACAAAGTATCATAGGCCAATAAAAAGGCTGTGTGGTCACAAACATGCCTCACCTGTAATCCAGAAACTCCTTCTGCTCATACTCCTGCAGGGCACGGTAAACCTGCCCAGACACAAAGCGAGCGTTAGAGACGGTGCTGCCGGTCCTCTGAGGGGTTGCTTCCCATAAGCAGGTCTCAGTCCTAAGCAACATCGACTCCCAAGTCAATCCAGCAATGGGCAGTGCTTACCACCATTGGTAGTGGCATCATCAGTATGATGACTACTACGCTCGTTAACCCAGGAAGGCATCAACGAGTCCCAAGGCTCTTGTTCGGGAGGGTCCTGCCAAGTTTTTGCAGTCAGGGACAATGCTGCCATGTGTAATTCCAATTGAGTAATTTGGAGGTAATGTTTCAGCATTGGTTTGGTCAATACCACTTAAATTGGACGTTTGCTGAGCTATGAGAGGAAACCAGAGATCCTGGAGAAAACCCATGCAGAACAGGGGGTGATCATACAAACTCCACGGAGAAAGGTGCCCGAGTCGGAATCAAACTCAGGCCTTTCCTGTGCGAGGCACCACTCTGCTGCCCAAAGTTCCACATTTCAGTGGTGGAGGCCAGCAGGGTCGAAAATCAAATGGTAGAAACCCCGATATGAAACTCATCCATCGTTTCCCCTCTGCAGAAACATCGCAGCATAGGAACCAATCTCAAAAGAGCTAGGATACACAAGTTTGGTGTTCTGAGCAGCGCCAGTGTGGCATAGCGTTGTACACCAGGACATTCCAACCACTGGTGGAGGGGCTAAATCTTTCCAAAGGATAACCACTGCACAAGAGAAACAATCCACATCTTGAGCAAAGTTGCCATGTTATCTCCCTCGCCTGGCACGCAGGAGTGTGTGGGTTCGATCCCACACCCTGCCGATGCCTGTTGTATATTTGAAGTCCACGTGTTCTCTCTCCCCGTGGTGATTGAGTGATTTTGCTCCGGGTTCCTCCAGTTTTGCCCTCCACATTTAGAAACATGCATTCAGATTCTTTGGCTAAATTCCCACGTGTAACGATATACGCCACTCTGATGAGCTATCATGTGTGCCCAGGTCGTCTCTGAAAAAACAGCGAATATCTCAGTGGACTTTACCTGGTCAAATAAAAGTTGAATTTCAATAGGATCAAAGAAAAGGAAAAGGGTTTACACACACACATAAAAACCCAACCATCTTATACCAGTGCTTATCTGTCCCGTGTTCTTTAATAATACAGGGAAGCCCGAGTCTGAAACATATTAAATTATCCCTAGATAGTCATAGATTTGTATGCTCGGCCAATTCCTTTTCAAGGAATGTTTTGAATCCGGGAAGAAACTCAAGTACGTGGGAAAAAAACCCACGTAAGACAGGTGATAACACTCAATAAAAGACCACGTGCACAGGTCGTGACCCTACTGCTGTACTGCCACCTTCTGAAACCATCCCACAACCCAGTGGATGTGGCAGTCCGACAGAACGTACAAAAAACCTGCTTCATCCCTCAACCCCGTCGCTAAAGTGTGGGATCCACAGGGCACCTTCTGCCACAGTCGGTCCCCACTTCCTGTCACCTGTGCGACCACCGAGTTCCTGTAGTGCGGGTCGGCGTGCGGGTTCTTGCGGTGTCGCAGGGCCGCGGTGCGGTCCACGGTGATGTGGGCCGTCGTGCTGGTCGTCGACAACGGCAAGTTCCGCGTCAGCGCCGAGTCGATGAACATGTCGCGCTCGCTCGAGAGGGCCAGCAGGTTCTTCACGCTCTGCACACACGTTTCATTTTTTTGTATTTTATTGAACCGTCTTGTCTATCGTCGTCATCATCGCAATCATCATCATTGGTCATGATATCTCGAATGTTGATTAATTTGTCGGGCTCCCTCGAGAGGGCCAGCACGTGCTTCACGCTCTGTACACACGTTTCATTCCTACGTATTATATTAAACTGTCTTGTCTATCGTCGTAATCATCATCGGTCACGATCTATTAAATGCTGTCTGAAGGGCTCCCCCACGGCATCGCCATCCCACACGATCCATCGTCTCGCCCACGTACGCGAGGTCTCAAAGCTTCATCTTGCCTACCCCCGTCCTGTCTACTGCCTTAACTAAACGGTTATTTCAAAGGATAAAATCAGTCACTGGCAATCACTGTCATTCGAGTTTTATAGACCAACCGATGGAGGCGATCCGTTCAGTTGAGGATGGCAAAGAGAAAGTACCGCAATTATTTTTGCCGTGTTATCGTTTGAGAACCCGAATGTGGAGCATGGAGTTTCAAGGTAAGCAGGGGGGGTGATATGGGATGGAGAAAGCTTGGACTACGGGGCTGCCCTCATGCACAGAACTTTATAACAGAGTGTATAAAGTTTGTAAAATGCCTCAAAGATGAACTTGAGGATTACCTGAAAATCTGAAAAGCTTCCATTGCTATATTCCCAACTTGGAAGTACATATGGCATAACCTCTTCAAAAAGATTCACGAACCTGAAGATGCAAGAGGGGAAAGCAACATCCAAACACAACACAAAGTGTAAACTTGTTTATGTATTATTGGCAACGTCTAACTTCTTTAGAATGCAACAGACTCAACAACACTGTTACTAGTCAACTCTAAATGAGGGTAAACACGTGGCATATATGGGGATGACAGTATTGAGGTATGCATGAATACAAGTATTTAAAAGTTTTCTTTACCCCCAGTTTATTTTGATTTTTCCCCATCACATGGCCTAACCAATATCCTTGCTTCACACCACTGCCACCTCCCATGTTCTGGCCCAGGCCCTCTTGTATGGCTCTGTGAATCCTGTGGAATTTGTTACTACTGTGCCCTGCTACCTTGCTGAACTCCAGTGTCTCTGGGCTTCCCCGAGACTCAATGGGACTTGGTAGTGCTCGTTGGGAATTAATGTTGGATCCTGAGGCCAGACCCTAATTTCCAGAGACCCATCGGTTCCGGACTTCTGCAAGTCGGCTGCCACTGGAGCCTCCTCTGGGACTCGGTATCACGTTGGTTTTTGGTCGTGCGCTCCGTTTACCTGCCTCTCTCTCGTGAATCCCAACTCTCATCCTCACCTCGTCCCCTCTGATGAGATGTTAACTCCCTCGCCTGGTATGCAGGAGGTCGTGAGTTTGATCCCGATCCTGACGCATTTATATTTGGAGTTTGCATGTCTCTCTCCCCGTGGTCGCATTAATTTTTCTCCAGGTCCTCCGGTTTCCCCCCCAACCCATATAGAATCAACATGCATTTAGAGTATTTGATTGCTATAAATTTCCACATAAGCCACTTTGTTGAGCGATTATTTGTGGCCAGGTCGTTGCTGCAAAAAGAGCTATATAGCTCAGTGGGCCTTACCTAGTAAAATACAAAATAGTTGAATAGATGTCCCCATGTTTTTGTTTCTTGCTTCTCTGGTTTTGTCCCCAGCTTTGTTCAGCCTTCTGAGATGCTGTTGAATTTGGATGCCCAATGACTGGAAGCTATCGTAGTTGTTTCTGTAATCGGGTGTACGGTTTTCACCGAGTTAAACCCATCACCAATGAGGTGCCTGATGTACACCGATGGCCGAGTGAGTGACGGTGGTTGTTTGATGGCAGTGGCACCTGTAGATTGCGATCGAGCGCTGGCACAAGAAGTCGGGGCTGAACCGCGCAAGCCGAGGGAACAGCGCCAACTTTGGCGGCTCAAATGCGGACAAGCTCATTGGAGGAAGTGGGATGAATGAGCACTTCATCTGCAGAGTGTTGATCTGGATGTTGTTGAATCCTGAAAAATTGCCACAAAAGAAAAAAATATACACCTGTACCCAGTTATACATTGTTGTCTTTTCCCCCAGTTTTAACTTTGCTGCAATGTATGCTCAAAGGAGTTATGTTGACCAGATCCTCCCTAGACTGTGGTCACAATGTCTCTGCTTGCATTGTGGGTTTGTATCAAGCCCTATGGAGGCTGAAGCTGCCATGTTGAATGTGGCCACGCCGAAGAGGAAAGATAACAATGCTGAATAACTCACGTGAGCCGCTCTGCAGGTGGATCTTCACGAGGGGGTAGTGCACGCACGCGTTCGCAAGCAGGCACACGTCTCTGGCGTCACTGCAGAGGAAGGGCACGAGAGACGAGAGTCTACGACGGGAACGAGCTGGCACATCCACTCACGACACCACGCCGCTTCTGCTCTTGTCACACACGGCCAAAGGGACTGCATGCGGTGGACTCTGTGACACAATCACTAAATAGGGCCAACAATTAAAAAAGGCAGAAAATAATAGATTGAAATGTATGAAGTTAACGACGCTGCCTTAAGGTAATTAAATATACACATTCGGCGACGTTATGGGCGGTGTGCTCTGAAGCAGGGCCACTGCCAAATTGGCGTGACCGTGGCTCACTTGGCTATGACGACGTGGTTGACCTCCTTGAGGGAGTCCATCGTCTGTCCGCCGAGCACCGTCACCTGTCCCACCCTGTTATCGTCGTTCGTCAGGTGCCTGAGGAACATCTTCCTGTGCAAACACGCCGCACAAACACGCCGCAAATTACGCACCTAAGCGACGCGACACAATGGGCTCCCGTCAAGCAGGTTCGATGGTTACGGAAGAAATGCGATACACTCAGTGGATAGATGAGAATGAACGTGTCTTTATAAAAAGGTTAACCTTGCTTGATAGAGAGCTTCATAACTCAACACACACACGTTTCATAAACGTGTGTGTGTTGTGGGGGGGGGATTTGGGGGGTAGACTCAATGAGTACCTGGTGCGGTCTGTAAATATCAGCACCGGGGAGACAGTGGCAGCCGAAGGTGGTGCTGACCATCCCCTTCCCCACTCGTGCTGTGTCACCCTTCATAGGTGCTCCCTAACAGCACTTGCCCAAACAGTGTGTTAAGGCTATATAGGAGCCTTTGTCTTTGTGATGGAGCGGTGGCGCAGCTTTTAGTGCGCCGCACTACGAACCCGGCGCCCCGAGTTCAAGGGTCAATAAACAACGCCGGTGCCTACAAACAAATCACCCCCGGTGAGCGCGACCTCGAGGACACTCGCGTGGGTGACCACCGAGGCTTACCAAGCGTTGGTGTTGCATTGCTATGACAAGGGCTGTGCGTTACCAGTAAACAGCAGTGCGATAATAGGTTATGTTTAATTATTTAGTGCGATTGTTTACCCTTAAATGCATCACCGAGTCTCATGACCCATCTTCAGGACGGTCCCACTAAATGTTTTTGGAGTAAGAGGCGACGATTGCTTTGTATATTATTCCAAACGAGTAATTTTCCGGTACTTTTTTTTATTTGGCAACTTTGAACTATGAGGGCAACGCGCAATGGCCTACTCTTGAGAATGACATCACGGGTTCCGTAACTTCCGCTGTGAAGGAGACGGCCGTGTCTTTATTTGTTTTGTAAACTCACCCATAGGAATTTGATCCAAAGACAGATTTGGTAGAGTCACTGCATTGAGTGTGACTGTGGAATGAATCCGCGTCAGGGGCTCTGCGTGCGCTACCTTCCGCACGCGTTTTATTTCTCTGGGAAATGGTCAAGCATCCCAGCGAAGGAATGTTGTGAAAAGGCGACTTGGAACCCAGTGAGGAATATCTACGTAAATGATCATCAGCACAAGGGGCAGGTGGTATCTGTCCCTGTCCTCGGCTTCAGTGGGGAAACAAAAGCAGCAAGGCATGGTGCTGAACCGTTATGTGCCGTGCCGGCATTCATTGGTACACATCCTGTACAGGCGATCTTTATGTATTTGCATGTGCGTACTAGCTGAATCCACCAGGAGGCATGACTGCATTAAAAATAAAGCACAACAGTCTCCAAAATGCGGTTTCTTACACAAACCATAGCATTGATCATAAGGGAACATTATTTCAGTGCTATGGTTAAACGTTGATGTTAATTGTGCTAATTAATAACTCCCATAGTCGGTGAACAGCCCTGGAGTACGACAACACATAACCTATTTCTGGATCTCTTGATTTGGCACCCTTTACTCAACACTACACAATCATCCTTTTTCAGAAATCTTGTATTGAACATTTAACAGTTACGTATTCGGTGATTTTGGAGTGCTTATTCCTGTTATGCTTGTTTAATCCAGGAAAGCATTAGGAAAACATTCCACTGGAATTGGTTACCGGTTCCTGCCTTTCAGAACCGCTAATCGCTCCTGAAACCGGATATCGGTTTACCGGTTGGCATGTGACATGTACTTGTTTTTGGGAGCGCATCCCCTTACTGAATGATGGCACCAGGCTTCATGTGCAAGCACAACCAGGCCTCAGAATTGTCCGTCGCCCAGTACGTAGCCGGGTCATCATCTGTGATGTTCTTAACCGAGTTCTTGCTCTGTGGGGACAATAAAAAAGAGGCCTCTGCATTATTCATTATCAAAGACTCTGGCACATGGATCAGAGACAGACGACAGAAAGAAAATGAACTATACTGCAACAGGAGGAGGAGGAAACCGTGAATTGGAAGAGGCGCAAGTTAGGGACATCGAATTTACTGTTAGGACAAGTGGGCCCATGCAGGGTGCATCACGAGCAAAGAGGAAATGCCTAAGAGGACATTCCCTGCAGAGGAGTTATGAAATGAGATTCGATGGAGGAGCGAGACAGACTCTTTAATCACCAGACTCTGACAGATGTTTATGGCTTGTGGAAGCATTCATCCAGCAGTGGATGGATCATAGCTGATGATGATGAGTTACAATGGGTAGAGTGATATTTTTTAACTGTTTTCGATGTAAACATTATGCAACTTTGCTTCACTAAAGGGCATAAAACTCGGAATAACATCTGTTTAGTCTTTAAAATATTCTGATCTAAAAAAACTGTTTTATGGCACGGTTTGTGACATAATTAATAAACAATCTCATTCAACATTACATTTAACAGAGTCAGCCAGCATCTCTTAACATGGAATCCTCGATGACTAACGCGTTCCCAGAAATATTTACTCACTGGCTTGTGCGAGGCGTCAATCTTCTTCACGTATAACTTAGCATTGTCGAGATTTTCTGATTCTTTCTTGGAAAAACTGAGCAGAAATTGAGCCAGATCTTCATCGCACTGCAGGTTCCAGCCTTTCGGAGCCAACCTGTTGGAAAACAAAGGCGGGTACACAGGCGCTCGTAGTGCCAGACACAACACGGGAGAGTGAGAGCGGGTCCACGTGGAGAGGTCTGCTGTTGGATGGACCCTAACTCGTCTAACAAAGACGCACACTTTCATAGGGGCCAGGTGGCTCAGCAGCACAGCGAGAAATGGATGAAAATTAAATGCAAGTGGCGTACAGTCTTTATGTTACGCTGAGCGACGCACAATGGAAAGGTTGCGATTTCAAATCCTGGATGGGGGTTGACGCAGCCCATAATTCCCAATGGGTTGATAAAGTGAGTACCACTTTGTGGGGAAGTCAACAATGATTGTACATTGGATACACTTGCCCCTGCCACAGGAATGTGGAATTTCCACAAATGGTTCATAGCTGTAGGCAGAAGTTTAGCACCGCCACAATGCTCATTTGAGCTAGAACTCCCTTTGACTTTCACTGTATGCACCCTGAAATTAGCGTTGATTACATAGCAATAAAACCAAAATGTTTAATTCCAGTGGTCAAAATAAGTCGAATGAAGTAAAAAAACAAACTCAAAGGGTTTTTGTTGTTGCTGTGTTATTGGTAACGAGGCCGAAGATCATCAACTCGCTCAAATCGAGAACCTGGATTCACCACAGGTGGCTGCCCAGATTCACAACCAGAATCCCATTGGGGGTCGGCTTGCTGCGCAGGCATGGTAGTCATTAGCCTCCCCGAACCACCAAGATACTCGTCTCAACCTCTTGAAGAGAATAAAAAAATAAACCCTCAAAAAATACAATTACTCAAGCGTCAACAATATACGGACCGTAAAGCGTGGGCTGACTCGGTAACAGACAGAACCCATGGTGACGACAGCCGTGGCTCGATAAGCCGAGCGGCTATGCTTGAGCCGCCACAGAGGTCTGCTAGAGATATCCCTCACCTCATTTTCTCCACAGCAGCACTGTCACAGACGGCTAGGGGAGGTCTGCACCCCTGCTGCAGGCAATAACTGGCATCCACGGCTCGCTTCCAACTGAAGTTAGGGGTGGGGTTGGGTGGGGTGGGGGTAAATAACACAACTGCCTTACAACGACGCTAACAGACATCATAAACGAACCCGGCAGGATCTGGCAACAACGCACAGCTCCACGTACAGCCGAGATAAAGAGTGTTGGAAGCTTACGTGAGCCTGCAGCATTCAGAGGTCAAATCCTTTACGTAAATATCCACGGCTCGATGTGCCGCGTCACCGCGGCCGACCATTCATTGCTTTACGTTGAAGGCGAGGCAGATTTTCACAGAATGGCAAGATGTACGAAAGTGGCAGTGCTTAGATCATTACATCAGGCAACTTAATCGCGGGTGGCATTCAGTCTTTAAAAGTAATCATTAACAAATATCGATCAGCAATAGGCTGTGGCGTGTGCCGCAGGGGCAGGTTGTTTAAGTGCTGTAAAGTCGGACGATCTCCCGGACGCACAAAAATATGCCACCAGTATCAACGTATTTGAATACTCAATTAAAACGCACTCGCACACCATTTACAACTGTTACAGCTGGAGTACGTGCCATGCGAGTCGGTTATGTATTTATGAACGCGTCTGGCTGGGTGCAATGTTCATTGTTTATAAACGGCACACTGTATATCTATCGATTGAAAATGTTTGCATGCGCGCCGTCGCGTGCTCGCTATGTACACGTCAATCGACATCCTAGACAGTCCCATGCAAAAAGAGATGCTCCAACTCAAGCGGGTTTTCCCGGTGTGAAACATTTTAAGAAAAACTAAATTAATGATACACTGAGCTCATGGTCTCACCTGCTCTGCTCGTTGTCCTTGCTGTCATTGCTCTTGCCATGTGGAACTGGGACGAATGCCATCCTATGATCATCAGGACGATAGAGGAGAACCCAGCCCTCCTCCATGTCACTCGGACAGCCGAGTTTTCTGAGCTCCGGCTGCAAACAAAACACGGCCGTGACGAAGAGGGCACGCACATTGAGCGACGAGAGAACAGCGGCAACAGGCGATTGAATGTTGAGCACTGTGAAAGCGTTGGCGCCATCGCTAACAGAGGAGATTGATGAAAAAAAATTATAGGTCGACTGAGATTATTTCAGTGAGGAATCTGTATAAGAATCACCCCGTATAATGGACGTGAAAAGACCATTCGGCAATTTTAAATATCAAGTAGTCCATACAGAGCTCATTTAAAAAAATATATTAATTCAAACAGAAACTATCAACTCCAAGACACACATCCCCATTGAGGTGACCATCACAAACCCCTCAACAATGCACCCTTCTGACCCTCTTGTATCTGATGCATTTAGCATTGTTCTCTATGCACAGCGAGTCAGCAGAAGCATAACGTACCTCGAGCTGTGCTGTCACATGCCGCTTAAACCTTGCTTTGGAATAATTTACAAGAAAATATCTCTGTACATTATACCAAAGATATTTTCACCGTTCAACGGTTGTTTTGTTACTCGCGAGTAGCCTTCATGAACTTTGGCAAGTAGGAACATAAAATAACAAAATAAAATAGATGACGCCAAAAAGCATACCTGGTCGAGCACCAATTGGGTCGAGGCTCAAAAGAAAGCCGTCCCTTGATGTGGACCAATCAGTTTCAAGGACAATGCATATATTATCGTAGTATGTTTTTGGTTTGCATTTTGACTGCAGGTATTGTGGTTAATGCAGACTGAATCCTTGTAAAAAAGGTTTCAGTTTTGTTGCCAGAAAAAAAAGGGAAAAACCCTATTATTACATTTTGGTACTGGCAAAGGAGGTCTAATGAAAGGAGGTCTAATGATGAAAATAAAAACACTCTGAGGCAGTGGAGGCAAGTTTCACAGCTGGGTTAAGGGCCGCGTGTTTCAGGAAAACATAGACCGATTGTCAAAACACAGACAGCCCTCGAGGCACACCGCTCATTCTAGGATAACATCGGTGTCAGAATAATGTTTAAGTGTTATACTTTGGTCACGGCATAAAGGGAAACTAATTAAATGGCATGCTCTGAAGATGGTTGCCCGTCACATGTTTTGTTTACGTGCGAACGTCTACACGTTTTTACAAAATGTTGCACGTGTGATCCAATCCTAAAACAGAGGCGCTGAAATGTACGTGATTTTTTAATGAAACTTTTTATCACTCAGGAAATCCCCAACTGAACACACAGATTCTTTGTCAGTAGGGGAATGTCAAAGGATCTGCGTGGTCAATTCCCTTGCAAATATTTATGCACGAGTTTTTTGCGTATGCACATTTGGGTTTTCTCTGGATACACCACTTTTCCTCCCACGTGCAAAAAATATTTATTTAGGAATTGATCAAATAATCCCCGGAATCTCCTTCAAGAAATTTGAGACCAAGCAAGGCTTTCATTTAAAAGGATGGCAGGATATCACTCTGGTGTAAATGTTGGCACACTGGACAATCCAGAGTTTGTCGGTCAGAATCGATCTCTCAGCATGGCAGTTGAAAGAGTGGGCATGTTTTTTAAAACCCCTCCACTTATATCCACCGAGCAGTGTAAATGGGTACACCGCAGTCATTGAACCTCTTCCCATTCCGAGACGTCTGCAAGTTGCAGGGTGGGGTCCCGTTCACCGCTGAATCTCGGAAACGTGCAAGCGGCTCAGCTTTAATTTTATTTAGAGAGGCGTAACGCTGCTGTTTTTAGATACATTGTACTCACCCCAGAGAACCATAGCCACACAACCGCACTCGATGATAGCTGGCGCCAAACTGTGCCACACACCCTCCTGCATGGCCTCGTGGGAGCCTCGGTACCGAAAAAATATTTTACGTCATCGGAATTGAATTGGCAAAAAAACTGATGACGTACATGTACATCATGGGAATCGGAAAGGGTTAAGGTGGTCTGTGGTGGGGTAAAATGTGGGTCCTCCTAACTCTTCGAAGACGTCTGGCCAGAGTGGAAGAGAACAAAACACCTTCTGGTTGGGCTCTCTTTAGTGGAGGCCCTTCTGACAGGTGTGGCGTGAACAGCGAACTGCAGGGCTGCACATGAACATATTATTACTATCTTCTAGATTATTACTACTTTCAGAAATGCTCATGCTGGCCCAGAGTAGCCAATGAAAAAGAGCACCAGCCTACTGCTTGCAGAATCATTGAGCCACTAGTTTAAAAAAACGATTTGCCCAATTATATTCCCATTGTGCATGACAAGGAAGCGGCACATCACTTCACGTCAGAGAAAAGTCTCTGGGGGAGTGGATAAAAGGTAAATGGTCTTTCGAGACCTCTCATCCACACTGATCAGCAGCGCTCCTCACATGACAACCAAACCAAAACGATGTACTCCTCAGGGCTGGATGTACAGCGAATTAAACTAGAAATGTCACATTCTTTGGTGCATTCATTGCTCATCAGTTTGCTACACTTCAGAACTCAGTTTAATTACTTGGGTGTATCCCCGGATCTGAAACGACCCATGACCTCAGTGGTGCTGCTGCTGCAGTGCTCTGACACGGTATTCGCATTCCAAGTCAGCTAGCCATCTCGAAACACCACCTCATATTTAATGCTTTTCAATTCAGGTTAAAAGTGGAACTTATATCCATCGGTCCGTCTGTCTGTGTGGAACATGGGTGGGGTCACGCTGACTCTTGTGCGCATGAGTCAAAATAAATTCAACTTTACAAAAAAATTATGTTGCTATTAGGGACTTCACCTGCAAAAAATGTCCCAAATTTATCAAAAGGTTGCTCAAAACTGAGACACACTCAAGGGCGTAAATGTCCAAAGATGCAAATGAGTCTTATCTTATTTATAGAGCGTCTTCAGCAAGGCGTTAAACAATCAACTTTTTTTACAGCACAAGTGCAATGAGATGAGTTGATGAGGATGGTATTCATGAATATGATGATGATGTGTGAAATAAACGATCACAGCAACCTTTCGGCTCCCATGCCTCCGATTAAATAAGTAGAAAGACAAGTGCACGTCGGAAAGCGTCACAAGAATCCACGTACGTCCTCGTTTTAAACTCTCACCTGCAACACCTTGGCCCACGCGCCAGTCCCATCACAGTACTGCTCGCCGCTCGCTCTCACCAAAGCCCCCTCGCTCAATGCCAGTGGGACCACCATGCGAGGTGGAGGGGTTGCCGGGGCCTGAGAGCTCGGTCCAGGACGGTCCCATACGCCGTCACCAGGCAGAGGGGAGCTGGGTTGAGGTCCCTTGGAGTCGGGAGGGCCTGCGGAGTCGCCTTGATGCACACTCATGTAGGCCACCTCCCTCGGTACGTAGCAGAGCGGTTCTGGCAGCGGCAGGCCATCTCTGAAGCACCGGACGCTCTCCAGGACACACCGGATCCTGGCCAGCCTCACACGGACCCTGCCCGACAGCATGTCTGCAGAGGCCACGGGCCGGTGGGTGTGGCATTTACCAACAGACACAGCACCACCAAGGGACACAGAGAAGCAACGCGACACAGAGACGCTTCAAGCCCAACGCCAGGTTCACGAGGTGTGTGAACTATCTACCCAACCTAGCACGTAGGAGTTGGCAGCCACTACGACTTCATGGATTTTAGTCTAACCTCCTAGATCTTGTCCTTAAGTTCCTTGAGCTGAGACAATGATTCATAAATGATGTTAGAAACAATAACTGCCGCGTTTAACGCTTGCACTAATGACCCTTTAATTTGTTTGGCGATGTTGGGTGGGTGGTGGCGGGGCTTCAAAGTAAACATGGGACTCATCTTCTATATTTAAATTCTTGTTTTTTTTCGGTAAAGTCACGTAGAAGGGAAATAATAAAATAAAACATAAAATAAAATTCTCACGACGTTTCGGCCACAACACAAGTAGCCTTCCTCAGGTGAAGAAACAGAACTGTCGGAAAGACAGCGCTCCAATGAGCACTGCTAAGCTTGGCAGCGTAAATACGCGTAAGTACGCTGCCAAGCTTAGCAGTGTTCATTTAAGCACTGTCTTTCCGACAGTTTCTTCACCTGAGGAAGGCTACTTGTGTTGTGGCCGAAACGTCGTGAGAATTTTATTTTGTTTTATTTTTATTATTTTATTATTTCCCTTCTACGTGACTTTACCGAAAAAACCAAGAAGACGAATCCCTGCAGTCACGAAAGCTTTAAATCGAAATTTAAACATGGGACGTTGGACCAACGTTAGTCCAATGGTTCCAACCACATGCCAACGTTGACCCAACATTGCATCTGGCTTACGACACAGATTTGACCAAACCCAAGAATGACGTGGCCAAACCCAATAATACATTGTGAATCACGTACCCAACTTTTAGTCAAACGCTCTAATGCACTCGAAAAAATCTCAGGCCGAAATACCTCCATGGAGGTATTGTCGATTGTCATTTGCTGCCCTGTGACAGTAGTGGAAAATCCACATTGCCATGGCTGGGGCCAGGCAGTTCGTAGTGAAGCCACTGCTAATAATAGCCTCTAAAGTAAAACAAATCCATGCAAAATAATCATGGAATGTCAATCATCGCAATGCGGTAAGTTTCCTGCAAATGAATAAAAAAATCAGCGAGGTTTCTAAAAATGACAATCCAGGCGGTCCTCTGGTAGGGGTATCCTCTACCCTGTCACAGTAATGTGGAATTTCCACCACTGGCTCAAGGGAGCCCAAGGGAGAGACACTATGTACAGACCCCATCGCACTCGCTGCAGCAGCAGCAGCACCAAAACTCCTGAATGTATAAACAGTACAGTACGTTTCGACCTACTTGTTGAGACTCGATCACGTCACCGCCACGGCAAGATAAAATTCCGTATCTTGTCAATGCTGTCGCGATGTACTAACAACCATTGATAATCTACCGGCCGGAGGGACCGCGTTAATCTTGCTTGCGAAATTCAAGAGCCTTCTCTTCCTGCTCGGATCGAGAGCCCTCCCACCGAGTCGTCACCACCACCGCCCATCTCAATCGTCAGGGACATCACTCACTCACTCGCGCACTCATCCCTGCATCTCGTATCCCGTCTGGAACGTTCTCCCCGCCCAGAGTGGCGAGCACGGCACGCACAGCTGGATCACAGCACCACGGCACGGATCACGCACTTGCGATTAGAATTCAATCGCGTTGCGTATTAACACGACTTTGGGTCTTACCCCTCTTGCTGCAGTGGGACGGTCCTGAGCGGACGTCAGCACTGACGCTGGGTTTTTAAATCCCAGTTCGCAAAGGCAACGCGGAGTTGGGTGAGATTATTTATATAAATATAAATGTGTTGTGTGTCGGTTCTTGCCTCACTGGCGACCACGTCCAGTGGCCGAGTTGCAGGATTGGCGTCTTGGTTGAGACGTTTGCTGGTTGCTGAGATCATTGATTTTGGCCGTGATGCCTCGTGCTGAGTAATGTTGGTGATGTAAACATGTCGTCATGGATCGAGACACGACGCCTCACCTGTCACCTGACCTATGCACCCGACAGATTATTCTATCGTTTGTCCAAATTCCAACTCAACACGTGAGACATCCCATTAGCCACACGGCCTTGGGGCCGTCCATAAATGACGTCACGCACCTGGGGGGGGAGGGGGGTCAGACATTTGTGACGATGTGTGACGAGGGAGGGGGGGGGTTTGAGAAATCTGACGTCAGGTCAAAATGCGCAACTTTAAATAAATATAGAATTGTTATAACAATAATTTGGATTAATTTTCATTATTAACTATTTAATCATTTAAATTTACTAAGGTCACCTTTTATTTATTACATGAAGGAGCATTTTGCTTCTCCATGGGAGAATGGAGAAGCATACATTTTGTAAATTTGTTGAATGATTGTTATTCAACATTTTGATTCTAATGATTCTACCAGGGCTTTTCATTCTGTTGAATGAATATGTGATTGTTATAATTGTACTCTCCATTTTGCTTCGTTCTACTACAAAGTTTCAAGTATTTTTTTATGGTTAGAATTACTTTTAATATTTTATAAGTATAAGATAATTTCAATATAATATTTTTTAGAAATATGGTTTGGGGGGGGGCAGAGCTTTGTGACGTCATATTTGAGGGGGGTCTGACTCTTTGTGACGCCGTGTGACGAGGGGGGTGGTCAAAAATTGTTCAAAATAGCGTGACGTCATTTATGGACGGCCCCCTTCTGGGAGTACATAATGATGGCTAGAGAAATGGTTCAACACAAGCAAAACTCCGGACTGGTTTCAACATTCAGTCTCATCAGCAAGGCATGCTTGGTGAATGCAATACCGCTCGCCGTTTCGGTTTGTTGTCTGTGTGACGAGGTCGTCTGTGCCAGGTATGTTGATCTAGTAATACTGTAGTGTACTCAGGGAAAAGAGTATCCATTTAAAATGAGCAAGCGTAGAGATGACGGACCCCTATTTGAGAAAGATGTCAAAGACAAGCCCGGTGTTGGGCCTGGCAGTAATTAGCGGCATGTGCAAATGCTGTGTCGTACCCTTGCAGGACCTCTTTGTAAATGGTATTTACAGACCGTGCTTGGAAATTAATTGTTGCCAGGTCTCCAGTTGTGAGTACTGGACCACAGCAAGAGTGAGATTAACGTATTTCCGTGTGGCGTACCGACTTGTGAAAAGGGCACTCGTTTGTTTTCATGGGAGAGCAAAGCACCCCTTATAACTCGAATTCAGAGTCCAAGGTGGGATGTGTTTCGATTCAAATCACGTAGGTCCTACTTGGTTTATCGTGTTCATTGGGAGAATGGTACAAGGATGCAGTATGCTGAACCAAAGTGTATGTTAGTGCTGTTTAAAACATTTCTAGACGCACCAATATTTGTTGAGATCATATCGAGTATAATAAAATCTGTACATTCTGAGAGATTAAAAAAATCATTGGAAAAATAGTGCAGGCTGGAAAACCATGCTTCAAATAACCCAGAAATGTGTCTCGATTGTAGCACAAGCATTGGGTACGTGTGTTCCAATCATCAGCATTTAATGAAGAAGTGCATGGTGGTTCTGTGGTGCCACGGCCGCCCCCTGGCCCCCACCCTGAACACACACACACGCAGCGCACACGTCGTGTCCCAGCGGGGGATTGCCTGGCACAAGGGGTTTAATCCGAAGGGTCCTTAGAGTGTAAGTCCCACGGTCTCCCGGTGCCAGGAGATTGGCCGACCCTCGCAGGACAAGTCACATTACGGTGCCCCTAAATTGGCTTAAAATTGTGCCACGCACATTTTTGAAACCTTTATAAATGATTGCCTTTGGGGCCGTCCATAAATGACGTCAAGCAACTGGGGGGGGGGTCAGATTTTTTTTTTGTGACGATATGTGACGAGGGGAGGGTTTGAGAAATGTGACGTCACATCAAAATGCGCAACTTTAAAATATATAATTTTTGATTTAAAGCTTTCGTGACTGCAGCTATTCATATTCTTGGTTCTTTCGGTAAAGTCACGTAGAAGGAAAACAATAAAATAATAAAAATATAAAACAATTAAATTCTCACGACGTTTCAACTGCAACACAAGCAATCATCATCAGGTGTGAAAACCACAGCAATACATTTTGAAAAAAGTGGCGTTTTTTAATGTTAGCACCACCTAGAGCGATTTGGCAGTTATTCAAATGGACGAGTCCATCTATGTTCGGAAAAGAGGAGGGGGGAGACGAAAATAATTGATGCGGTATGAAAGCCACCGTAAGCGTGAACAATCAATTAAGACCCGAAATGGTTAATCAAATCCTTCCAATGATTGCTAAGCCAGAATCCATCCTCTCAGTTGAAATTGTCTCTGTTTGTATATGTGGATAGCCTCATGAACGAATCTCATGGTAGCCAGATGGCTTGCAGAGAACCTCTGTCTTGGAGAAGTCAATGTCATGTGAGCCTACTGAATTATAACAGTGAACTGCCACGGCCGAGGTGTTGGTCCTACCGTGTTTTAGGTCTGCTTTGTGTTCACGGATGCGGTCCGAGACATGTCGTTTGGTTTCTCCAATGTAACTACTACCACAGAGGCAACTTAGTTTGTAGACGCCAGGGTACTGTATGTCCGGAATCACATATTTTACAGACGGAACCAAATCACGGATTTTATGTAATGTGTTGAATCGGACCTGGATCTTGTGTTTATTCAAGATTTTGGAGATCTTTTTTGTGATCCCCGCAATGTAGGGTAAAGTGATGGTTTTGAATGGCTCCTCAAGAGGGTCCTTCTTCATGGTTGGAGTGATAGCTTTGCGGATTGTGTTGTCGGAGTAACCATTAGCCTTAAGAGCTTGGTGTACGTGCTTGAGTTAACTGGCTATGTGTTCCTGGTCGGATATGCATTGGGCTCTATGGTGCAGAGTCTTGATGAGGGAATTCTTCTGGGATGGATGGTGGTGGAAATCCGGTTTCAGGTAAGCATCCGTATGGGTAGCTTTCCTGTAGACAGAGTGGCTCATTGAACTATCAGGTCTCTATTTTATTAGGACATCCAAAAAAGGTAGCTTGCCATCTTTTTCGACTTCCATGGTAAATCTGATGGCTGGGTGCATGGAATTGATGTGGTCGAGGAATTGGTCTAGAGCAGTCCGGCCATGTGGCCAGATGACAAAAGTGTCATCCACGTACCTCTTCGATAAGGTTGGGCGCAGAGTGGCAGTCTGGATGGCGTCAGTCTCAAATTTCTCCATGAGAATGTTTGCTACAACCGGAGATAGAGGGGAGCCCATTGGGGTGCCCTCAGTTTGTTTGTAGATAGTTCCATTCCAAGTGATGTATTGGTTAAGCAGTGTCTCACCAGGGGGGGTACCTCAGTGTTTAGTCCTTGATGAACCAAGTCTTCAATGATTGCGATGGTGTCAGGTACAGGAACTTTGGTGAATAAGGAAACTACATCAAAACTGACAAGCAGGTCGTCTGGGGACAGGGGAATACCATTGATTGTCGATACCAGGTGAGTAGAATTTTGTATTGCAGAGGTGGTTTTTCCAGTGAAAGACGGCAGGATTTCAGACAGAACACGAGCCAGTTTGTAGGTGGGGGAGTTGATAGTAGAGACGATGGGATGAAGGGGTGTATCTACTTTATGTATTTTTGGTAAGCCGTATAATTTTGGTCGCCTGGCAGCAAGTTTCAACGAGAACTGTTTGGTTTGATCAATTAATGCAGTTGAATCAGCAATGATTTTGTTGGTTTGTATGACGAGGCTGTTGGTGGGATCTATTTTTATTTTTGTATAGCTGTCATCGTTGAGTAATTCTTGAATTTTGTTGTTATATTCTGTTTTATCTATGATGACAGTGGCATTACCCTTGTCGGCTGAGAGGATGACAATGTCATCCCTCTTTTTTAATTTATATAATTCAAAACACTCATCTTTGCTGAGGTTGCTAGCTGGCATCTTAGCGTTTTTGAGGGTTGCAGCGATTTCAGATCTTGCTACGTCTGCAGCGATGTGACCCAGGCCCTTGAGAGCCACGTCTACTTGGGCAATGATATCATTAACTGGTATGTGGTTAGGTGTGACTGCAAAGTTTAGCCCTTTAGCTAAAACGGGTTTCAGACCATCGGAAATAGAACTGTTACTGCGATTAATTACGACTTTGTTAACGTCTAGCTTTTTGGTGTGTGGGTCTGGTCTTTTGTTGGAGAGGAGGTTAAATTTGGAAATCAGGTTGTCCTTACATTTGGTCGACCTAGTGGCAGCTGAAGAGGCAGTCATATTGTCTACATGTTCCCAATCCGATGTGGACATTGTTGCCGTCAGTGATAAGTGTGATTTGTAGAGTGTCTTGTCTAACTGATCTAGTTTGGTGCGTATAAGTCTGATTTTCTCTGAGATAAGAGCTAAGCTAGTTCTGGAAATAATTCTTTTCGCATTAGAAGAAGTTACAGCAGCAGAGGTCAGTGTAAATGCGATTGGTATTACCCCAGAGTCGCGGCATCTCTTCAGAAAGGTGAGAGACTCGATCAGCTGAGCCTTCTTATCCCGGATCTCAAAGCTATGTGGAAACCCTCCCCGTAGAGGCGGTTAAATTTTGATTTAAAGCTGTCGTGACTGCAGGGATTCATATGTGACTTTAACGAAAGAACCAAGTTGCCTCTGTGGTAGTACATTGGAGAAACCAAACGACATGTCTTGGACCGCATTCGTGAACACAAAGTAGACCTAAAACACGGTAGGACCAACACCTCAGCCATGGCAGATCACTGTTATAATTCAGTAGGCTCACATGACATTGACTTCTCCAAAAGAGGTTTTCTGCAAGCCATCTGGCTACCATGTGAGATTCTTTCATGATGCTATCCACATATACAAACACAGAGACAATTTCAACCGAGAAGATGGATTCTGGATTAGCAATAATTGGAAGGATTTGATAAACCATTTTGGGTCTTAATTGATTGTTCACGCTTACGGTGGCTTTCAGATCACATCCATTATTTTCACCTCCCCCCTCCTCTTTTCCGAACATAGATTGACTCGTCCATCTGAATAACTGCCAAATCGCTCTCCGTGGTGCTAACGTTAAAAAAAACGCCACTTTTTCAAAATTTCTTGCTGTGGTTTTCACACCTGATGATGATTGCTTGTGTTGCAGTCGAAACGTCGTGAGAATTTTATTGTTTTATATTTTTATTATTTTATTGTTTTCCTTCTACGTGACTACCGAAAAAAACAAGAATATAAATATAGAATTGTTATAACACTAATTGTTATAACAACACTCCTATATCATCAGAGTGCAGCGCCACATTAAATACGCACCACAATGAAAATAGTTTAAAGCGATTTGAAGCATGTTTTATTTTCAAAGTGGAAATATGGTTTTGGGGGGGGGGGGGCAGAGCTTTGTGACGTCATATTTGAGGGGGGGGTCTGGCTTTTTGTGACGCCGTGTGACGAGGGGGGGGGGGTCAAAAATCGTCCAAAATCGCGTGACGTCATTTATGGACGGCCCCTTAGGTGACCATCTAGCTCCCTCTTTTCTCCTGAAGATGATCGCTTGTGTTGTGATCGAAACGTTGTTTTTAAATCTTTATTTTATTATTTTTATTTTATATTAGTGAAAGAACCAAGAATAAGTCTACATTATAGACTGCAAGTACGCTCACTCAGGTTAAGAACCAGGATAGTCTACATTATAGACTGCCAGTACGCTCACTCCGTTTAATAACCATTGCTAGTCTACATTATAGAATGCCAATACGCTCACCAAGCGTAAAACCAGGCTACAGTCTACATTATAGACTGCCAGTACACTCACCGAGGTTAAGAACCAGGCTACAGTCTACATTATAGACTACATTAATGGTTTTTTTATTATTTTTATTTGTATAATTTTTATTCACTTATTTTTATTATTTTTCTATCTATGTGACTTTTCCAAAGAATCAAAGAATATGAATTCCTGCAGTCATCAAAGTTTTAAGTCAAAATAAAACCTATTCACAGTTGTTCATCACGACATCACAGCTACCATCAGTTGGTCACATTTTCTCACATGTATTATGATGGTGCCCTAATACAAGAGAACGACAAGACACTCCCCTTCAGGAAATGCTGATTGTTTTTGCATGTGCACAATGGCTGTGTGGTTTTTACACATTTCTGAGTGCTGTTTTAAACTGATGAGATCGTACATTTGGTCTCGAGATCCAGCTAAATATTGATGGCTGCATCAGAGGTACAAAGTACAGTACTTAGTGCCATCACTTAGCAGTCCGTTAGCTTTTCTCAAGATTTAATGTCTACACATCACCCATTTTGGCAGGCCCAGGAAATCAATTGATGTGAACGTAATCAGACTTGGAATATGCAGACTTGCAAATCACACATTTATCGTGCCCACATTGTACACAACTTGCAATTTATAACAATTGGAATAACTCTTGAACAATGTTCTGCGCTTGCAGTAATTCAGATCTTATATTGAACCACCCATGCGTTTAAATATCACTGCTTATATGATATTCCATGATGGCAACATTCGTATCAGTTATCACACAAATAATAGATTTTTCCTCTAACGATGCGTGTTGGTTTTCTGGAGATATTAGTTTTTCTCCACGTATAAAATATTAAATAAGTTAACAAATAATCAAAGTAGGACCATTTGTAAAAAAAACACTTGGAACATTCGCAAGGCTTTCCACTGGTAGATCTTAAATTGTCGTTACTACCAAATTGGCTATAAATGACATGCGTCAGCGCTTTATTAGCGGTCACTAAAACGCTATTGATTGTGTTCTTGAATGTGTCATGTGTATGTATGTTGAACTTCTTTCGCACCATACTTAGCCAGCCAACCGTGCTCATGGCCTCCAGACAATAGTTGTGCTTGGCTTCAATAGGGCAAGGCCCTTTGCAAGCATCACACGCAATCAGTGAAAAGAATAAGCTTTACTTATACACATGTACAATTAACAATGAAAGTTGTGCTACTGTAAAAATACTGCCATTTTATGTCTTAATCCAAGTTTAAGTGCAATCATTCCGCATGTAAAATATATTACGCAATGGATACATATGGTGACAATATAATCGAGGAAATATTCAACACAGCACAGTATATAAAACTACCTTATATCATACACGTCATATTACTAGATAAACAAGTGGATAATGCATTTGAAGTCGTATTACATTCCTTTAAGGTATAAAAAAATACTTGCATAAATCTACACGAATAACAAGAGCATGGTACGTCTTAGAAGCTGTATGTCAGGGCATATGATGAATTTTCCACAATGGTAAAGACATCAACAGCACACATTTTGATATCTCTGTGCCCCGGATATATATGTATACAAAATTAATGCTATTTTAGTAAAACTCCTGACGTTTGTGAATATTGTATATCTGAGTGGAAATGCAAAATAAATGCAACGTGATGTATTGATGCTTTTATGGTACATCACCTGTGTGAAGAAGAAAACAAAGATGGGAAACCTTTGTGCGAGGTGCAAGCTATATCTGTCTTGACGAGGGAACACCTTTGTGCGTGGTGCAAGCTATATCTCTCTTGACGAGGGAACACCTTTGTGCGTGGTGCAAGCTATATCTCTCTTGACGAGGGAACACCGCATTGCCCATTAATCGCAATTTCACACCATTTGATGATTCCACAATTCCATGTTTATGAATCAACACATTAGCTCATTCACATGACCATTTGCCACATGTTTATGACCCAAAAGACTGGTGGTAAGAGTTCAGAGGACAGAAATTGAGGTCTACTCTGTGACAGCTACCTCACGCACAGGTCCAATTGAAAGCTGCAGTGGAATGTGGGGCCATGATTCACTCTTCTAAGAAAGTATTATTCTTGCCTTTGCTATGGGTGACGGTTCACACTGGACTTTCGGCATGCGTTAAGTAAACGCTATGTGCTTTACGATAATGAAACTGTGGTCACATCACCACAGCGGAGCTTTATTTAATGTTAGGGTAACCCGGTGTGTCACGTGGTGTGTGACAATTGCTCTTGGCTTGTCCCCATCTACTCCACCCGACTCCTGATAGGCTGCTGGTTCTTCACCTTCTAAATTCAACCCAGCAACGAGAGCAAAATGTTAACTTTACGTCACTCCAGCGAGACTTAGGTGGCCATTACATTCTGTACGTTAAGTGATCCAGTGTGAACCCACCATTACTGTGCATTATTCATGTCTATCTACTGACTTAACACCAGAGCAGCAGAGTCCTAAAGGACAAAAATACTATGGCTTTAGACCCATAAAGATGCATTAAAGTACACAATACCTTGTGCTAAGTCTGCCAAATAAACACGAGGTGTAAGCAATGCCCATACACCAGCGGTGCCTATTTTTAAAATACCTATTTGACATAAGGCAAAGCGTTATAATGGGCAAGACCACAGGCTCCGGTGTGTACAGAGTTGGACGAAAAGCACGAGTAAGTGGCACTGTGGAGTTTAAGTTGACGGCGATGTCCTCCGCATCACGCTGCTCCTCGTGGGCACGCAGCACTACAGCTTGTTAGGAGATGGTGGCTGGAAGGAGCTGCGGATCCTCGCCACCTTGGCTGCACACCGCAGTCCGAACACTCGCCTGTACCAGTCGGGGGAACGGCCCCTGCCAGACGCACAACAGCACATGGCGGTGATGCTCCAAGTTGGGGTAATACTGATTTGTGTTTGATATACAGTAGTGACTTATATGCTGGGGCATCTCAGAGGGCTTTACATCTCACCTCCTACAATTTAAAGGGGATCCACTGTGGGCGCAAGGTGACATAGCACCCGGCTGGCAAACGGCAACAGTCTGCCAGCAGTTGTGCACTGATTGCCATGTGTCATGCCAGTTACGTCGTTTGCGGGTCATTTTCGACTTGGCAAATGTGGACCATGGCGTTGGCGCGCAATGGCCTCCACTTACAAATGACGCACGGGATCTTTGAAGTCCAATCTGAAGCAGACGGTGCGTGTTTTTATGATTAATCAACCCGCAGTATTAATTAGGGCGGCAGTTGGATTCAAACCATGAACCACTGCAACAAGCGACGAACGCGCTACCACTCAGCCAGGGTGCAGGACTGATGTGTTGGTATTATGATTGCACGGGTCTCTGCAAAAGATGGAACTTTTATTGTGAAGGACGGTTCAGCGAACGCAAGGCTCTAATGGGTATAGGGGCCCATTAGAGCCGGGTTATATAGAATCCAAGGCTCATAAATTAACTTGTTAAAAGAGACAGAGCACTAAGCACATGGAACAGAGACCATTATGGGAGTGGCAGGTATACTCCGCCACACGTACAATTTGTATTTACGCAGCATCGTCATATGCAACCACATCTCAATGTCGTACAGATAGTGGAAACGTCCATATAGAGCGCTTTAAGAGGATTGTGTTTTTTTTACATATGTTAGAGAAGGAACTGAGACAGCATTGTGCATATGAAATAAACATGCTAGCCAATAGTTTACAAAGATTTCAGAAATGGAGTGCTTGAGAGATCCATATAAACAAAACGCTTGTGGACTGTAAAGATAACTTGCACATTCATGGCAAGAGAAAAAGACGAGATTCAATATACAGAAGATGAAGACAACTGCAAGATGCACATTAAGAAATGCAAGATTATGATACTTATGATTTTTTAAATGTTTAAAGTGCTTTTAAATGTGGAATAAACACTTTAATTAACCTAAGAGAGGCTGATATGTTTATGCAGTAAATTGGGTAGAGTAATTTGGCAAACAATGTCAAAAGTAGTTTAAAGTTAATTACATTGCTTCCAATTAGTCTCCAATTACATAGTGCACTGTGGCTACACTGGAATAAACAAACTATTTATACCCGCAGCTTGTAACTATGGGGTGTCTTTAAAATGCACCCAACGATTAGAACGGGCCAATACGCCACCATAAAAACGCACACACTTAGAGGAGAGTAAAGGTACAGCGCGCCACTCACATAGATCAGAGACCAAAGGTGATTTCAAGAAAGAGCGCTTGCCAATAGTTAATGAAAGTGCCGTGAATAGGGACACGCGAATCCTCACTCGGACTGCACTCCTCCTGTTCCGTGTCCTCTCGTTGCCTCCCCAGCACCTCCACTCCACTTCCCCCACAAGTAAACCACGATGACATCACTGCCGTTATCTTCATCATAACAAAATATTCTCGCATCCTTTAAACCCCTCCAACTGCTTTTATCCCTCGCAGAACCCCCACCCGAATACCCTTCGGAAATGCCTCCATCTCCTCTGGTAGCTCTCAAGACCCCTATCGTGAAAGCATCCATCCTGGACCCCACATATTTCCACCATATTGCCAACCTCCCTACCCTTGGGAAAAGTCGAGAAAAGGTTATTTTTCACATTACCCATGGACTTCAGGACACTTTTCAATATGGTTTCTGCCAAGACCATTTGACAGTGACTGCCTCCCTGTGCTAAGGGTTTATTAATCATAAACTGCGTGCCATCTGCTTCACAGGGGATGTTAAAGATCCCATGATGTGTTTCATCGGGAGTAGGTCATGTGCACAGGTGTTATGGTCCGAATTTGATCAATTATACACAAATTACTCAATTGTAAAACACCTAGTAGTGGCATTGCCTCCCACTGATCGAGATTCCCATTCGCGGGGCCCATTGCTGTGTGCACTCTGTGGTGCACGGTGAGGGCCGCCACTGGGGTCGGCGTGGCTAGACAGCAGCAGGGCACCGCGACGTGCCGCAAGGCGCCTTGTGGTTGCCGAGGCGTTTGACCAAATCGCCCCACGTACGCAAATCCAGATCTCAGACAAACCTACGTGCGGATCCACCGACCCCCCCGTTGCCTCCGGAGCGCTGGACCAGCGGGCCGACGCTTACCTGACGTCCGTCCTGCAGACGTGGGTGAGCTTCGAGCGCCCGGCGCCGCAGGGCTCGACCAGGTAGCGCGAGTCGAGCACCAGGGCGCGCACCGTGTCGGCGGCGGGAATGGAAGCGCTGTCGAGCGCGTGCTGCACGGACACGGCTGTAAGAGCACAGCAGCCCTTGGGCAGATCTGTCCGCCACGTCCTGCAGAGGACACGTTGGCAGAGAAGTGTTGCGCCACGATGCACAGTATATATACAGTATATATGTAAAAAATATATTTTAAACAATATGTTTTTTTACGGTCAACGATAATCACGGACGACGTTTAAAAAATAATAGCGGGGTGGCGTCCAAGTCATGGAATGCGTTCGAGAATATGTCCAAAGTGGAGATGGAGCAATGGCACCAGTTTATGTGTAGATGCTGCTGGATGCGAATGTTGCATTGCAAGCTTGTGAGATGGTGGTGGCTTGAGGAGGCCTTCGTAAAGCAGTGGATTGATCATGGCTACTGATGATGATGACGATGATATTTTGTCCCTTCTCATTTTCCATTGCTATCAGTGTCGTGCCATGAGATGAAGTGTCTAGGTGGAACTCTCCCAAAGAAATACATCCCTGCGTGATATAGAATGGCCTGCAGAAGGTGATATTAGAGAACCACTTCTGAAATGCCTTCAATTCATGCTGCATTTTCTCATGTATCCTACTCTAGAGATATCCATAAACATTTTATTTTATGAATACTTAAGGAGTAGTATATATGTTTTGTCAACCGAAGTAATGTTCTGTTGTTGTTGTTGCAGACATTAATGATCTGACCAGGGCCATCAACTCACGACATTTGGTTTAATCACAGGTGGGGCAAAACCCAAAATCCAATCCCGAATTCCGGCAGTGCCAGCTCCATTCTACTCAATGTACTGGCCTCCCCTAGCTAGTAAGTACCTGAGCAGCACGTAGTCACGCTTGGAAAACAAGGGCGTAGCATCCTGAACGAGCTGGTAAATTTCTGTCTGGTCGTCCAGCGATTCCAGGATGCTCTCCCCCAGGAGGTCAGGGTCCCAAAGGTTCCGTTCCCGGAGGACTCGGTGCAGGACCTCACAGGCCGGAGCTCCGACCTCTACGCACGCCTTCCACGGCCTGAGCGGACTCCCGTCCTCTATCTGATGGAAAAGCATCACATCTGTTCAAAACAAGACTGATATTTTTGTTGTCAAGTAGTTTTGAAAACATTATGGAGTTTTTTTTCAAATCAGTTTGTGATCTAGTTTTTCCCCATACGTACCTCAATTGTGCTGTCGGTGTCGTGTCGTGAGAATCAATTGGGAATCTCACCGAGCAGCGCAAAAGCCTTCGTGCCGGAGTACGATAATGGCACGCGACAGCAGAGATCACAGAACTACCGCTCAGATTCCTTCAAGTAACCTCTGATCCACTCAGTAGAGGGCAGCACTTTCTCACTCGCTCTGCATGCGATCAATCTCCATCGCATGCAAGTCAAACCGATCTTTTAATCTCAGAGCTGCAATTTATCATTATTACTGTCAAGTTCTCTGTAAAACTGCGACATCTCTTTGCACCAGCCCAATTTATACATATTATACAAACGGTAAAGGTGCAGCCTTGCAATTACTTGGTCACACCACTGCTGTCAGAAGGGCCTCTCAGAGGTATGTTGGCCTCCTCATCCATCTAAACGGTGTGAGTGCCAGGAGTTCGAACTGGCAACCCCTGGATGGCAACAGCAAAGAATCTTAATGTATGAAAAATGAGAATAGGCTTTACCCTTTCCTCAACGCTTAAATCGATTACCTTCTTGTAGGCGAGCTCAGCCAGATCACAGTCAGGGACGGCTGTCCACCCGCGGAACTTATCGCGAGCCTCTCTCAGAAGCTCCAGCACGCGCCCATCCAGGAGGTCACTCAGGCCCGGACGTCCGCCCTCCGCTAGCCGCAGCTCGGTGGTGCCGGGAGCCGCCCAGCCCTCATCCGCATTCATCGCGCCGCACCTCCACAGCATCTCCACGGGCACCTGGAACATCGGCAACGACGGTTTGGGGGATTCGGCGAGAGTGCGGCGATTTCAGCGATGCTATTTCAGCGATACTATTTCAGCGATACTATTTCAGCGATACTATTTCAGCGATAGTGGTGCACGGGTAATGAAGAAAGTTTCGTGCGTTAGCCAACAACACGGTGGTCGTGAAAGTGGCGATTGACGTGATTGATATTGCACAACGTCAAGCCAAACGTCACACTGCCTCATACCTTGGTCTATGTTTTCCTGCAGCACTTTGCTGCTGGTTAATTCACCCACAGGAATAACCAGTTGTAGAACGAGTTTAAACAAAATGAATACATACATGAAGAGAATAGAAGCTGTCACCTGGAAGAGGTTGTTGTACTTGCTGATCATGTGTGCCAACGCTTGAGAGGCTGCCAGGTTCTCACTCAGCTCCTTCAGGTCGGGCTTGCCCAGACTCGGCTTCCTCTGCAGGGATCTGCAGTGCGGTAAAGCCAGGTGCACACCTGAGCCATCAGCTGCACAATCGACCTCAAAATCGAGCTCCGGTCATCGCCTGCGAATGCTTTGTCCACATCCGAGCGACGAGTTGCGCAACAAGGAAATAAAACAGCGTGTTCAGGATTGTAACATCAATCTACGGAGTTCACAAATTTGCGTGTGATTATGCACGCCACTACGAATAGCTGTACAGGTGGCTTGAAAACAGAGTCTGTGCAACTGTTTGCACCTGGTTGCAGAGGCGTTCACACATAAGCAATTCAGATGTCTGCAACCAAGCTGTGCAACTGAGGGCTCAAGGGTGGATCCGGTTTAACAACTGCTCAGTGTTTAATCAGAATATTAAGGATGGTGCGATGCAAAATATGAAACTGCTTTTAATTCGCAGGTACACTCCCAAGCTGTGTTCGATACCATTTTGGAGCTTCATTAATTATATGTAAAATAAAATAAAAAAATACTTTTAGGAGTGCTGAGAGTTTGCTTGTTTCAACAAGTGCTTACTCTTAGGTTATTTCGGTAAAGTCACGTAGAAAAATAATAATAGATCACGACATTTCGATCGCCACACAAGCGATTGTCCTCAGGTGGGGTAGAGAAACAGGCTGCTGAAACAAGTCCTTATATATACAGCAGCCTGTTTCTCTATCCCACCTGCGGACGATCGCTTCTGTGGCGATCGAAACGTCGTGATCTATTGTTATTTTTCTACGTGGCTTTACCGAAAGAACCAAAGAGTATGGATTCCTGCAGTCACGAAAGCCTCAAATCAAGATTCAACAAGTGCTGTTTAATAATGTTGGAAAGCCAATAGGCTGATGGACCAAAAATTATTGGTATTAATGTGTAAAAACACATACACACTTTGTAACAAGTATACTTTTTCATGTTCACTACTGTGGTGTCATCATAGCACTTTTTAAAGTAACGTTCAAGTGAATTGTCCGCTTACTAAGCAGGGTTTAATGTTGCTCTGCCTGGCACACAGAAAAAGTAAGCATCTACACAATGAGAGCTATTTTAATTATTTGAGTAGCATATTCAATGAGGCCATCATACAACTGCAATATAACATTAACATAGTGCCGTTCTGGAGGATCAAGATCTCATGTTACACCAGGGATATGTTAGTGATATTGTTGTTGCCAGCAGTCACCACGGGAAATACGGTAGTTGCCGAATAATTATATCGTGTTAAAAAAATTAAGTTCCCCTAAATAGATGTAAGATTTGAGAGTGACTCAGCAGGTTCAGGAAGGAATACATTTAATCACGACTACTCGGAGAAGGCAGCATGACCCGGACAAGGTACGCTGTCAGAGGGGAAGGCTTACTGAGTGGACGAAGCTCGAGAAAGTGAGGATTCTGGGGAAAAAGTCCGAGGGGTGGATGAAGCAAGGGAATGCTGTACGGCGTCAACAATACGACACAATATGAACGTTCATGACAGGGTGATTATCGCAATATCAATTTCCCACGAAGTTGTAATTATGTTTTTCATTATTATTGTACAGTACTGTATCTGCGCAGTACAAATATAGATTACTTAACAGTTCAACTGCAGTTCACTCAAAATTAGCCAGACATAATCGTCTAATCATTGCGGATTCACAATCTATAATTTCTATGAAAGCACGCGCTGTCCTATTACACAACACGGTCGTAAACTATTCAAGTTAAAACGAATATGGAAAAAAGAGCAGCGACAATCAAAGATAGAGGGGCATTTTACGAAACGGACAACATGATCAGCGTGGTGGACCTTATCTCCTCGTGTGATGATACATCGTAGCATCGCCACGTCGTGACAAACCCGCTCCCCCGGCAAATTCGCGCATGACAGAGCAGGCGGACGTTACAAAGGCACGCACGAGCCTCTGGGTGGCCGCTTGCACCTGGAGGATGAGCCTCCGCGCTTGAGGGTGGTGAGGTGGAAGATGGAGGGCGCCAGGCACACGGAGAGATTTGCCGCCGTCATCTGGTTCTCGTGCGAGCGCTCCACCACGCGCCCGAGGAAGTGCAGCAGCGCCTGCAGCGCCTGCCGGTTCTCCTGCGGAGCCAGCAGCACGGCCGCCTGCAGGCCCTGCAGACGCTGCTCCTTCGGCACGACTGCGGGAGGAGACGAGCACACGGGCAGGCAGGTGAATGGATGGACGAATACACCTATGGATGGACAGGTGGATGGACAGGTATATATGTAGATATATATCGACAGATGCATGGAAGGATGGATAAGTTCCTGTATTGGAGCTGGGCTATCTGATTATTTAGTAATTGATGACTCTACCATTTATCAGTTGATAACCCGACTAAACGTATAAGGACATTTGCCTATAGCGAATCAGAGAACATAATGCAAATAAATTAATCTCTATTTCCACGTGTGATGGCGGTGATGGGCAGGGCTTGGTGATGTCAGCAGCATCCTCAGACAGGATGTCAGCATGGTCAAGATTTTATAAAGCCACCGGAGTAGCCGACCACAAAAATGTAGTCGACTAGAAACGCGCGTTTAGAGTATTTGGCTGCTATACATTTCCACGTGATAAGCCACTTCGTTGAGGTATCATTTGTGGCCAGGTCGTTTCTGAAAAAAGAGCTGTATAGCTCAGTAGGGCTTGCCTGGTAAAATATAAAATAGTTTAGTTTAAGTTGAGACGACAATATGTTTTCGATGAACCATGGCAATCGACCGCTCGTCCCAGCTCTGCGATGAAAGCACCGGCTGGGGCTGGCGAAGGTCGCCAGCGTGGCCTAAGCGCGACGTCAGTGGACAAAGCGGGGGGGGGGGGGGGGCATGGCACCGGAGCGGCTGTGCTCACACTGGTAGAGTAGCAGCAGCGAGTCGGACAGGCGGTTGGTGAGCAGCGGCTCGGGGAGGTCACGGAAGTACTGCTTGAGGAGGTCGGCGACGTCGTAGGGCGAGTGGCCCTCGTACGTCACGCCCTGGCGGCACGCCTCGTTGGCGTCGCGCAGCGCCTGGATGCGCGACTTGACGCCCGACTTGCGGAACAAACCAACCTGCATGCACGCACACACGCAGAGAGTCCCAATTGGGGTTATGGATTGTCGGCAAGTCCAGCGAGCATCCCCCTAATCCCAAAAACACAGACGCACCCATACATCTCTTATAATACACAGTAGCTCCCATTTCATCGCAGGTTTCATCAGTTTCACTCACTCAGCCACCACTCACCCATTTACCCTTGCAAGCACTGGCCTTCCCACATACACATCCACTCACCCATTTATTAATTCACTCCATCACTCCCGCATGCACTCACCCACCCGCTCACTCACCCACCCGCTCACTCACCCACCCGCTCACTCACCCACTTACTCACCCACCTGCTCACTCACCTGGTCGCAGCCGTGCTGGGCGAGAAATGTGACGGCCTCCTGGATGCCGGGCGGGAGGCTGTGGCCCGTGCGCTGGGCATTCACCAGCAGGGGGGCCCCAAAGACGTTCACCTCTCTCGAGTCGGGCATCTTAATTCTCTTCATGAAGCTGGGCACAGCCCTGTGTGTGTGTCGGTGTGTGCGCGTGTGTGTGGGGAGCGGTAGTGTAGCGGTTAGCGTGCTCTGCTACGAACCCGGCGACCCGAGTTCAATTCCCGCTCATGGCCACCAACACCGGTGACAATTATCTGAACTGGTCATGAGCACTCCTCTAGGTCAACTCAGCCTCAAATTAGTACCTGGTGCGGTGTGTAAACATCGCCACAAGGGAGACAAAAGCAGCCGGGCGTGGTGTTGGCCACCCACCCCCTCGTGTGCCGTGCCGGCCTTAATAGGTGCTCGCTAACAGCATTGGCTCCAACAGTCTGTTAAGGCTATACGGGGGATCTTTGTCTTTATGATGTGGTGGCACAGCAGTTAGTGCACAGCACTGCATCACACGCAATCAGATGCGCTTCTGCGGCCGTCTGGAATGCTCTTACTTCTGACATTAGGAAGCCACTGGAGCTATGCACTTTAACATCTAAATTGAAAACGAATCTGTTTTGAACTGCTTTTTGTGTTTAGTTTGTTGTCCTTCCCCTGTACATCCGATTAGCACGGTTGACTACGTGCGGTGCAAAAGAAGTTCAACATACATACTTTACATACAGCTCAGGAGTGGATTTGGATCTATGAGAGCTTGGCTAACGCGCCTTTCCCTGGTGAACGTGAACACAAAGTTAAGCACACCGAGTTATCACCTCGTTATCACGTGAACTAAATAGAGCCCATATTTATTAAAAGAATCCCACCCCTCCATACCCACGCCAACTCATGTGTGTCTCTGTCAATAAGTGGAGCTGAATTAACTCGATCTTCTCTTGTGTTTGCAGTAGTGTGTGCTCACAAATACAGTTGATTCAAAGGCACAATTCACGCATTTTTATTCCCCTCCATAATTTCCCATGAGGCTAAACCAATTCCTGTATCATCACTTACAATTGAAATTTTAGAAATTTGAAAGTGCATTATATTTTAAGTCAGCTACATTTGTGTAGTTTAATTCACCCTGGCGTGGAATCTATGCTGTCACAACTCTGCTCCCCACCTTCAACAACCAGTCCCAACCAGTGTGAGCATGATTTGTTTCTGATAGAGCACCCTTTTCACTGGGGAATCTTAAGAGCACTCTACACCACATCAATGATGAAGCACAGTGAATAAGATGATCATGATGAAAAGTCAAGGTGCAGCCCTGCAATAGATTGCTCACACAAATACTGGAAGAACCTTTACTCGAGGCAGCACCAGAGAATCCCTATAGGGTTTTTGGCCTACTCTTCCATGCAGGCCAATTGTTTTGAAATAGGCGGGAGTACCCATACTTTACCCTACTGCACACGCGTGACTTTTCAATTGACTAACTATAGTGAACCCATTTATACTGCTTGGTGGACAGAAGCTCAGGGAATATGAAAATGTCGCCATTATTTCAACTGCTGCATTGGGAGAATGAGTCGAACCGGTGACCTCTAAATTGTAAGTCCAGTGGGCTGCTAACCATCACATTATGGCAGCATCCTACCAATTTGCACATATAGTTGCATTGTTTTGTTGAGTTACTGATAATGATAGCAATACTTATAACGGTGATGATATTCGCGAATGGTTATGAATGGTCACCTGCAATGGGGCAGTACCCTCTAATCATTATCATCATGACGACGATCATGATGATGATGATTATATTCATGATGACCATTAGCATGACGCTTTTACCAGTTCCAGCCGAGTTTGTTGGAGGGAGAGTATTTCTCCAGGAGGGCGGTGAGCTTCAGCAGCGACAGCGTCTGCAGGGCACGCAGCTGCAGCACGGACAGGCTCTGCAGTGGCACGGACGTGACGTGCATGGCCTTGTGCAGAAGGGGCAGCCCTCCGTCGAGATCCCCCGGGCTAAACACAGGCGGGGGTCACAGCCGGGCACAACGGTGGCACCGCATCACGCCTGTCGTCTGGCGCTCGGGAGGCAAGTGCTGACAAACCGTGTGCACTTTGTGAGTCACACAAAGCCGTGGCTGGGAGGTGGCCAAGCACGCAACCGATATTTAAGTGATTCGTGAATGATTGTCGCGTTAGGCTAGCTAAATGAGTTTATCACGTAGTAGGCTTTCACGGCCAATATCCATAATAAGAGGTTTTTTTGGTTAGGTCGTGTAAATATAAATGTGTATACAAACCCGCCACCACCCGACACAGCTTATTAGTAAGGTTTGTCATGTAAACACTATACTCTAAGTAAATCTGATCTATTTGTGACTTGCTAAGTAAGTGTGCGTTCTTTATTTTTTATTTAAAATGCCACGCAACAATACAACAATAGACTTTTGTGTGAGCAGAAACACGCTTGCATTGGTAATGATAAACACTGGGGGTGAGTTTGTAACGAGTGACTTGTCACAGCAGAGGCAATTTCCTCGCTCCAAGGGCCAATCCCCTCAGCAAAGCAATTTGCTTGCGAAGCACAGTGCAGGCGTTTCGGAGCCCCCTGTGAAGTCCAAATCTCAAGTGGATGCATCTGTAAAATCTCAAGTGGAAGCATATGTAAAATGCACGGCAAAAAATACATTTATTGGCAGGGTGCTAACCTAATTATACACTTGTTACATTTGAGGATCAATTATGTGTAATTACTTCTTATTACAAGTTATTAGTGGTAACCAGCAGCTGGTCTGTGTACTGGCCTTCGGAGGTGTTTTGTAAAGGTTTAATCAGTGTGGACAATACTCCAAGCACTGTCATCCATGTTGGTGGCTCTCAACGAGCTCCAAAATCCACCAAATAGCTCAAATCAACGATTACCTGTGTAGATTTAAACCCTGCAATTTGCTAAACCCTGTTACCACCCTGCAATCCACTAAACCCTGTAATCTACTAGGCCATGTCATCTTCTAAAGCCTATAATCTACTAAACCTCTGTAATCTACTAGGCCCTGTAATCTACTAAACCCTGTAATCTACTAGGCCCTGTAATCTTCTAAACCCTGTAATATACTCAACCCTGTAATATTCTAAACCCTATAATATACTCAACCCTGTAATCTACGAGGCCCTGTAATCTACTAAACCCTGTAATCTACTAGGCCCTGTAATTTACTAAACCCTATAATATACTAGGCCCTGTAATCTACTAGGCGCTGTACTCTACTAAACCCTATAATCTACTAGGCCCTGTAATCTACTAGGCCCTGTAATCTACTAAACCCTGTACTCTACTAAACCCTGCAATCTAATAAACCCCGTAATATACTACAGACACACAGCCCTCACACCATATATTGGTAGTAGTTGTTTTTTATTACGTATGAATTATTATTCTATGGTTATGTAAAAGCATTTGTTCTGATTTGTCCTTAAATCTACAACAAAATTAGATATGAATAAAAAATATATTTACAGTTTTTTTTAAGATTCCAGGACCTCCATTGCAAAAAAAGATGACGTGGCACACCAAGTGACTCACCATGAAAAGTAAACATACCTGCTAGTGGTGGCTCGTCATTCAAGTTTGAAAAAGCTACAAACTCTGTCTCAGGATCCCAGGCTTGGGCGATGCGTGCAGCTGGATTAAGTGATAATTGAGATACATCAGAAACGTGGTACTGTACCAGTGTTGGCACCTGGCAGAAACATTATTTTGGGAAGCTTCACCAATTGCATTTACTCATCCGGCAGTGGTACTGCAGAGCGATAGCCGGTTTGCCACTTGATGGAGAGGTTGGCGCTTCGAGGCCAGCGGCTGCCCTGGTTAATACTGCGGGCTCATGAGATATGCGCTGCCTACTTCACAGTGGATGAGAGATAACCCGCGACGCTATTCGACAAAGAGTAGGCCATGTGTACCGGCGTGAATGTCCAATTTGGACTAATTTGAATAATGGCTCACAAATGACTGAAATAGGAAAAACCACATGGCAACATCACTCCTTACGAGCAGACTCATGTCCTCTTGCAGGTTGCTGATGCTGTGTACTGGGGGGTTCCCTTGGATAGACTATAGCAGGGCACTGGGATGGTTGAGATGAGATGTGATGTCGGGAGGTAAGAGACTATGAAGAACCTCATCAGGTGGAGAAATTGTCATCAAAGCCTCTTACATTGATATTTAGTTGCTTTACTGGCAACTAAATATCAATGTAACCTGAAACTGGAAGACCTGTCATTTGTATTGTCTCCAAACTGGAACCAGACGGCACCACTGGTAACTCCAGTCTCACATCATGAGCATACTACTTGTTAGCAACCAGAATGGACAAGGAAAAAAGCTATTGCTTACTTTTCAGAAGCATTTGGGACGTAAATTAACACGTTTCAAAAGACGTTTTGGCCAAGAGTGAAATGCCAAAAAGTATTGGAGTACTAAGCAGGCTAATTACAAGTAATAAAACAATACTTTGGCGAAATTCCCTGGAACAACGTATGAACATAAAATTATATGGCGCTTGTTTTTGAAAAAAAGAAGAGGCAGTGTGAAGTGGTGAACCAGGGAATGACTGCGGAGTGGACATTCCAGGACAGGAATGAGTAGAGAGGACCGGGAAGGCAGACTCTACATGAGTCGGTAAAATACCAGGAATAAGAAATGTTTACAGTATCATCATAATAAAATCAATAACATTATAGAATAACATAATAATGACACCATGAATAAGAGTAACATAGTATCATTTTTTGTTTGTTTCCCTTCTACGTGACTTTACCGAAAGAACCAAGAATATGAATCCCTGCAGTCACGAAAGCTTTAAATAAAACAATAAAATAATTATTAACTAACTAATGTTATATGGAAAAGACTCACATCAGAGGCATATTGATAACTAAGTAAAGCAAATAAGGGGCTGTCCATAAATGACGTCACGCGATTTTGGACGATTTTTTACCCCCCCCCCCCCCCATCGTCACACGGCGTCGCAAAAAGTCAGAGCCCCCCTCAAATATGACGTCACAAAGCTCTGCCCCCCCCCCCAATTTTTTTTTAAAACATGCTTCAAATCGTTTTAAACGATTGTCATTGTAGTGTGTATTTAATGTGGCGCTGCACTCTGATGTTTTAGGAGAAAACATTTATTAAAAAAAGTATATTTAATTAAGTAGAACGTTTATTTAAAGCTTTCGTGACTGCAGTAATTCATATTCTTAGCTCTTTCGGTAAAGTCACGTTGAAGGGAAACAATAAAATAATAAAATATATATACAAAAATAAAAAAATTCTCACGACGTTTCGACCATAACCTGATGACGACCGTTTGTGTTATGATCGAAACGTCGTGAGAATTTTTAATTGTTTTATATATATATTTTATTAGTTTATTGTTTCCCTTCAACGTGACTTTACCGAAAGAGCTAAGAATATAAGTAGAACGTGTTGTCTATATTTATTTAAAGTTGCGCATTTTGATGTGACGTCACATTTCTCACCCCCCCCCCCTCGTCACACATCGTCACAAATGTCTGACCACCCCCCCCCCTAGGTGCGTGACGTCATTTATAGACGGCCCCTAAGCTTAGGCAAGACACCAATCTCTACATCAAAATACAGTTATGGCAATTGAGGCCAGTCAACAATGACTGCATAGAAATGGTAAATATTTAACTTGGATGTACACTTGATTTAGCTACAATCGAGCGCCGAGAATGAAACGTCTGACTCGCATGTGACAATTTCTCTGCAGAGCGTGTGTTAAAGTGCATCCCTACTTTGCAAATGACAGAAAGTCAAATTGCAGGATTTTACTGGATGAAGTTGCGTGTCAAATCACTTCTGCGGAACATTCTCTGAATATTCTCCACATGGCATCTTCATCTCATGACATGACGCCAATATAACAACTGACTTACATTTCGCGGGGAAAATCACCAAAATATATGAAACGGAGAAATATATGCAATGGTACATAACTGCAGTAGATGTAGCAGACACATTCCTGCATCTGCTTATTAACAAAAATGTTTTTACTCATAAACCACAGTTGCATATCATGTTGAGAAATATTATTTGGAATAAACGAGGAAAAAACAATAACTGTTAAGTAATGTTTTTTTTAAATAATAAAAAAAAATATTGGACGGAGGATCGTGTTTAGGTTGGACAGCTTAATGAAATTTCAGAGTTAACACGGCTCACCCAATTGATACTCCTCAAAAACACAACGCACACTTTGACATGGACGTTTTCCTCCAAGTTTTGCTTGTTATCAAGGAGAACACGCCTCACGGCAATATCGCTACATCCATCACAACACGGTCAAACAACACTCTCGGGGTGCATCCTTCAGTGTGTTGAACTTCTGTCGCACCGGACGTAGCCAACCGTGTTAATGGGAGGTGCGGGAAAGGACAACAAACTGAACACACAAAGCAGTTCTGAAGAAATTCGTTTTCAATCTAGATTTAAAAGTGTTAACATATACAATCATTTTAATTTGAGAAATATTAATCGGTGATGTTTTATTCAAACAAGTCTGTAAGCCGTAATAAACTGTTCAAGGATGAATGTATCCATTATACATGATGTTTTGCGACGACATCATACAGTTTCTCATAAATATAAATGGCTTGCTTCAACAGCCATTGGAATCTTTGGGAAATATATTTACTTTATTCTCCAGATTATAACATTCCCTTTTCCCCCCATTGATATGAAAGCAAGAGTTGTGGTGTATTTTCCACGAGAATTTGTATAATTCTATTGACACCGGGCACAGGTTTGCAGGTGGTCTTACTATGTGGAGAACCTTAGAATCTGAACAATATGGTATATGTGCTGTACTTTTGTAAAATAAGTAAAAAAAGCCCCTCAAGCATAATTTACCATATAGTATAAAACATATATACAACTCTACAAGTACCAATGTGGTACAGAGTATATCGTGCATTGAAAAGTACTGACAAGTTTGATTAGTATTGTTATAATACAGTGACTGGTATATCATAGTAAAGTATAACTAAGAACGCAATGTGATTAAGAAAAAATACGGCTGAGTAAATGATCAGATTTTCTCATAAAAAAGAAGACTGCATTTCAGCGATAGAATTTACAACGTAGGTCAGAGGAACGTTACCAAACAACACAGGGGTCACAGTTAACGCAAGGTTAAGTTATCACCCATTATGGGGTTTTCTCCCATGATTACTACTATTGAACCGCAATAAATTAATAAATGCAAATCAATGCTGATAATTATAAAGTGTCAATATGATGAGAAGTATATATGATGCACCCTATAGGGTGGAAGGGCTTATATCTTTTTGTCTTTAGAACTGCTTTGTGTATTTAGTTTGTTGTCCTTCCCTCGCCCTTCCAATTTGCAAGGTTGGCTACGATATCTTACGTATTAAAATGGCTCTTACTGTCACAGTTAACATTCATATTTACACTTTTTGTGGGAAAAGCAATATGGAATAATGTATGCTGTGCACATACAAAAACAACAACAGTGAAAACGTTAAACCATCAATTACGAATGTATTCTCTGGTTGTACTGAGCGTTCAGAGCGATGTCTGCGATATTTTGCTCCCAGCGCGTAGAAGCCCCCAGCAACGAAACGTCAGACATTGTGCCGAACAACACGTGGCCCGACCCGAAAATACATCAAAGAGCGACAATCCAACGACCTCTCTCACCTGTTAGGCTCTGTGGGCGACTCCTGCTCCTTGGTCGGGCTCCCGTTGGCCTCCGTCCGCGCGGTCGCTTTCCCAGAACCGTCCACGACCGCGAACGGTCGCCGCTCGCTCCCCGCAGCGGAGGATGCGCTCTCCGAGCTCGTCGAATCGACAGAGAGCGACGGCTCTTTGCCCGACGAGTCCTCGGGGGGCCCCTGCAGGTCCCGCCACATCTGCTGGGACCACAGGCTGACCGTCCGCTGGACGCCGATCACGTGCTCGATCACGTCGTCCAGGTTCATGAAGTCGACGTCGCACGGCAGGTCCGGCCCTCCGGCCCGAGCCGGCGCCTTTTCCCCCGACTGCCCTGGAACCGAGGGCTCTGCGCTCCTGCGCCGGACGGGTGGCAGCTGGGCAAAGGGCACATTGTCGTACAGGCTGATTCGCCTCTCGAGCAGGTCGCAGTCCTGCAAGTGGCGGTTGACCACCAGGCTGTCGGCACTCGCGCTCGTCACGAGGCCCTTGTAGCCCCGAGCGTCACCGTGGCCGCCGCCACGGTCTTCCGATGACACCCTGCTCTTGCCGCGCAGGTGGAAGCTCCCCGTGCGCCAGTTGACGTCATCGTCCATGCAGCTGTTGGGACGAAAGCCCTTGCACAGCAGCACGCGGGGGAAGGTGCCAGGCTTGTAATCTTGAGGAAGCTGAAAGATCTGATTTCTAATTAAAAAGCAATTGTCAGCCTTGCTTTTAGGCGAATTTACATGCGTTTTGTCTGGGCCGCAAGAATGATCCGTCGCGTCGCAACAGTTGGGGGTGGATGTGATTATTTTGCTTGGTAACAGCACAAGATCGTCCTTATCGCCGCTTGAGGTACCATTCACAAGGGGCCCATTGCTCGTAATTTTCAATGAACCATTGCCCTTGCAGGAACAGGAAGTTAGTTTTATATGCTCGCCATTTGCACCGGCTTGCAAAAGCGGACCGCTGATCTGCAGCCTCTCTTTGGTGGCTCCCGCTTTGCGTTTCGAGTGTCTTTTCAAACTCAAGTTCTCCACTCGTTTCAGAAACCCCTTGGCCACCGATGGACCGCCGTCCTCGTCAGCTGAGCACGCCCTGCTGCTCGCACGCTGGCGATCGCTGGGACACCGATCCGCGGGCAGAGCCGACGGCGAGCTCCGGCAGGACGACCTCGCCCCGTCCTCGTCGTGCTCCACGGCGACGAGGGGCTGCGTCATCTCCGGGCGGGGCGTGCGCGTCCCCTCGACGTCCTCGACGCTCTCGAGCTCGTCGAGGACCGACGTGGCGGTGCTCTGCTGCGTGCTCATGCTGGAGGACACCGTCTCCGAGCTGCCATTGCTGCTCTTCGTGCCTCTCACGAGCCAGGGTCCCCTCATCTCCTGGAAGTCCTCGACGGGCACCCACTTGCGGCTGGTTCCGTCAAAGACCCACTTTTCGCTGAGGGCGCATTTATCGTCATCGTCAGAGTCGTCGCCCTGGGGAGGACGCACGTGGTATGAGTAACAGAGAGATGCAGGTGCAATGTGCGACTTGTGACCCGTGTGTCTCATTGGTCAGATTGTGCCAGCCAATCATCATCATCATCATAATTCGTTAACAAACATCAATCTTCTTTCATTCCACATTGCATGATTTAAGTAACTAAAACAATATGCTCCATCCTGTAGCAACACAATAAGTCCCTGTGTTGGAAAACATATTCTCCTGATGAAACCAGATAACATGTACACATCAAATGAGATGCCAAGTATGAGATCACGATAAAATATCTGTGCATTACCGAGAGAGAGAAATCAGATGAGGTTTCGACATGACAGCAATGACTGTGAATTGCCTTACAGCGAGGGAAAAAAGTATTTGATCCCCTGCTGATTTGTACGTTTTCCCACAGACAAATAAATTATCAGTCTAGAATTTTAATTGTAGGTTTATTTGAACATTGAGAGACAGAATAACAACAACAAAATCCAGAAAAACGCATATCAAAAATCTTATAAATTGTTTTGCATTTTAATGAGGGAAATAAGTATTTGACCCCCTCTCAATCAGAAAGATTTCTGGCTCCCAGGTGTCTTTTATACAGGTAACGAGCTGAGATTAGGAGCACACTCTTAAAGGGAGTGCTCCTAATCTAGCTTGTTACCTGTATAAAAGGCACCTGTCCACAGAAGCAATCAATCAATCAGGTTCCAAACTCTCCACCATGGCCAAGACCAAAGAGCTCTCCAAGGATGTCAGGGACAAGATTGTAGATCTACACAAGGCTGGAATGGGCTACAAGACCATTGCCAAGCAGCTTGGTGAGAAGGTGACAACAGTTGATGCGATTAGTCACAAATGGAAGACACACAAAAGAACTGTCAATCTCCCTCTGCCTGGGACTCCATGCAAGATCTCACCTCGTGGAGTTGCAATGATCATGAGAACGATGAGGAATCAGCCCAGAACTACACAGGAGGATCTTGTCAATGATCTCAAGGCAGCTGGGACCATAGTCACCAAGAAAACAATTGGTAACACACTACGCCGTGAAGGACTGAAATCCTGCAGCGCCCGCAAGGTCCCCCTGCTCAAGAAAGCACATATACATGCCCGTCTGAAGTTTGCCAATGAACATCTGAATGATTCAGAGGACAACTGGGTGAAAGTGTTGTGGTCAGATGAGACCAAAATGGAGCTCTTTGGCATCAACTCAACTCACCGTGTTTGGAGGAGGAGGAATGCTGCCTATGACCCCAAGAACACCATCCCCACCGTCAAACATGGAGGTGGAAACATTATGCTTTGGGGGTGTTTTTCTGTAAAGGGGACAGGACAACTTCACCGCATCAAAGGGCCCGATGGACGGGGCCATGTACCATCAAATCTTGGGTGAGAACCCCCTTCCCTCAGCCAGGGCATTGAAAATGGGTCGTGGATGGGTATTCCAGCATGACAATGACCCAAAACACAAGGCCAAGGCAACAAAGGAGTGGCTCAAGAAGAAGCACATTAAGGTCCTGGAGTGGCCTAGCCAGTCTCCAGACCTTAATCCCATAGAAAATCTGTGGAGGGAGCTGAAGGTTCGAGTTGCCAAACGTCAGCCTCGAAACCTTAATGACTTGGAGAAGATCTGCAAAGAGGAGATGGACAAAATCCCTCCTGAGATGTGTGCAAACCTGGTGGCCAACTACAAGAAACGTCTGACCTCTGTGATTGCCAACAAGGGTTTTGCCACGAAGTTCTAAGTCATGTTTTGCAGAGGGGTCAAATACTTATTTCCCTCATTAAAATGCAAATCAATTTATAACATTTTTGACATGCGTTTTTCTGGATTTTGTTGTTGTTATTGTGTCTCTCACTGTTCAAATAAACCTACCATTAAAATTATAGACTGATCATTTCTTTGTCAGTGGGCAAACGTACAAAATCAGCAGGGGATCAAATACTTTTTTCCCTCACTGTATCTGTAGCAATGTCAACCATTTCACATCATGGTACTTCCCAGAAACGTTCAGACGCCATGGAAACGAGAGTTTATGTTTACAAAATATTATCTTTTTTTGTTTTAACACTGTTAGGAAATGCGCGTGATGTTGATGAATGATAAAAAAAATGTCACGGCACAGGGAGTCGTTTGCAACGCTGGCAACGGCCCCGCAGCTCTGCGATGGCTGGCTCCCAAAAGGCGCTTGGCACAGCTGGGACATCAAACACCGCGCCAGGAGATCGCGCTCCCTCTCCATCGTCCTGCCGCAGAGAGCAGTCGCTGCCCCGGGCTGCCTGGCGCCTACGCGACGGGTCGCACCGCGCCGCCTGACGTCGCGCTGACGTCGCTCTGACATCGCTCTGACGTCGTGCTGACGTCGCACTGACGTCGCGCTGACGTTGCGCTGACACGTGAGGCGCAAGCGCTGGCGCCGCGGAGAGAGCAGCGTGCAAGGCGGGCGCCCGAGGCGAACCTGGCGGCGGGCATCGTCCTGTGTCCGCTCACTAGCGAGCGCACGGGCTCGATTACGTGGACAACAATAAGTAACGCAGTCAGCCGCTGTGTGCTCACTTCTGGAAGAGTACACATAGGATGGACTCGACTTCTTCGTATTGATGTACGCGGCCTGCATATACACTTGAGCCTATAAAGGGTCGACAACGTTGCTGATGGTAACAGTCAACCCTGTATCTCCTGCCTTGTGCAAGAGTATCATCAGGCTCATGCACAAGCCACGCACATGCACGCATATTTTTTTTAATATGGAGGTAAGTGGATGTACAAACACGAATCCCCAGTTTTGCGCTATGAACTGCCGGGAGCAATAGCTGCTAGCGAGCATCTATGAAGGCTGGCATGACGTATGAGGTGGTGTGGCTATCACCCTGCATGCCAGCCACTGTTGTCTTCCCATCGGGCCAGGTACTCGTTTAAAGACCAATTTCTCTTGTGCTTGCTTTAAAATCTACACACCAGGTTCATCATTAATGCTGCCAAACACTCAGGACAGTGGTCAGAAAATAAAGCATTCAGCTTAATTTATGAGCATCTTTGATCAAATCCCTAGTGACATTTCGGAAGCTAGCCAGGATTGAGCCTGGATAGTGCTTGGATAGGTGACCACCATGCAAAGCACGTTGTTATAAACTGTGGGGCCAGGTAGTGGGCTGTGTACTTCAATGTTCTCACATCATTATCTCGCAGCGACTCGCATGCCATTGGGAGGCCCTCATCCACTGGTGGGATTGCCAAGTTTGACTGTAGAGTACACTTTGTACTCGCAGAGTTTTGAACAAAGGCCGTTCGTGAGAGCAGTGGAGATGTGCATCGTGGAAAAGGGATCAATCCTGGGTCACTCGGATGAAAGGGCAGCAATGACAAAGCCAACACGCGCGCCGGCACTCGAAATCTACCGTCATCCCGGAGGTGACACTCCGACCCCATCTTCACCCACCCTAATAGTATCGCCACCCACTCTAATAGTATCGCCACCCACTCTAATAGTATCTTCACCCACCCTAATAGTATCTTCACCCACTCTAATCGTATCGCCACCCACTCTAATAGTATCGCCACATTCTTGTTTGAAACGAGAGCACTGCTAAGGAACCGTGACAAACAGCCACCGCGTTTTCAATGTCAAGAAACTGCCTATTTACAAGAAAATAAAAATTCTACGCTTGGATGGCGCTGTAAACTTTAGGGCTCAAGCGAATTGTTAGCAGAGTCGTGACCTCTGCGATGGTTCCACCAATAAATATGCAATCATTGAACGTTTGCAATGCATGCTGTGCTTATAATTATATTGAGTAAGCCAGATGTGCCCGGACTCATAAAATGGCCAGCCATGTTCACGTTAAATAAATGCAATAACAGCTGTTTAATGTTGATTGTTATATGAAAGTAACTCAAACCCAAACATAATAAAATCATAATGAGCAACAATAAACTCATTTACGTAGTAATTAACGTAGTAAATGAGTTTATGATAATTTAAGAACGTTTTTTATGCATGTCCAGATATATTTACAGAATGTTTTTTTTTTATTTTCAAGCATTATGTCCCCCCCCCATATTTAAATCTGATGAGTGATTTCAACATCGCTGACTTGTCACGTGATACATATAATGAATGTAAAAGTAGAATTTTGTGTTTACTAAATCATCCAGGCAAATGTTGTTTCAAAAGTTTTAAGTTCATGCACAATGTCACGTGCCAAAAATACACTTAATGAGGCCATTGTTTAGAAGTTTCAGCTCTTTCCGAGTGTAACGTTATTGTTCTGAACATTATGCTGTTGAATTTAGAACCAGTGATCATTATCTTTACGAAGCCAACTTGTGTGGCCTCTAACTTTTATGATTTGAGTTTTTCATAACTGCTCATAATATATTTAAATGTTGAAAAATCACAGCCTGGTTAAGAAATGTATACGTGGGTTATATTGACTACCATTTGTTTCTTGGCCCAAGAGACAAGCTTATGGTAAATCAGTGTTATCGTATGCCAACATTGCAAAAACAACAGAGTAGTTCAAGGTCTTCTCTGTGCAGAGATATTCATTCTGAATTGTTTCATTCGTTGGCTTTTGCAAGAATTTACTTCAAATCGCCAGAATGATGAACAATTCTGCAACAACTGAGTGCCAAGTAAGCCACACTGAGATTAGTGTAATTCAATCCATCAATTCAGAGGTCCATGCATAGGTAAGAGTGTAAAACAAATATGAAGCTGTGCAATATTAAGAAATAGCCATTCTGGACGCTGGCCAGATGTAACATCTGTATTTGCAATGACCAAACAAGAGAGTCTTCTTCGAAATATTACCTGTCATATAATTGATTTTTGTGGAAAGATATGTTTACATAAAAAACTTAGGCACGTGGTTATCTTTGCTTGAGACCTAAAGAGCCCTCTATTTTTGGTTTCTTTATTTTTTAAAGCAAAATACTATAATTACAGGCCGCAGGCTGCATATAAGAAGTTTATAAACTGAACCGGACAGCGGAACCAACCCTCGCTCGGGGGAGTCTCTGATCAAACCAAATTTACTCTACCAGAGGAAACAAAAATGTTCAGGCGTTGCTGTCATTTTGCTCGCAGGGCATTTGATTTTTCCACATGGAAGGTGGCGGCAATGATTATTAATCACGCCGTTGTAATTATCAAGTTGCTGTACAAAACTGTTTGCGACTTGAGGGGAAGTGAGTAGTTTATTTGCTGAGCTGCAGAACTTCTAATGGGCTGGGGGAACGTTTACGAAATTAAGGTGAAAAAGAGGTAATATTATGTGTAACTCATCCAGTAAATATTCTGTAATCTTAAGAGCCCTGAGAAGCAGAGGAAGATATTTCAACGCAGCTGGCAATGTTAGCTGCCCCTAACGCCTCAGCTTAACGAAGGCTGTCGCAATATTTTATCACAATTATTTTTATGCAAGCACATGCGTGAAAGAGGAAAAAAAACAAGCTTTTGGATGCCTATGAATGGTTATTTACATCGTTCAAATTCCACACCCTTTAAGACCACACAAAGGGCCTTAATCCCCAAGCAGAACAGTATGTTCCCCCATTTTCACTCCAGCACTAAATGACAACAGTTGTTTCTACGCAGCAACTTGTGCTTCCGCTGGTTCCCAAAGTCGCCCCGTTCCGGGACGTGCGTGGTCAATCTGCCAGCCGCAACGCGGTGCAGGGAGCTGCCAAATTATATCTGGACGACAGAAAGGCGCCGAGCACAGCCCTCGCTGGCACGAGCAGAGATACATTCAATTAAGCGCAATCAAAGACATTGATTAATGTCTGTATCCTGTGTCATATTGATAAAAAAAAAACAATGAATATGATGAAATTCCTGGCCTGTAGCAATTCAATCAGCAGTTGGTGAAATACAATCAGGCTGAAATCCTTCAGACAGGTTTGAACCAGATACCAATATTTGACAAAATGTTATAATTATCCACAAATTACTCAAATGAGACTGTCATAGCCCCCTACTGGCATACTCATACCCCAAGTCACTCTCGCAACTTATACTTTGCTGGTCTCTTGATTTCATGTATAGTTAAACGAAATTAATTTAATTTATAAAACATGCATGTAGACGGAGCGCATAACATTTCACATGTATTGCAGGATGAGTTTGATCTTGCACATGAATCGAATCTACGATTAATTAGAAGCCTCAATGTTAATCCAATGGAGCTATATCCCAGCAACTGGTGACTGATAAAAATTACCACAGTCAGGATGCGAATGCCAAAATAAATGTTATATATCTATCACTATCATTAAATAATCCTGACAGCGATCATTGGCATAACATTGGAAATCTATAATGCAAAATATTCACTCACCAAAGCTCCACTCCATAAATTTTTTATTCTACCAGGTAAGGCCCACTGACCTATATAGCTCTTTTTCAAAAGCGACTTGGCCACAAGTGATAACTCAACTAAGTGGCTTATGATCATGTGGAAATTTATAGCAACTAAATAATATAAATGCGTGTTTCTAAATGTGGAGGGAAAAAACGGAGGACCCGGATAAAAATCCACACGACTATGGGGAGAACATGCAAACTCCAAACATACAAGTGTCTGGATCGCAATTGAACCCACAACCTCTTGTATGCCTGGCAAGGTAGTTCATATTTCGCCACTGCGCAAAACCTAACTATGGTTGAGCCTGCTTAGCTTTCAAAATGACTGTATCAAGCACATTTATGGTGAATTTTATCTGGCAACATTTGCACCCTCATCGAGTTAAGAGTTCGAGGTATATTTAGTAGAAATACTACACGAGGTTTTTGAGAAAAAAAACTAAATCTTACCTTATTTTTAGAAGAACCAACATCCACCTTCATCAACGCACACTTGTTAAGGATCATCAAGCGACTGTAAGACAAGGTTTAAACAATACAAGAGTCAGGGGCATTTCTGGTTTAGACAAAGTGACAGTGAATTCCTACTCCTATGTGGCATGGAGGTATTGCTAATACCCTCTTTACAGCCCTGGGCCAGTGGTAGAAATTCCACATGCCTATGGCTGTTTACTTCCTCACAATGATACAGGAGGGATGGGCTGATGGGCTGAGTCAACCCCCAACCAGGATGTGAACTCGTAACCTTCCGCTTGCGATCCACTCGTGCTACAGTACCGTTGAGCCATCCTGCTGGTTTAGCACAAATAAATACAGCTTACTTATAGAAAAACATCAAAATTGTAAATAAAAAAATGCATGCAAGATGTGTATATAGAGTTTATTAAATGCATGTGCGTGTTGCTTCCAACGCACCTACGTGTTTATACACGTACTGTGCGCTTGGTTAAGAGAACGCACAATTTGTGCATTGAACTCACTCTGGCTGGGTATTTAAGTACAGTGTGGAATGTTTATTTCCCTATCAGATAAGGCATTTCTCGGAAATGGGATCTACCCACAAATTGGAAATTTAAATTGGGTCCTACTCATTGGAGACCTAATAAACGGGGTGTAACAGCACAGGCTGAAGCACCATGTCTAGTGAAAGGGGACTTGTTTTTTAATTTATTTTTAATTTACCCCAATTTCATCCCCATTGTGCTTTTGGTATCATGCTATGAGATGGCATATCCATTTGGATCTCTCAGAGCTGTACATCCAGCCATGTTGGAGAATGTCCCAAGGAAACAGATATCACAGAGCTACCTCTGAGGTCACTTCAAGTGACCTCATGCCCACACAGAAAGGGGAAGCATTTTACCACCTTCTCTGCGTATAACAGCAATTTTTTTCACATGACAGCAAACTAATATTTAATTCTCAAGAATTAGAATTTAGATAAATTAAGTGTGGAACCTAATAAACTGCGGGTATATTAAGCATAAAATACGCACCGTCCGCTTCACAATGAGCGCTAACGGTTCTGTGACATTTTTTAAAAAGAGTCGTCCGTTGTGATGGTCCACATTTTTCCTAACTTCCCAAATTATCTACAAAGTTTCTTAAATGGGAAACACATAGCAATTGTTATCCCCGCCTGAGAATACTTAGCAGGATTATCTTGACAAAACTATCTTGAGGCTAATTGCAACAAGTCTAAGCAATAATAATACATCAGGTGCTGTTGAAGAATGTATTCACAAAAAGACTTCAACTTTTAACAAGTGAAACTTACCTACACAGAGATTCAAACGAATCTTGGTCCAGATACGCGTGGTCCTTGTGCACCGCGGATATGTCTATGGGACAACGAAGATCTGCAGAGAAGGGGAGGGGAGAACCATGTCACTAACTGTTGGGGGTAGTTTACATCTCAGACTACGAGACTGCAATGTCCGAACGCCACGCACGATAATTACGCAGTGTAACGTTGCATTAAGCTTCACCGAGCACTTTGGAGGAATATTGCAGAGCGCCGCGGTGGCTAGGAGATGTTTACTGCCTCGCCTGGTACGCAGAAGGTCGTGGGTTTGATCCCGACCCTGACGCCTGTTGTGTATATATGAAGTTTGCATGTTCTCCCTATGGCCGCGTGGATTTTTCTCTGGGTCCTCTGAATTTTCCCTCTACATTTAGAATCAACATCACATGTTGAGAGTATTTGCTGCTATAAATTTCCACGTGATAAGCCACTTCGTTGAGCTATCATTTGTGGCCAGGTCGCTTCTGAAAAATAGCAATATAGGCCAGTGGGCCTTACCTGAGAATAGACTGTACACTCTACAGCTCCCTCTAAAGCAGGCCTTCTGACAGGAGTGGCATGAGCAACCGCTTGCATTGCTGCACCTTTTCCTTTACCCTCATGTAGAGCCATGGACTAATCGCCATTAGCAGAAGTTCAACTGAAGGGATCAAAGTTATGGAGTTGAATTGCAGCTTGCATTTGGCGCGCGAGAGAGCTGAACTTGACAAACATAATACCCCCAAACGCACCTCTATAGAGCTGAGCATACTGCGGGAATCCTGCAGCGCATAACCAATCGCAGGCTGCCCTCAGCTCGATTTCTGTAAAACACAAACAAGCGACGGCAACGTCAGAGAGAGCGAGAGGGTAAATCAGAAAAGGGCGCACACACGCGTCAGAGGCCACGTGCCCGCCCCACACGCGGTGGGTAAACATCTCGGAATTCCCACAGATCTCGTTCAAGGCGCTGTATAAACACCGCGGGGAGCGGGGCCCTGCCACGAGCGCACTTGGGCCAATTGCCATTTGGCTCACCTTCACGACCACACGTAACAAACGATGACCGTTTCATAAACATGTACAAACAACCCGGAGTAATTGATGCGCCTTGATGCGGCGCGTGTTTTACGTGGAACATTTACCTGTCTGTGCGAGGCTGGAAAAATAGCAACGGTTGTGAACAATCGCAAGCGCAAACTCTTGGCTAAACAAGGGCAAAGTATCCACACAGTGTTTTCAAAATGTTCCCAAGCAGTGGTTACCAAATGTGGAAGGTTACAGTGTTGGCGTGTACAGCGGCACCCCCCGGGGAACAGCCGTCACCACGAGATGCTTCAGGGACCGCCGCTACGATCGTTCCGCAATGTCATTTGGATCTGTTGAATGTTTCACGTTTAATGAAACGTCTATAAATCTAACTAGAGTAACGTCACGACAGCCTCGTGCCAACACTTTGCTTCTTGTAATGGATGACTCCCTTTCCCACATACACCTAACACTCACTCACTCACTCCTCATCGCATGCCTCCTTAAATACATGGACACGGTATCTGTACTTGCTCTTTAACATTCAGTTTGTAATTTAAGTTCCAAAAAATGGCAAAGGATGCCAACAAATCAAGCTGGAATTGCAGAAATGTTGCAGATGTCTTTTCCGGCTTCTTTTCAAGTGGTACAATTTGTAAAAAAAAAAAGGTAACCTAGCTGAGCTTTTCATAACAGATCTGGAAATATGCAGCGACAGTGTTTAGCGTACTGATCTATGAGCCTGGCGGCTCGAGTTCGATTCCCGGGCACGGCTAACATCAGTGGCGAGTGATATCTGAACCAGCCGCGGGCACTTCGCTTTCCTCCCGAAAATCCCCAGCAATCACCGCCGACGAGTTCGTGAAGTCAAACAAATCCCCATGACTGACGCGGGGTGTGGGGAGGCCTGCATCAATCGGGCGCAATGTGGTCTGAAACAATGCTTTCCAGCCATCCTCCTTTAACAGATGAAGCTTCATCCCAATAAGTAACAAGACAATAACAAATAACAATTAAAATATCCCAAACCTGGCAGAGGCCATCACGCACCAGTGGTTGTGATGTCCGAACGTGAAACGTCGGCTTGGACGAGAATAATTTGGGTTGCTACGAATGTAGCAAAATTTAATAAACAAGAAATAAATAAGTATACAGTTTGAAATATTACGCTTGAAACATGAAACATGTAAAAGTTGCAACATCAAACTTTTTATGAGAGCCACATGTGTAGAACTGAGCACGAGCTGTGAACGTGCGTTATTGTACAAGCCGTAGTCTCCTTGCGCGAGCCCGCGTGCCCCCATCAGTTCCATGTGGCCGAACAGCCAAGTGGTTAATGCATTCTCGACATTTGCCACCGAGGAGGACATTAAAAGGGTTCAACAGTTTTCATGTCTCCAGCGCCCTGCAACGTGGCAGAGCATGTCAACGGCACTTTGACGTCGTTTGCAGGAACAGCAGCCCCGTCCGTGGCCGTGTCGAGGCTTAAATTGTTCCAAAATGGGAAAATTACACGGCGTGGATAATTTACGAATCCAATCACGCTAAAAAAGGGTTGACCCTTCATGTCACATCTCGGCTTGTCAGCGGGTCCATCCATAATTGTGTGGACATATATAAACATGACACACAGTGACCAAGGTTTGTTACAGAACGTGTCAAGGCGTGTGCATTGTTGCACTACCAATGCTAACCATATGGTAATATTAACATCACTATATTATTTAGGAATTATCTTAAAATCTCACAGAATAACATACTAACGGTATAGGAATAGCTTTTACCCTTTAAACTGGCACAAAAACTGACACCTTTATTCAAGGCATCATGTTTGCAATAACCACAACACAAGCAGTCAAAATGCAAACAAAAAAGAGTCAAAATGCAAACAAAAAAGAGTTGTCTTTTTTGTTTGCATTTTGACTGCTTGTGTTGTGGTTATTGCAAACATGATGCCTTGAATAAAGGTGTCAGTTTTTGTGCCAGTTAAAAGGGTAAAAGCTATTCCTATATCTTGTTACTGGCAAAGGAGGTCTCATAATGTACATGCTCACCCCGAGCCCTCAATACTCTGATAGTGTGCTGTTTTTGAGTTGTACGCCTTTTGGCGTCTTCTGGTCCAACACCAATGGAGACTAGGCTCTAAGAAAAGCTGTCACTGGTGTGGACCAATCAAATTCAAGGACAGTGCATATTATTATCAGAGTTGTCTTTTTGTTTGCATTTTGACTGCTTGTGTTGTGGTTATTGCAAACATGATGCCTTGAATAAAGGTGTCAGTTTTTGTGCCAGTTAAAAGGGTAAAACCTATTCCTATATCTTGTTTCTGGCAAAGGAGGTCTCATAATGTAAATGCTCACCCCGAGCCCTCAATACTCTGATAGTGCGCTGTTTTTGAGTTGTACGTCTTTTGGCGTCTTCTGGTCCAACACCAATGGAGACTAGGCTCTAAAAAAAGCTGTCTCGGGTGTGGACCAATCAAATTCAAGGACAGTGCATATTATTATTATCAGAGTTGTCTTTTTTTGTTTGCATTTTGACTGCTTGTGTTGTGGTTATTGCAAACATGATGCCTTGAATAAAGGTGTCAGTTTTTGTGCAGTTAAAAGGGTAAAACCTATTCCTATATCTTGTTACTGGCAAAGGAGGTCTCATAATATACTAACGGTATTTTTTTTTTTCGAAAAGTAGAACTAAATTAAGAACGGTATTGTGTGGCTCAGGGGGTAATATGTCTGCATGAAAACATCGAGTCACTACCATCCAAGATGAAACCAGAGTGAGTCGATGGCCTCAGCTGAGTCACACCAATGGCTACTCAGACAAAACTATCCCATTCAATGTAGTTTTGACTTCAATCAGTACAATTCAGAACTAAAGCAAGTCATGTTGGAAATGGTGTGTAATGATCATGTTTATTTTTCGATTTAAAGCTTTCGTGACTGCAATGATTCATCTTCTTTTTATTCTCATTCTACGTGACTTTACCGAAAGAACAAAAGAAGATGAATCATGTTTATTGTTCATAATAAAACATTATGTACAGCCCTTTGTCATTCCACTGCTGGATGAAGCTCCCCACACAGCCAGGGTTTTTTTATCATACTAAAGAGCTTCATAGCTCATCGGATTCCTCCAGTCTAAATAATGATTCTGATTCTAATACTTTACACTGGCTGCTCAGTGTGGGTTGCTTAAGGGCTTGAGGGGCAATGAGCGGTTCACATATCACTCGTCAGTAATGTTAGCTGTGGCCGGAAATTGAACTCTGGTCATCGGGTTCATACTCCAGTACGCTAACCGTGGAGCCATCGCTCCACACGTGTACACCACACTTATCACCATCAGCCATGATTAATCTACTGCTGGATGAAAGCCTTCGAAAGTCTTTGTAATCTCACGATTCTGCAATGGAGTGAATGTGTTCCATTCCTTGGCCGCCACGAGTTGAGCTATCATTTGTGGCCAGTTTGCTTCTGAAAGAGCTATATAACTTAGTGGGCCTTACCTGGTAAAACAGTAGTATAGGTCATAAGTATTGGCCATCGGCTATCTTACATGTGCACTCGCGATGGAAGAAGAGACGCCTGCTGGAGTGACTTCACAAGGGACATCACTTTGTGCGAGCTGCTTCCTGACAATACAATACTTACCAATAGAAGTTCCTTCATCTCATAATAACATGTAAATAGCGCAAATGCAATGCATTTAAGTACATTAAGTGTTCCCTCAACATTAAAACATGATTTGCAATAATACTGGACATCTGAAAGAGAAAAAAAATCCATGTTAGAATTTACTGTCTATTCTAGGCATTACACCACACTCAACATAAATCTTCTTACGTATTACATCATGCAGCAAGGCTACAAGAGGCAGAGCTGAAAAGTAAACATTTTAACAGCGAAGCATTTGGAAAAGATCCAGCAATGGAAACTTATGGAATGAAGCCTGAATATAAATATTATATGTTATTTACAACGTTCTAAATACATAATTCTTGGTGCACATTTATCACAAGAGTGCACGAGTGATTTAAGGGTACCGTACTGGAGTATAGCATATGGCTGAATGTAACTCCCTGAGCTGACTATACACAAGAAGGTTTAGTGTATTCTTTGTTCATGAGGTTTAAATTAAATAATTCAGCTGGAATTACAAGTAAATAAATGAATGATTCTTAAAGCAAGTGGAATTATGTGGATTATTATACCACGATGAATGGCGCTTGCTTGGGGAGATCTTCATCCAGCAGTGGATTAACCATGTCTGATGATGGTGGAAAATTTTATTTCAACAAAAGAGATGTATTTTTAGTTTTTGTCTCACCCCCCCCCCCCGACCCCTTAAATATAATAAATCAAGAGACCACACCACGCATCTTAACACTTGCTGGATATTGTGCTCAAGACATTTCGCGTCTATCCACACCATCCAATATGCAGCCTTCGTGCACTGTCACTTACAGCAATGACCAATGCTGCGTGGAGATAAGGAATGAATGATTGAACACACGCATTCCTGTCACTGACCAAAAGATGATGTGACATCATGCAGATCAATCATGATTTCATAACAAGCTTGAAGTGTTACAGTTCGGCCCAACCAAATGAGAAACAGAAAGTCCACATGTTAAGGGTACATCACATTTTTAGATTTAAAGCTTTCGTGACTGCAGGGATTCATATATATTTAATTATTTTATTGTTTCCCTTCTACGTGACTTTACCGAAAGAACCAAGAATATGAATCCCTGCAGTCACGAAAGCTTTAAATCTAAAAATGTGATGTACAT